CCTTCTGCCTCGCCAGCAGTCTATATTCTATCTTCTTATCTGCTCATCGCGGATAAGCCTATAGTCTCGACCTTTACTCATCGACTTCGTCGACGAGCAAAGCCCCTGTTAACTAGTCGGACTTCTGTCCTTCTAATTAACGACGATCCTTACGATTAACCTTCGGGTGTCGTAAGCCTAGGCCGATATAGCTTATCGTCTTGCACCCACGTGACATAAGCTACCCGATTTGGACATAGGCGTTAAATCGTACTTGCCGAAGACCCGCCAAGTATGACCCCTAACCTTGGGCTAGCCCAAGGACGTCCACAGACCGTTGACGACACAAGCTCTGTTTGAGCGTCGCCAACAGATACCATCCAAGTCGTAACAGTTGTTTGCAGTGACTATCTAAGTCTCGTGCATTAGTTGTCCGCATTTTGCCTTAGCATCAGCCAACCTTAGTTGGGGTGTTATTAGTTGTCTCGCCTCGTCTTTCTCTAGTCTCACTTGCTCTCTCATATTTTGCTCTCACTTGCACACACTATTTTCACGTTGCACATCTCACCTTTTGCCTTTCACACTCACACGTTGTAACAATGGTCGTGGTGCTGGGCTTAGAACCTGTTACAACTGGGATAGTTCTTCTGTCAAAGGTCAAAGATAGACCGGTCGAGTTGACAGTTCATCAGCCTTCCTAGTACAAGGAAGGTTTCTGGTTCAAGGGGTTCTCACTAGACGAGCCACGGCTTCTGTCTAGGATCAGCGGCGAGTGGTTTTAGCACTTCTACCGCTATCAAGGGTTCAGGCTAAGACAGTGAGTGACTGTCTTAGAATCAGGTATCAGGCTACTAGGGTGGAGACCTAGTAGATCAGGTTTCAAGGGGAAAACCCAGTAGATTAAGTTAAGGAATACATCTATGGTACATAGGGTTTATATAGGTAAAAGGGAGCGGCGCAGCCACGACAAGAATGGTAGCAAAGATAGGAAAAATAGTACAACCTATCAAGATAGCAAAGATAGGTGAAACCGCCATGCGGCGCAAGATAGTATCTATGTTACAATCAAAAAGAAGAGAAGTGCGGACAGCCCACTTGATAAGAGAATAGCTGAGTCTAGATGGGTCTAGAGTTGGTGGCATGGTTACAAGAAGGAAAAGAAAAATGAAATAGGAGTAAATGTTATTGTAACAGAACCACGGTTTTTCATACTCATGTCAACACCCAAAACATACGCGCACATGTCCGATGCACTTCTGCACATGTCTGAGCCACTCCACATCGGATCCAGTGCATCGGATTTTCAGATATCACATCAGCCGATTGCACTTCGCACGCACTTGTCCATCCTATGTCCTGTCCTTCTGAACTAGCCTCACTAGGTGCGTAGTTACTTGGTTTCACATTTTCTGACATTCGGACCACATTATTACATGTCCACAGCACCTCGTGTTTTATTACATAGATTCTCAGATCCCAAATATTGCTACCATCTTCACCTATAGTATTCCGGATTTCTATGTACTTACTTAAATACTCTGTAGTGACCCATAGTAATCATCATCCAGTAGTTAGGAGCCATTTCCCAACTCTGCAGACCACCCAGAATATTTTCGTAGTTCTTGATTGATTTGCAAAATATTACCATTCTTTCACCTTCACAAATCTATCACTTGTTATACTCGCAATACCGCTTGCAATCTGACACTCGTTATACAGTTTCCGACCTATTATCATGAAGTCTGAAAGTCTGAAATCTTGGACATTGCACTTTGGCTTTGGACATCAGATAAGTACCCTCAGACATCATCGGATTACCATTGAACATTGTTTCATAGCTTCGGACAATTGTTATTTGCATTACTGACATATTTATACTACTAATACCAATTAGCAATCCCTTTAGGATCGAATGCACTTGCTCTGCAAGTATAGCAGACTAGGTCGTGCTAAAGATCTACCTAAATATTGTTGTCTAGGTAGTACCATTTCTGCTGAGCCCAGCAGAGATTTACTCTTTACACTGACCAGGATGCTCAATGGTCAACCCCAGTGAAAACTGACTGTTATGGGAATGTGCAGCATATGCTGAGATGTGAATTTATATTTTTGTACTATGCCAGAATATGCTTCCTTCTGATAAACAACCATACAACTCAATTACAATACATGTGCACACCTTCATTTCCAACATATTATATCAACAAACATTGTGTTGCATTCTGAAAACATCACATCACATATTGTAAGCACTGAATGAACTTTGTACCACTAAGGAACATTGCATCTAAGTCATTGCCAGTGTGCAGCTTTACCACCTTGTCATTGTCTTGGTGCAATAGTCTGGTATACTGTTACATTATTATGCAAGATATGGTAGCATCAATTGAATTTGGGTCAACTAAGTATTATACTTGTTCTATTAAGATGTTTCTGATTCCAAGTGTGGAGCAACTCAATGATACAGGTCAATGCATGTGCATCTGCAAGAAATATGGGGTTCCCCATGTTGTTTCAATAGCAACCTGGTGCTAACATCTGCACAATGCGGGTATGCAAGAGGAGAAAGAATGTATTCGAACTGGAAGAGTGTTACAAGTTGGTAGCTTGCAACCTCCAAGTCATATCCCTGGCTTTGCCACTAGTATTACTTCTGGAAGTGCCACTTGCAACATTTCAAAACCTCTGAACATTTATGGCAATGTTGCAATGGATGTGCTTCCTCATCCAAAACAGCAAGATGACGATGCTGCTTGGAGAATTGGACGTTGCAAGCATGCTTGGATCACTCAGACTGAGCCAGTTGACCACATCAAACAGCTGGTATGTAAAATCTCACCAAATTAATTGAACTATTGATATTGACAACTGCATTCAAGCTACCAGATGATAACCCTCACCTTTCAGATAATATCCCTCCCCATTCCCAAGACAATTTTTTCCCTTGGCATCTATCTCCTCCTCTTGATCACAGACAAGTCCCATCTCCCTCTCTAGATGCTAATGCAGATGGTTGAGCCCTGTCTCCACCCACAATAGACATTGAGCACAGACCTCAACCAAATATTGATATTAATGTACTTGCAGAGAGTGCAGTGCTCCCTAAAATCAGGGAAATCTTTGACTTCATTGTTGCTCTAAAGCATGCATCACTAGATGACCCCATCTCCAAGCTAAGCGATAACACAATTGAACGACTTCACAGTCCACCTAGGAGTCCTATCAACATCAACAATCCAGGAACCCATTAAAGCGTTTCCATATACATATCACTGCAACTTGCATCTCAAGACACTTATAATCATATATAAAGAGCAACAATATGCAATTATGCTCCTGACAATGAGGACAGTATTCTGAGATTTTATAATGTTGAAAAGCTCATTGTGCAGTACACTGGTGTCAAGACAATTGAACATGATATGTGTCCTGATTTGTGTTTGGCATTCACAGGCCCATATGCAGCACTCGAGATCTGTCCCCTGTGCAATAAATTATGCTGGGACCAGGGAAAGCTGCAAGCAAGCAATGGCTGCAGCAAGGTTGTGGCTTAAAAATTTATAACTATTCCTCTTAGTCCCTAATTAAAGGCCTTATATTGTGATCCTGATAGTGTATGCAATATGCAGTACCTTCATGAGCAAACACAGCAAATCCTTGCACAATTAAAGGCAACACAATCTATTCCAGTAATTGACGACATTGCTGTAGGCTGGAATTACCTTGCTGCAGTACGTGCCAATAATATTAAGCAAAATAACATTGTCCTTATAGTGCCAATTGACAGTGTGCAGCTTTATGAAAGCAAGCAGTCTGACTGTTGGATGTATGTTTGGATCATTCTCAATCTCTTGCCTGACAAGTGGTACCAGAAAGTGCATGTATACCCAGGTGGTTTTATTCCTGGACCAAATAAGCCCAAAAACTTGGATTCATTTCTCTTTGTTGGCATGCACCATTTTGCTGCTCTTCAGAAGAATAGCCTTATGATCTAGGACACATCCTGTGACACTGTTTTTACATCTGACCTCCATCTTCTTTTCACAACCACTGATGACCCTGGACTCATCTATTGAGATAGAATGGTTGGACATAGTGGTAAAAACAGGTGCTGTCTCTATTATCCTGTATTGCTCAGGCCAGCGGACTATTGTGTTTGTGGTAGTGATCATCCTGACCTTAATGCCTTTGATCTTCCTCTTGGGGCATCTGAAGGCTATGCCAAAAACCTTAAAGAACTTGTCAAGGCACCCAATGCACAACAATGGAAGAAAAGGAGGACTGAAACAGGAATAACCAAACCTTCACTTATCCTCAGTCTTAGCCCTTCACACTCCCTTGGTGTTCCCTACTGTATGACTCCCGATATCATGCATCTAGCTGGGAATCTTATTGACCTTCTTCTCAGTCTCTGGTATGCAACAATAAACTGTGCGACTGCCAATAATCCAGCTACCTGGAATTGGGTCATTCTGAAAGATGAAGATACTTGGATTGCTCATGGTGAAGCCATCGAGAAAGCAGCCATATATCTACCAGGTTCTTTTGATCACAAACCTCATAATATTGCTGAAAAACTCAACACAAGTTACAAGACATGGGAATTTCAGCTTTATATGTTCGGACTTGCACTCACACTTCTATATGGACTGCTTCCAATTAAACATTGGAAAAATTATTGCAAGCTCATGCATGGATTCCAACTACTGTGTCAATATTGCATCATGGTTGAAGACCTTTAACACACTTAATCGCTCCTGTGCCATTGGGAACAAGAATTTGAGCACCTCTACTATCAATGCAAAGAATATTGGCTTTATTTTGTATGGCCATGTGTTCATCAAACAAATCATCTTGCCCAAGAAATGGTACAAAAGGGTCTGCCTATCTGCTATGCTCAGTGGATGATGGAACAAATGATCAGAAATCTCGGTCAAGAAATACAACAGCCATCATAGCCATATGCTAATCTTTCACAACAAGGAGTTTGGCATTGTAGAATCAATACTCTTCTTTCAATCATGCCTGAATTGGATGAGCCACCAAAGGGCCTTCCAGAAGGTGCTGTTGATCTTGGAGATGAGTATGTGTTGTTGCAAAAATGAGAGAGATATGCAATACACCCAACTAGACAATATGCACTCACCATCACAACCTTTCTTGGAAATGGACATCAACTCCCTCACATACAAAAGTGGGCATGGCTTCGGTTAGCAAATGGGCAGACTGCACATTCATCTTGGAGAGAAAAACTCAAACTCCTTGAGAAGACATGTATGTCACGCAATATTAAGGTATGTTTAAAAATATGTGCTTGTCATTGTCAGCCTAACTAATTTTAATTGACAGATAAAGCTTAACAATCAAATTCAATCCGCCAAGGCACTGTACTACATATAACTGCCCATCAATGTTGCAGGACAGAATGCAGATGACTTAGAGGAGGATGCGGATGACAATAAAAATGATAATGAATGGCACCTCAAGAATGTTGTAGTCATGCAGATGTACTCTGTCCCTAACAAAGAACTTCTCAAGCTCTCATCACAGGCCCTTGTATTCTGCACATTCCTTGATAATATTCTGGCAATTGATGTCAAGGTTATTGCCATGGTCCCACATATGCCAATATTACTATCTGGAGTTATGGAGAGTCAGTTTTTTATGATGGAATGACTAGGCTTAGAAATTTCAAACCTGGGAGTACCATATTCTGGTTTTTATATTAGAGGTGGCGACGAGCCAGAGGATGATGACAGTGACAATGGTGCTGATCTTGAGTAGTATCATTGTCATAATTAGTACTTTATGATAATTCTTACAATTTGAAGCCTTTTCCCACGCATAATACAGCCTCAAGATTATTTATTAGTGATAGGTATTACAGGTTTAAGACAATTGTCTAATAGTATCATATTATAGTACAGCACAATGTATCTGTGATGAGCAACTATGGAAAAAATGTGCAAGTACAACATTTGAAATGAGCAGAAAAGTGTGCAAGTAATGCAAAGTGAGAGTATGCAAAGTGGAGGACAGTAGTGATTTACAACAGTGACTTTGAAAAAATTTGAAGTTCATCATACATTTCATGATGGATGTGTTGATAGAGGGTCCTTTTTTTAGCTGCCTCTGCCGCTACTTCTGAGTAATAAAAAAAATTGAACTGAATAGTGCCATGGCCTAAATGGGTCAAGCAGATCCTGGTTCAGGTTTCCACAAAGCCTAGTAAGCAGATGACATGGGTAAACTGAAGAATCCCTTCAACATCATGTCAGTTGAAGCATCATAAATACAAAAGGATGCACATGGAAGTGTTTCTTTCCTCCACCTCTACTTTGATTTTTGTTTGCTCCATCTCAGCTACCTCAATTTTTGTATCATCTTCCACTGCGCTCACAGTCATGAGTCTCTCAGCTTTGGTATCTTTATTCTTGATCTTGCCATCAGTGAATTGACTCCATTGATTCTTACTGTCTTAGATATTAATGTAAGTCTACAATCATTTGAAATAGAACTTACATAGTATCTAGGATGTTTGGTAGTGGTTTTGTGAGGGCCGAGTCCTTGATATGAAAAACAATCCTCTGAGGTATATCAGATAAGAAAGACATCAGCAACAAAAAAGAAAACTCACTTTAAGGTGAGTGGGTATTTCTAGGTCAAGGCAGTGCGTGTCTCATGAAGAGACATCACTGCTAATCTCAATAAGACCAACACTACCAAGCACACTGATTATTGCATTCAACATAGAAGAAATATAAGTAAAATGAAGGTACACACTGTGCTGACTTGATGGGACTTAGATAATTTCAAGGCCTAGTGGACAATTCCAGCGGAGTTTCAAAGTAATATTACTGGTCTAGCATGGTATACTATGTATGGTGTCTTTCTCTCGAATCTCTCCACTATATCAACTGTCTAATATGTTTGAGAGCAGCTCATTTTCTCATGGCAGGCACAGGCAATTTAACTTTCCTTCACCAGGTCAGAATTTTCAGTAAGGAGGAGATTTAATTCATCTCCCCTATTTGGTGCTGCACCATTACCAGAGGACCATTTCAATTCAGGCTCTTCAAGTTCACATGCACACTTCCATCCAGTAAGTACTTATAATGTGTTTTTCTCATCAGAAATATATAGTTTTAGGGCACATATATCCATGATCACCAACAAATATCGGTCCTACAAGACAATTGTAAAATGTTAGAGTTGGAGGTGGTCAAATTGACTACTGAGCATGCTCCATCAGGTAGGTTTATTTTTGTAGAGGAAGTTCAGCTAACTTCAATACATGGCAGGGAGATGTTCAAACAGCTTACTAGTAGTACTGGGAGGCTTCAACAGGCTGACCCTCTGCAGCTCAATGCTTCACTCATTTCCATTTTACCAACTGACTCTAATTGTCCATCATGTGCTACACATTCAAATGTCCATTTCTGGGAACAGGTCGATTTTCAGAAATGGTGTGACACTCCTGCAAGTCAAGGTCATAGTTCTTTGCATGCAAACTTGGTCTATCTTGAGGATAAAAATGGCCACACAGTCTCATCACAAATGATCAAAGCCATACAAAGGGTTCTCCATGGTGGCTGGAGTAAGCTTGTTACTTGCAAGATTGCCCCACATTTTTAGGGTAAATTGTCAGCATCTGGAAGATAATTGATCCATAACTTCATGAAGAATGAGTCTCCCCTTTTCAAACTTGCTAACAACGGATGGAAACTAGATCATCTTGCTACTACAACATACCCTGCCTGGTGCAGAAACAATCTTGACACCAATGGTAAGTGGAAGTCAGGTGGTAACATCAAAAAGGAGGACGACAATGATGTCATCGATAACAAATATGCTGAGAGCAATGGAGAAGGCAAAAACTCAAGTAAGGGTAAAAAATAAAAGCAGATGATCAATTCAGTTAAATTTGAAGGGATGAAAAAGAAAAGAAAAAGAAAAGAAAAAGTTTGTCATTATTTTGGTTTAAATACCACATTAATGCAATTATATTTTAGTTACTCCTACTTCAAAAATACATCCTGTCATGTCTCTATTGTCCCCATCTCCATCACCTACTCTCAAATCTCCAATGTCTGCTCTCTATTTTCGGGGTCAATTTTCCACCCACTTTCTGTGTGTCTCTAGATACTAAGAATTTTACTTGTTGTTTGCAAGTGACTATTTAAAGTCATGTGCTTCGGTTCTCAGTCTCCGTCTTAGCATCAGCCAGCCTTAGTTGGGGTGTTAACACTCGTCTCACCTCGACTTTCCCTTGCTTCTCTCACTCACTTGTCTCTTGCCTTCGCTACCTTCGTGTTGCGCACCTTGACCTTCACCTTTCGCACTTGCACGTGTTTGCCTTCTGTACATCACATCGTTTCCACTTCACACTTCGTGCATTACTTAGCCCTAGTACTTCATTAGTTGTTTGGTGTCCCTCTTTTTACAAAGAGAGGTTTCCTTTACTCAGTAAGCTGCCCTTGGGACAATGATTTTACTTGCGCCCAGGTCTATCTGTGTTTGCTTAGCTTAGCACCAACTTTTCCCACAGTTTAGATTCCTCCTCTTCACCATGCTCGAGTGCGCAGTCCAAAAGGCGACCACCAGCACTGCTGAGTCAAAGCCAAAGAAAGCCAAGGGGAAGATGCATTCAAGTCAAACAAAGAACAGATGGTAAGCATATTACCATTTCATCAAGCTCAACACTTACTAGTACTATACACTACAGTAACTCATGCACCCATCACTGGCTCAAATAGATCAAAACAAATGGGATGACTGATGAGTTTGGTGTATCTAAGAAGTAAGGGGAAATAGTGTCAGGACTGAACGGGCGCTCATGTGGCTTTCACCTAGAGCCATGTGGTTTTCGCTTAGCTTGCTTAACCTCTTTTTGGAAACTTGTGTGGCTGTTACATGCTTTCCAGCTTCCATTGCCCATTTAGAGCAGCAAATATTTAATAACATTTATTTATGAAATTCACATGAATAAATTTAACTACATATTCAGGTGTTGAATGGGAAGAAAACACAATTTTGTCCGCTCATCTTCACCATACTTGCAACATTTTTTTGAGCTGTAGCATCCTCACTATGTCCATTACTGTGTACCAACTATATCCCAGGCAATTGCAGATGTGTGATATAATAATATCCTATACTATTAGAGCATATTCTGCGACGGCACCCAGAGTGCACATGTATATGTGCTGATATGAACCTGATGTGCTTGAATCATATGGGAGCATCAGAGACTTTGCCCTGTAATATTGCAAATATGATATAATTCTTATCTTAGTTTATAAATATCACCTGAAGTGTTCTTTTCAATGACCACTAGCCAAATCCCATCTCATCATACACCACATGTTCCCATAACAGTCAGTTTTCACTGGGGGTCAACTCTCTGCATCTGCTCACGAAATTCATCACAGACTCCCTAGCCTCACAGAACAACCACGTATCACTATTATTCCTGGACGTCAAAGCAGTGTTCCCAAGTGTAGTAGTCAACAAACTAATGCACAACTTAAGAAGAGCAGGAATCCCATGAGAATATGTAGATTGGTACTGCCAATGCCTAGACAACAGATTGACATACCTGTTCTTTGACGACTACCAGTCCAACATTTTCAATGTGATTGATGGGATAGACCAAGAATGCCCACTCATCTTTAGGCTTCATCTTCTACAACTCTGATGTCTTAAGAATCACTGACCCAAACCCAAGAAAGGGCAATGTAACAATAGTCTTGGTGCTGGACTCAAAACCCGTGTTTTTGATACTCACGTCAAACAGTATTTGTCCAATGCATCCATGACATTCCAATCCTGATCCCAATGCCCGACCCTGACCCGAAAGTTTCAGACACAACATTTTTGCATCAGACTTGTCCTTCCTATGTATAAAATAGAGTCGTATCTATCCCCACTGGTGCGTATTTACTCATTTTCGCATTATTGAATATTACAGACAGTGTTATTACATGTTATCTACAAAAGGTGCAGTACTCATGCTCTTTTACATACATTTGGACCTGATTTTGCACTACTGTTTTTGTCTAATGCACTCCGAAATTCTATATAGACACTATTTAATATCTAGTACTTCCTATCTATGAACTTACTTACTTTTCCCTACTCAGTAGTAGGATGGAAGTCATTGGATATTAGTAGTGCTTGATTGTATTGCAAAATATCTATCCGCTCTTTTACTCCAAAACATTCTGACACATACAACACTCATTTGACCAACAATCCGACACACTTCCGATACATTCCTTTACTATCTGACGGATTCCCGACAGTCTGACACATAGTCTGACACCTGACCTGACCCCAATATTTTCAAACCTGACAGATTCCCTTCAGACACATAGTATACACCTTCAGATTATTTTCCTTTCATTGATAACTATCTATCTAAACTAATATCAAACAGCTACCCCTATAGGATCAAATGCACTTGCCTTGCAAGTATAGCAGACTAGGTCATGCTAAGATCTACCTAAATATCGTTGTCTAGGTAGTACCATTTCTGCTGAGCTCAGCAGGAATCAGCTTTCTACAGCGAGCTGAGTTTAGGATTTTTAGATAATGTAGCTCTCACAGCCAGAGGTAGCACATATGAGAAGGCGAATGGAAAACTGAAATACATTATGGAGAAGCAAGGAGGCACTCTGGAATGGAGCAAAGGACACAATACTGAGTTTGAACTGGAAAAAACAGTACTAATATGTTTATCTAGTAAACAAATTCCTGACCCCCTCAACACTCAAAAGACAACCCCCATACCACAACCACCAATCACCATCTGCAACCACACCATCAGGCCTTCCAGATTGCACAAATTCCTAGGGGTGATAATCGACCAAAATCTCAATTTCAAGGAACATACAGCATATGCAATGGCAAAGGGAATGAAGTACATACTCACATGAAAATGAATGATCTGCCCAATGTCAGGCATCCATGCCAAGCTCATAAAGAAGTTATACAAGAGCATTGTCATTTCCAAAATGCTATATACATCAGATGTGTGGTACATGGGGTTAGTTAGCAAAGAAAGAAGTGCAAAGGGAGAAGGACGAGATACAAGAGGATTCACTTCCTAGATGGCCAGAGAACAGAGAACCACACTATTGATAACAGGGGGCTTGAAATTTTCTGCAACTGATATACTTGATTTGCACACTAACATACTCTCATTCCAACAGACTCTCAGGAAGGCGTGTCACTGTGCAATGCTGAAAATAACAACACTCCCAGCAAAACACCCACTAGCAAAAAGCATCAAGGTGGCATATGAATACAATGCAAAGAGAAACTTCCAAGGGAAAAAACACTATCCATCACCCCTGCATAGACTGACAAATGAATTTCAGATAGACCTGGCCAAACTCGAAAAGATCGAACCAGTTAGACACAACCCCAAGTGTGTACTAGACATTTTAACCAGCATGGCAAGCTCTACTCAAAAGGCCATCCAGCAGGACACACTAGCAAACAAAGACCTATGCCTGTACTCAGATGGTTTGGCAATAGAAGGTGCAGTGGGAGGTGCAGCAGTACTTATAAGAGGACAGAAGATGATTAAGTCTAAGATGATGTATCTAGGAATGATCGAGGAACACATGGTGTACAAGGCAGAGATTGTAGGAATGATTTTGGCGGTACAGATACTAAAGGAGGAGAGAGGTCAAAGGGGAGGCACTATGTCACTGGGAGTGAACAACCAGGCAGTGATCCAAGCCACCATCACATTTCAGTCCCAGCCAGGACACTACCTGGTGGACAAGTTCCACAACAATCTTTGAAGAACACTCACAAGCAAGGACAACAACCAGCTTATCATAAGATGGTCCCCAGGGCATGTAGGAATTAAAGGGAATGAAGCAGCTGATAAAGAGGCCAAGAAAGCAGCATTAGGAGATTTGTCAAGTGCACAAGAGCTGCCCAAATCACTTCAAGGCAAGAAGAACAGTATTATTGTTCTTCTGCATAGCAAAGCGGCATACAAACAGCACTTCCAGCATGACATCAAGAATGAACCCAACACAATAATGTGCAGTTCCCCCCAATACATCCAGCTCCAATCAGTGGATCAATCTGCCCTGTAGAAAAAGTTTACCAAAATCATCAACACTCTCCCCAGAAAACACAGTGCACTCTTATTCCAGCTATACTCAGGCCACATAGCACTGAACAAATACCTACACCACATAGCAAAAACACCTTCCACAAGATGCCAGAAGTACAATGACCATGACAAGATAGTACACCACTTCATTCTAGTATACCCAGCTTACATCTGATAATAAACAGACATGAAGTGGGCCCTCGTTAATGTAACCTCAAATATCTCTTAGGTAAAGGAAAAGGCATGAGAGCAACACTGAAGTACATCACCTGCACGAAAAGACTAGAATAACAATTCAGTGATGTGATCCTTCCTGAGAATGAAGACAAGAGATAGCCATGTGCACATATCATGTAACACCAAACACACTGCCCTAAGAAGGCCTTGGCTAAATTGCTTGATCCATTCTGCTTCAATTTTGTCATCTGTCCAACCCTTCTTGAAGTAGCCAAGTCTGACTTCAAATTAGCAGGTTATAATCAGGACCATCTACTTGTGCTTACAATACATTAAGTGGGTTATTCTCACCCCACTTGGACTAGTATGCTTTTCCCTTAAAAATGACCGCAGGAGTTAATGAAGTTCCATCAATTCCATTAGTTACAATTATAGTAATATTTTCTTGGTTTTCACTGCACTGCTAATACTGTACTTTGTTTCCTGTAGTGCTAATGACTCTCTCCTGCAAGAACCCACTGTTTGGCTGGAAGTCTATTTTGTCAACATCCCAGATGCACTCGGAAGCAATAGGCTGTCCATCGTCACTAGTCTGCAAGGTTGCATCAAGCAGATCGTACCATGCCTTGTTTGTAGTAGGGTTAACTCTACGACTGCAAGCACAGTTAAGAGTGCATGCTTGATATCCATGCAAATGATTGGAATGCCTCTCAATGAAGCAATGAGTCCAATTTCTCCCTACTCCAGTCTCAGGAAAAGCTGCGCCGAGCCATGCTCAACAAATTTCATCAACATGTTCTTTGAGCCTCTTGTGGTTCAAAGGAAACCTTCTCATAGTCATTTGTTATATGTAGTCAATGACAGTTTCTTCTTCACCTTCTGTCAACTATCTCTTTGTCAAGCTATTAAACTTGCTGAGATTCATGCCTCCTTTAGCAAGACAACTGAGAGTAACATGGCTAAGTATAATCACTCACCCTGTTTCTTTGAGATATGTCTTCTGAATGTCAATACAAACTTGTTGGAGTCCATATTTTTTTTTCACATGGCTGCTTGTCAAGCTCAGCTTAATACTCAATGACAGCATGTGCCATCAATTTGTCCTTGTCTTCTCTGGATATCTATGCTTATTTAGTGAGTGATTTTGGCTGTCCAACCATTGTAATGATAAAATTCAAGCAGTTGTAGTTGCAGAATTCAAGTGGTGTGAATTGTCTTACTACTTAGCTCAATGCCTCATTGCTAATACATGGAATGGACCATGACACTCTTTACAGTATTCACTGCAGTCAACCTTATTCTGAAATTGTATGCAGGAATCTGTTGGAGCTTTCCATGTGCGAGGATGGGTCAAACAGATAGCTAATGTTTCCACAGTAGTCATTGAAATTTTTCAAATAATAGGAAAACATGGTTAAAATGCCATTTCTTATGCATATCACATTTTTTTTCCCTAGGTCACTTCAAATTCTGATAGAGGGCTTCTCAAAGTATAATAAAGAGTTAAATTTAAAGGAATTTTGTGTAAGATTGAGTGAGAAATACCAACTGTTTCAATGAGTGGCAGTGTTGCAAGGACAGGTTGAATACTGTAGTGGTGATTCAAGCAAGGGTAGTATGACAACAGATCAAAAGAGTGCTTCCGAGGTATGAACTTGATATTTTTCTGGAGTACACTAATTTATTATTCAAGCTGGCTGATGTTTTGAGAGTTCATCACAAGAAAAATACTCATCTCCACCTTCCTGACTCCGCCCTTCTAGAACTTCTCCACACTTCTGAGGTGGCTACCTCCAACTCGAAGGCAAAATCAAAGCCAAAACAGGGATTGAAATTAAAATTGAAGGTGGATGATGGATCTAATAATGAAGGGCCTAAGGCTTCACAATTGGGTTGATATAGTTCATGCTAGAAAAGTTTTCTTGAGGATGCAAAGGGGGAGTATCATACCCAGCAGGTATTATAAAATCCATTTCCAAGCCTGGTTGTTGACATGCTGGTCTCAATTACTGAATGTCTTTCAGCATCCCTTGTGCAATGACTTAAAATCGGCCACCAAGTTGACACTGGTAAATCTCTGTTTCTGTTCAGATAGTCAATTGACTCGTGGCATCCAACAGGTGTGTGGCCCAAACACAAACCAGACATAACAAGGCTGGTACACATATATATTGTCATATGCCTCATATCTCATTTATTTTCTAGTTGTACGATGACCTGGCAACTTGGTGTTCTGATCTGAAAAAAAATCATTATCACTATTGCACCTTCCACATATGGCCTTGTCCCACCAGCTGACATTCCTGGTCAAGAGTGCACAGCTTGGGTTGAAGATGCTGCTGCTAAATTATTGGATGATGGCAAGTTTATGACCCTTATCATGGTCCCAGGCTGATGCAACAACTTGGTGAATGGGCTCGAGCTGGATGGTTAGGGTTTTTTTTTGTGTAGCATTTGGCACTAATGAATTTCTTACAGGGCAGAGGCATCCAAACTAGATGCTGTTGACACATCAAGGCACCACCGCTTATGGATGCAGCTTGACTAAGGCTCCTGATATCATCTTTCTCAGAATCAACCGCCATATCACATTCCTACATATAGTTTTTACCTTTTGTTTACCATTTATTACAGTAGTTTTATGTTTCTGCTGATCTAATTATATCATGGTTTTTGTGCACATTGTACCAAATAAAATAAGCCATCAATACTGGACACCTCTAAGTTCATCTGTGAGTGCCTGTGCAAACATGAATAGAGGTCTGTACAGACAGACAGAGAAAATAATACTAGTATTTGGTACCTACTGGGCATGCCTGTGAGTATCTGTGGCAGAGATTCATTGAGAAAATTTTACTGTAGTGAATTGGCTAGTAAGGACCAAGCTGTACACCTGGCATGCTGTCCAGAACTGTACAGATCTACACAAAACCTGGCAATTTACTGATGTAGTCAAAGACTAATAGATAGAAATTTGATGATATGTGCAGATTAGTATGCAGTCAAATAGAGGGGTGTAAATTTACATCTGTTAATTTACATGTGAATCTGGGAAGGATATTTGGGGGTGTCAATTTCGGTGAATTTGGGATTTGCATCGGGTGTATCCATGAATTTTTGTAAATACCTATAGCAGCTAGCTCATCAAACAGCTAAAGTATCATCTATGGATTGTGAGATGAAAAATAAACTACAGCTACTATCTCTTTATCTTCAAAACCTCCCCAAAACAATTTCTCTCGCAGACCCTTCAAGCCCACAGTATGGCTTTGACTTCTTTATCTTGGATGATGAGAACATTAAGGATTATGGTCCTATTAGCGCACTAAATCAGAAACTCAAACTGCGCATGGATCAGCATGACAAAGGTTCCATTTCTTTCAAGGAGTGTGGACCTAGCCTAAATACTGTGATTGATGTGCTCGGTGGCTACCTAGATCAATATCATGAGTCTCCAAAGACAGCACTTCTCATCAAATGGGTGGATGACCTCACGATAGCGGCAGTAGCTGCATACAAATCTGCTGGCATTGAAGTAAGCTTATTTTTATTGTATTTAGAGGCAAAAATCACTTGCCGGCAATTCAGTTACCTTCTCACATGACGGCAGCAAAGCCTGCTGTAACCACTGCCAAAAAGTGCCAAAAGCAGCCAGCAGTGCATCAGCCCCTCTCAAACTCCATTGACCTATGGTATATTGACTTACCTGAGGTTGCTGATCTTCACACCAGTGGTGCAAGGATACATCTGCTCCTTCTTGAGGCAACAAGGTATTGTTATAAGGTCCGAGATGGTGAGGTTTGGAAGGGTGGTGTCTTGACTGCTTCTGAAAAAGTGGAAGTTTAAGTGCAGTGCATTGGTAGTAAAAAATGTGGGACAACGTGGAATGCCCCTTGTTCTTATGACCAAATCATGGGACATCTTGCAAAATGTAGTCACATTGACGAGAAGATCCAGGATCATGCAATTGAGTTTTTGGCCAATGCTGCCAAAGGCCCCAAGTTATGCATTCCAGATGCAGAACAGTCAAATGTAAAAAATGATGTAGAAGTCATGGTGACAACTCACCATGGCAGTGATGGCAAGAAGAAGACTGATGAGTTGGGAAAATCACCATTCAACCCCTTTGTCTCCAAGGGGAAGTAGGATCTCAAGGAACAAGTAAACCATACTAGATGTACCCGAGTGTTCGTGCTTTTTTACGGTCTCGCGTATTGCTCTCGATCCACAACACAAAATAAATATCGGATAGTCATTAGTAGATAGAATACCATCTCAAGAACATGGCCCAAATTTTTATATACTAAAAAATTGATCTGTTGTGTTGCTACAGCATGAGCGAGCACCTCTAGTCAATCTCACCTAGTGTTCGTGCATTCGTCACACTGTGTCACAGGTTGCCGACGTTGCCGATTCGAAGTCCGCTACACTTGCGCTACACATACGCAAGTTCGAGGCGCCCGCTCGACGACAGTAGTAGAAATTTGATAACATGTATGTATATTATTGATTTGAATACAAGTTCTATGTGATATGGTGATGCTACAGTGTGTGTGAGTAGTATGTGCGCGAATTAATCTGCGTGATGATATGGAAACATGTTAAAGTGATGATTATATGAAAAATGGGGTATGTTCAAACCGCGGACGTCGTGATTAGCGTCATTAGGAGGGAGTAAATTGTTGTCATTTGTACCGTGAGTCATGACAGGTATGTGTGAAGGTCCTGCAATTGGTTGATTCATCTCTGAGTCAGTAGCATGATGACTCGAAGGCTGCCAGTGAGCATCAAGTCTTCGGCGCGTTGCAGGTGGATGCATAGAGGACTCGACATCCGGCAGCGGTGGAACGTTCTCAGTTTGGCGTTGTTGTGCCGGTTGGATGTGCGCGTTTTTGTCCACGTGTATGCCTGTACAATCCAGCAAATTTGGGATCAGTCTTGAGGGCAGGGTTATCATTGAGGTGCGCCTGAATGCACTCACACCGATCTCCATTGTTCCGAGCATTTTCTAGGGAAACGCCAAGTGCTTGAGCGAGCTCAAGAAGGTCAGCCTTGCTTTTGCTCGAAAGTGCGCCACTAAACGCCACGGTTGGCCCGCAGTGCAGCACAAGCAGCAACACGAGCAGTTTTCCGCTCTTCTCGCCGCCGAGTTGCATCAGCCTTTTTCCTCGCCTTCTCTGCACTGCCGGGCTTTTTCGGCCTCCCAAGCTTGAATTCCTGCCTGCGAAGTCAGCCCTCTTGCACCAACATTTATCGTCCCTTCCGTCGACTTGTTCTTCCTGCTATTTAATTTTTTCTCCAGGTCTTCCATTTGGTCATATGCGAGCGCACAGTGACCTTCGGCTATTTCGAGGGATGTGGCTAATTGACAGTTCTCGTCTTGCAGCCGTTCGTTCATCTCGATCATGGCGTCAAGCTTCTTTTGCATAGACCAATGGGGAAGATATGGTGTCGTTGACTGTGAATGTGACAAGGGGGGATACTGTGGTGGGATGCCTGGTCCAGAGAGAATTCTGAGAGGCTGTGTATTTGACAAGGGGGAATGTAGTAACTGGGGGGGTGGATGGCTAATCATTGGAGGAGGAACACCTGGTCCAGAGAGAATAGGTGTAGGTGTGACAGGCTGAGAAGAAGTCACAGGTGTGATACGTTGCGTGGGTGTGCTTTGTTGCGCTGACTCGGATTGCAACAGATCCCTGGCATTGTCATCCCGTGAGATGACACCTAAATCCACTCTATTGCCATCATCATTCTCATCATCCGCAACATCTGATTCTTCCTCGGAGTCGTCACTCTCGCCATCTCTGTATTCCGGTTCAATGTCCTGTTCAAAATCCGACTCCTCAACTTCAAGATAACTGCTCTTCGAACTGCCGCAAGGAAATGAAGGTGGAACATGTGCCCTGATGGAGGTTGCTTGACTTGGTGCGAAATCTTCATCCTTGAAAATATCGGGACTGATGGGATTGAGACCACTGCGCTGCCATGCCTTTTTGATAAGGTCTGGCCTTGACCACACTTTGTTTCGAACCTCCATGTATTCGCTGACAAAATCCTTCCTAGGTATCTCTGCACCAGTTTCAATGACGACATCATCACACCTTTTTCTCCAAGCATTTTGCAACGGTCCGAAGCATCCAATGTCCAGAGGCTGCAGTTTGTGTGTGGTATGAGGTGGCAGACAAAAGAGGTGGATGTTGTGCTGAATGGCAAGGTCGCGGATCTTATCGGTGAGGTGAGAGCTGTGGCCATCGAAGATGAGCAACATGGGCTTGCCGCTGTCGTTTCGAGCACTTGCTTGTGGAATGAATGATGTTTCGAACCAGTCGGTGCCAACATAGTCATCTGTCCAGCCATTGGGTGTTGTGTATGTGCTACACTGATGTAAGTATCTGTCTCGTCATTCACGGCAATGGGACTCACTTAATTGCAGGGTCCACATTCCACCACGAGGGACAATGATGGACACCGGAAAAGACAAAGGCAGGTTGGAGAGCAGTTCCATCAGCGCAAACACATTCAATGATTGTGACGAGTTCAAGATTATCACTCTTGAATTTGTAGTGAACCCTTTGTCCTCGAGACATAAGGTATTTAGCACGACTATGTCCTCGACCTCCTCCACGCTGACAACCTTTCTCATCCATGTTATAGACATTCTCCCATGGTATTCCGTGCTCCTCCATGATTTTGTGCAGCAGCTCAAAGTGATCTTCGACTGTTTGCTTATTGAAGCACTGAGCTCGCTTAGGATCGAGTCCAGAAGGCCGTCCAAGCTTGATAACTGGATGGCGCTTGAGAAAACGCTGAATCCAGTTCTTTCCAGGTATCTTCTTGGTGAGTACATAGACCTTCTGTTTGATGGTGCGCCTACTGATGGGATTTCCAGCAGCATCGAGGTGCTTGATCCATTCAACCAGCACCTTTTCTTTCTCCTCGGAAAGCAGCTGCTGATCCCTATGTGCTTTCCTGGCCAGCAGGTGAGTACCAAGGAAGCGGTCGCGAAGAGTGCTTTGCGGAACACCATAGTAAGTTGCAGTGTTGGAGATTTGAAGCTTCTGGCCGTTACGCCGATTCTCGCGAAGTTTTTGGCAGGCCTTTTGGAGTTTCTCCTCATTGCCTTCACGTGCAACTTTTGACTTGACCATGCATGTCAGGTGCTTTGCTGGTGCCGTGAAAAATCCATTGCGGCATGGCGGGATTTTAAAATGATGTAACGTCTTGTAGTAGATTGTCACGCCAGATATCATATCCTTCACTTGCACATCAATAGTCTTCTAAATCAACCTCGGAAGTTGTCATTTTAGCTAGATATATGTCTGGATCAATGTTCTAAACACTTCCGAGGTTAAGATCGGTGTGAGTCTGCCTTTCCGACACTGATCAGTGTGCAAAATTGTCTCCAAACGGTATATATTGTATCATGACACTTGCACAACACAATGATTTAAAAAATGAAAGACATAGAAATATTCATTGACAATGCAGGATCATTTTATTTCTATATATCTAAATGATTTGTGGTGATTTGCATGTGCTAGCGCAAAAACACGAACACTAGGTGAGCACGAACTCGTGGGTACATCTAGTACTACAATGAGGTTCATTGTCTGTTGTGGTATACCTCCAACAGTTGTGAATCCTGACAAATGGAAGAAGTTACTTTTGGTCTTGAACCCAAATTACCATACTCCAAGTTCCTCGGCACTAAAAACGCCATACAAACCTCTTGTCAAGTGGCGCAATATGGAATTCACAATCCTTGGCAAGTGTGCTGCCACTGAAGATTTGCCTCCTACTGGTCGAACACCTCCTCCACCTGAAGCAAGACCAATGGACTCAAACTTGGACTCAGAAGATGGATTTGACAATGGTGCAGATTGGTTGAATGACCCACCTGCTCTTGCAGCAGAGTTCAAGATGGCAGAAAAAAACTCGTTTGTACTTGCAGCATCCAATGGTATTGATTTACATGTGCCCTACCTATGTGAACTGCTTGATTCCATCAGGAAACAACCTTCACAGTTAGTTTCTGTGCTGACAACAAAGGCTGCTACTAAAAACTTGTTCCCACCTGTCCTGGACCCTTCTAATTGGGATGAGTGGCCTGGGAGCACATAATTCACCCTAATTCACTGTAGATTTGGCCAAATTCACTTGTAAATTAGTGTTAATTTACAGTAATTCACACTGGTGAAATTCACCATACACTAGTGCAGACCAAACAGCCGGACGAACCAAACACCACAAGCAGACATGACAAATGTGTTTAGGGCCAGAGTTAATGGATTTCTCTGCCAAAAGTTCAGAACTTTGAGAGTACATGGGTAGACTCTACCATAGACTATGTGTAGAAAGTCCAGGAGCATTACTAATTCTTTTTGTGGAAAGTAAGCTGAATCTGTAGACAATTCATAGACTTTTGTAGACTCAACTCGGTTTCAGTAAATCGATCAAACAACTTTAACATCATAGTTCATTGCTCGGCTGTGATCATTGCCTGGAGAAGTGTCTGGCATATATATGGCAATGACAAGCCAACATTTTCACTGTCTGCCCCACCACTATGTCACTTGGACCTACATTTGCTACTAGTCTAAGTCCCGATATTCAAGTTAATCGCCATCTCAGTATAAATGCTCTCTCATTGACATAGTACCTGCTAACAACCAGTGCTGGACGCTATCGAGTATACTACCCTGGATGTTTGCATGGCCCAGGTGATCAGTGAGTCCGCTTATTACTGTCCTTAACCTACTCAACATTCAACTTGCATTATAACTATGGCCTACTATGACTGATACGGTCCTGTGCACTAAGGCTGACTGCCGCAACTTAAAGCATGCTATGCAGTCATGGAAGGCCAACAGGAACTGTATACAATGCTACTGCAAGCAGTGTTGTGAGGTAGCAGGAAGGTGTAGGGTCTACCGGGTCGCATCTGTACCTTCTCCAGTTGCTGCTCAACAGCACAAAAACTCAATTGTACCACCACCTGCCACTGTTAACCCCACATCTACTTAGCTTGACCATCCTCTAGTTACTACACCTGAGGGTCCCTTGCCTACATTCCATTCATCATCAGCGAGCATGTCACGCTCTTTAACTACTACTCAGTTGCTCCCAGCTGCTTCACGAAACTATACCCGGCCATTAGACCCCAATTATGCATGGAGCTATGTTCTTAGGCACCAGCAGACATTGATGGCTGAACAATGCTTTCAAGCTGACCAAAGTATGAGTATCATGATCCGCAATATGATCGACATAGTCCTCTGGTTGAAGGTACAGTTTTCTACACTTATTAGATGGTTTCTTGGTGCTGACTAGCCAACTTGAATATCACTATCACTAGAACAACAACCCTCCCCACCTAGTAAGGCTTTTGTGCACTGCACCTGGAAAGTTTGTGCCAGGAGACCATCAGCTATTGATGAGATTCGACCTTGGAGACTATATTGCAGTATATTGCAGTGATCAGCATGCCTGGATTAAGCAGGATATCAAGACTCCACTTCTCAGTCCCCCCAATTTGACTATCCTCCTGCATTCTATTGACCTTACTGACAATAATATGCTATTAGGATTCGCTGAGAGGGTCTTATCTCTTAGTCACACACCTGCAATTGTCCAATCTCCGTCAAAATGATTCTTTAGCACCATGGGTATGCATCTCTCCCAATTGGATGGGATCACCTCACCATTGAAGCAGCAGAGGAACACTAGTAGTAACAACCCTGTGAGCCCAGCTCTCATCTCTCTGCAGTTGCCCATTCCTTTACCAGTGATACCTCTATCACTCACCGCTGGTGACTCAAACATGTTGCCTATATTAGTACCTCCACCAGCCATGGTCCAACCCAACACCTCTGCTACTGTCCCTGTAGGTGCCCAAGTATGATTTCCTTGGAAGTATGCATGTGATATGGTTCCCTGGATTCAGCTCTTTGTCAATTTATCAGACGATCAGACGATCCAGACCCTCTTTGCTACTACCTTTCCAAATTGTGTCTATACTAAGGCAACATTTTATAAGCATCACACTGCTTATCGGGCAGCTATTGAGCATTTGAGTGATAGGGTAGAATTTGCCGTTGATGCAGGATATAGTCCTGCTGGCCAGTGGAACACCCTCTTGGCTGAAATTAAAGCTAATGCTCTGAGTCTCACCCCTACCCTGCCTCCGAGTCTACCAATGGACCCATCTACTGCTGACACTGGATTGCTGCTCCCTACTGACCTAACCAGTGAGATTTTTAATCCGATTTACTCCTTCCATGGCCAGCTAATCCTTGTCTTCAAGTCCTACCCTGCCTCTGAGTCTACCAATGGACCCATCTACTGCCGACACTGGATTCCCACTCCCTACTGATCTAATTGGTGAGATTCTCAATCCGATTTACTTCTTCCACAGTGGCTAATCCTCATCTTCAGGTCTTATTCTGCCTCCGAGTCTACCAATGGACCCATCTACTGACAATACTGGATTCCCACTCCCTACTGACCCAACCAGCAAGATAGATGATGCTATTGCATCACTATTGTGGAACATAGACAAAATGAACCACGATACTACAGCTACCACTGATTCTGAATTTCCATTAGATCTTACAAGTTATTCCCAATTTGATCCATTTAGCGCTTGATTAAATGATCATTCTCCTGCAGATTATTCTTTTATGGAACCTGATGTTCCAGTCTTACTACCATTACTACCTTTTTAATTAGACTCACTAGCACCATGAAAAGTTCTACTAGTTAAGTCAACTTTGTTAGTCTGATGCAGGTCTTGCTCTGCCAAATCTATGGGATTTTCCAGTTGACCAACAATGCAGGGAGCTCATCTATTTACAGGTTGCGTGGTGTACTAAAATCATTCCTGTTGATCCCAAGAAGCCAGACACAAGGGAATATCAAGGTACTCATGGCCACAAATCGACCAGATACTGACCTCACTTATTCAGCCTAGCACTGATGACTTTCTTCAGTTATGAGTGTCGAATGGACATCCAATTTAACCTTATTGCTCAATTATGATGGGTGCTGAGCTTCAGTCACTCGTGACTGAGGTGAGAAATTAACTATCTTCTCTATAATATCAAGTGTACAACTAGACTATTTTACCTTATTACATGTATTGTTCTCTCAAATGATCAGAGTTAGCTCTCGAATGCTGGAGGAAGAATTTCAAGGACTTAAGCTTGCATGTATTATTCTTCCAAATCACACATTTTCAAAGCAACAAAGATGCACAACAAGAGATAGAATTATCAATGACAAAAATCTAGACAATGTGAACTATGTAATGTGAAACAAGTACCGGGAGTGGAGGCAATGCACTAGTCACTGTCAAACAGAGTATCCATGGAAAGCATCCAAGGAGAATGTTCTCATCTCTCCAACTCCAAGATAACATAGCGGTTCCAATGTTTGATCATCTCATCAAAATAAAAGTTATACCAGTGTACGGACATGTTCCGGAGGATTGCTTGATACCCACCTAGCCAGATGTTTGTCTGTTCGCAAATGGATGTATTGAATCGCCACTTGCTGCCGGAAATGAGCTCTGGGAAAGCAGCAGGGTTGCAGTGCTGCTGACAGTAGGTGTCAGTTTCCTTGTGTTTCAAGTTGAAGTGAAAACATCCACAGGCATCCCTGTTGCGGCGAAGTGGTCATCACCACTAGCGTCTTGGTGGGCACAGAGCTTGCAGTTGTTGTCAAAGACGAAGTATTCAGGTGTTGATGCAGCAGTAGGAAATACCACCTTTACAAATTCCTTGAGTTTAAATGTTAGCCCACATCAGTAAGACTGTATGTAACTCACATTAACAGCAGAGACGGCCTCAGACCCAAAAAACGTAGCCCGTGCTAATATGACCCCACAAGGCCGCATAATAAGTTGCTTATTATGGGTTCAGTGTCAACCAAACTGTGCTCTGAGGTGTTTGTTGCTGTTCTCCGGCTTACCATCACACTCCAAGTCAAGAATTGCCTCGAGATCTTCATCAGTACTGTTAGAGCTACTGCCACTATCAGAGGGTGAAGGAACAGAGTCCAAGGGCAAGGTAATGCCAGCCCTCTTGAGCTGTGCTCGCAGCTGGAAAAGAGCTTTTGTGGGCTTGAAGTAGGCATCTTCAAGAGCCTGGTGGTTCACATTGCCGCATGTTCGAGATCCAGAGGCATGAACCTCATCACAGCCATCAACCCCACACCACTGGTTCAAGTCTTGATGGTCTGGACAGAAACAATGACAGTTGGTCATAAGCAGGACTTTGCAGTCATGCACTGCACAGCAAGGGTGCCCGATGGTATTACCATCACAAACAGCTGCTTGAATCTTCACTACAGTGTGTAATCAATCTTAGTATGACACCTCACACTTGAAAAATAATTCACTTACATTTTGGGTCGTCACTGACAACAATGAAGCATAAGTCACAGGCATGCAGATATGCTTCCTGCCTGATACCTTGCTCGTCATGGGGGAGAACAAGGCAACTGTTGTGCTCTGCCTTCTCCAGTAGCAGTGAGTAGATAAAAAAACCATTCAGAACATCAGTGTCGCGCATTTGAAGGGTATATTGCCACAAAAATTTGTTGTCGAAAGCTTGTGAAAGTGTAGCGTTGAAAGTGTGTCTGTTGTTCAAGATGTAGGCATGCCATTGAGCAAGTGCATAGTTGTACACACGAGCACAGTTCATGCTAGACATCCTGGAACAAAAGGTTGGCATTATTATTATCAGAGAAAGATGACATACCATCCAAAGACTTTTGTTGCTGCAAAAAGCTCCATCAGCGCAGCTTCAATATAGAAATGCCTCGTGGCCTGAATGACGCTGGGAACACCAGCATAGTACATGTGTGTTGAGTCGGCATTGTTAGTCCAATAATTGTGGTAATATCTAGTATGACATTCTGAATGAAATGGTCAGTATACATTACTGTAAGTTAAAGAACATATGTCGACAATATGTTGATACCGAATGGACCAGAAGAGAACCATCTCGCAATGTAAAGAGGCTAGCACGAAATGTATTGACATCCGTGAGAGTGGCTACTTTATTGCCATCCCGGTAGTTCTTGCATTCAGGACTCTGGCATACACGTGTTGGTGGATACAAGTCATGATATCCTACGAGGTTTAAACATGTCAGTAAAGAAGTGAGACGATGAACAGCCAATGCACCTATACCATGCATAAGTCCATGATGGTTAAATGCTTCAACCTCCTCGTCAGTTGGAAGTATTGTACCATGAGTCCAGATAACCTGATGGAATGCTACCCAGCATGCGAGAATAGTTGGTTAGTCTTGGCCAAGTGCACCAGCAAGAAGGAGTACAATGACTTCTGGAGGGTGGGCAGGTGGATGCCAGATATCGGTGTAGCGATGATTGTGGTGTTGGGCTCAAAACCACATATTTCCATACTCATGTCAACACCCAAAACATATGCGCACATGTCTGACGCACCTTCGCACATGTCCAAGCCACTCCGTATCGGATCCAGCGCATCGGACCTTCGGACATTGCATTGGCCGATCGCACTTCGCACACACTTGTCCATCCCGTGTCTTGTCCACCCGAACTAGCCTCACTAGGTGCATAGCTATTCCCGTGCACGTTTTCTGACATTCTGACCGCATTATTACATGTCCGCAGCACCTCGTGTCTTATTACATAGGACATCGGACCCGAAAATATATCGCTACTATCTTCGCCTGTAGTTTTCTGAATTTCTACGTACTTACTTAAATACTCTGTAGTGACCCATAGCAATCATCATCCAGTAGTTAGGAGCCATTTCCCGACTCTGTGGATCACCCAGAATATTCTCGTAGTTCTTAGTTGCATTGCTAAATATTACCATTCGTTCACCATCATACTCCATCACTCGTTATACTCGCGCATACCGCTCGCAATCTGACACTCGTTATAAAGTTTCCGACCTATTATTGTGAAGTCCGAAAGTCCGAAATCTCGGACATCGCACTTTGGCTTCGGACATCATTGGATTATCTTTGGACATCATTTCGCACCATCGGACATTTTGTTATTTGCATTACTGACACATTTTTACTACTAATACCAATTAGCAATCCCTTTAGGATTGAACGCACTTGCTCTGCAAGTATAGCAGCATAGGTCGTGCTAAGATCTACCTAAATATTTGTTGTCTAGGTAGTACAATTTCTGCTGAGCCCAGTGGAGATCAGCTTTCTACATTGGTCATGCACTGGTGAATAAATTGTTTTGCCATGCATGCAAGCCAAACAAAGGCCATGAGGTCGGGGAAAGTGAGATCAGACGTGTCAAAGGGCGCAAGTAATTGACAGATGGAGTCTGTCATGAAGGGAAGCAGAAGGGATGGCAATAATGGCAATGAGGAAGCAGAGGAACATCAATAATGACAATGAGGGGAGCAGTTGAGTATGATATACGCGCTAACAACATTGTTTGGTCATTCTACCCAGTGGGATCGTAGACTCAGGTGGACTGTGGTAGATTCTGCGGAGTTTTCTGAAATGGAGTCTACCAATTTTCTATGTGAGTCCACGGTAGATTCTACCCATGCACCTTACATGCCCTCCAAAAGTTGGTCAAATCAGTTTTTTTGATGATGACACAATAAAACCCACTACTGCCGTAGCGGGAATAGCGGCTACCAAATAAGGAAAGTGCCGGTGGCGTGGAAAATCACAATGTGAGCTCGTCGAAATTTTAAATTGAAGAATTTTGAAAAATCAACTAGATATGTTTGTTACAAGCCAGGTTCAAATGAATGCGATTCCACAAGTTTGGGCACAAATCAGGCGGGATGGGGTGATGTAGAAGTAAATCTGTGTTGGTAGGTTGGCGGAGGTCGGTTTTTCCCGTTTTGCACTGTCACACATATGTGACTTCAATAATGGTCCAGGCCAAAGTGGGGACGGTGCATGCCTTGTACCAATCCATTATTAGTGACAGTACTGTGTATATAAGTAACCCAGAAGTAGTCCTAGAGGAGGAAGTGAAGGTGAAATGCTATAGTATTAGTGTGACACGTGGTGGATAACGCATGATTGATATAAGCTATCGCTTAACGCGAGGTCAAGTTAAACGTGACTCCCAGACTCAGGTAGTAGTAACACCGTCGTTCATATGCGCATATGGCGTTGCTAAAGTTGTTGTCACATGCTGCGTTTGAGATTAATATTACAAGTGTAGGTGACTCATCTATTCGGTTGCAGTCTCCACCGAATTGCAGGATATCGTCATGAGAGAGTTAGCTCGAGTTCCTCGGTGATCCTTGGTGAATTCCGGAACTGCGATATTCGCACCTCTCACGGTCAAGCGGGCTGCAAACAATTCCAAGAACTTGAGGCCTGAGGATTTGTAGCCAAGGGCCCATACGAGTCCCCCCTGTAGTGTAATACAGCTATCGTCATAGGTCACTGAGTCTCGGCAATCATGATGAGGTCTAGAATTTCGAATTCGACTCACTATTTCATCCATGCTTCGAGCTGTATGCAAAGATAAGTCAACGGACCAAGACTGCTGGACTGGGAGCTTGCGCCCATCTTCTTTCGGAACCGCATTTCACCATCCGATGATCCAGAATATCCAGAACGAGAGAAACAAGTCAGCTGTATGTCGGGCCTAAGTTTGCGTACTCGGGAACGGCCGCGCGACTGCATTGCCTTGCTCACACTATTTCAAAATCCATACCCTCTCCTGATTGTAGGGCTTGCAAGAAAGGCACCGGCGGCAACCGACAGTGGAGTCAGGGATAAGTTGGTTTACTAGTCCCTTGAACTGTGTACATGTGATACTTTTAGACTTTCCCGTTTCCTGTGTCACCTGCGGATTATCAGCATTTGTAAGACCAACGATCTAACCTAAAACGGACCCTGTGCAAGCTTCTCGTCTAGCCCATGAACCACTCGCAGATTATCAAGAACAGAACTTAGAACATCGATTTAACCTAAAAAAGGTCTCTGTGCAAGCTTCTGGTCCGCCCAACCAAACTAGCGAGCAAGATCCTGCCGTGTCTTCCTAATGTCTTGATTTATTCGACGACCACGGATATTAAGAACAGGACCCAGTGACAGGCTGTCTTCAAAACTGTAAGCAGTATATCAAGGTATGCGAGCACGGCATATTTACCATATCACTAAACAGTACTAGGGGCTTCGAAGCTTCAAATGAATCCCCGGTCAGCATGGATCAAATCGAATCGCACTGACACAGGGTGAGCTCTTCGTATCCGATTTCTACACAAGGAACACTTGTGACTTCCCCGCGCAATTATGAGTTCCACAACGGGGCTGGGCTGTGTGCGAACTTTAAGGGGAAGAACTCCTGTGTTACGTGGTCTTTACTTGAAGCGTACAAGGACTGACCTATTGTAAATAGGGGATTTAGCCACTCCAAGTCGGATTGGCTCTAGTAGCAGCCGCTCGACGTAATACAACCATCACAACTAGCATTAATGAAGAGACAAAAGGGCATAACTTCAGGACATTATGGTCAAGATGCGAAAGGCTCTGCTGAACTAATATAAAGATATGACTCTTCCTTGATCAACGGCAATAAGCCGGATGTACGACTCCCGGAAGTCTCCATGCAGTTTATGATGATCCCGTTAGTCTGCCTCACCTTGGTTGTTCTTGGTTCTCGCGAGTAGCGCTAGGCACCGCCGAAGTCTTGTGGTGTGGAGAGCCAACCGTGTTCGGCTAGTCGGAAGAATGATGAAGAAAAAAGAACCTGCTGTTTTGTAAATTTTGAGTTGCTACTCCACATGATGATGACCGTATCAGAACGACCAGATGCACATGTCGGTGAAAACCGACGGACGTTTTCAACGAAGCTCACGTGCGAACCTGGGAATGATGACAATGAGCCACTCACCGTGCAAAGCTCCCGTGGACTGTGGTTATTACTGGAATAAGTAATACTGTAACCGTCGTCCCATCGCGACCGATAAGTAAGTCCCACTGCCTACCAGGGAACGGAGCGGCGCCACTATCAGCCCATGCGATAGTCATGATTGATATGAGAGCGACGCTGATACGAGGCCGGTGACGCGGATATGAGTTATGTGTAAAACCAACTTCAAGTTAGGTTTAAGACAGCTTGTAACAAACCTTGGGCAGATATGCCCGAAAGGCCTAAAGCGATTTGGCATGCCACATTGAACTGAAAGGCTGCGCGATTGTTTTTATATCATAGCTGGCCCGCAGTGCTGGGACACGAGGCAAGCCTCGAGGCGTCTTGCCATTAGGCTATATCCCCAATGGGAAGGCGAGATATCTAGGCGCCGCGTTTTCGAGCGGGCGGTGTGAGCACCTCCAGGATGTGCGGCAAAGATGACGCCGTGAGACATATGATTAGGGCAGGTGGGCTGACTGATCACCGATGAGATAACTTGGGCTTGATCTGTTTTTGTCTGAGACACATCTGAGATACAGACATCAAAATCGGCGGTGAGATGGGATGATGATCAGGATAAGGATGATATAGATCGATGAGATGGTAAAGCTGATAATCAGTTTACGTGGAGAAGTCCAGAGAGGAAAACGAGGACTAATGAAATTGAGTATGCCATCGACAACAAGGGGAGAAGACGTGTAACTGGTAGTATGGAAGGAGTTATAGAAACACTTCTTAAGAAGTGCTCTTGGAAGGCCACCGGCAATTTCATTTCACGGGGAAAATAGTGCGTGGCAAATTTCTATATGCACAAGATGGAGGACACATGGTTGGTTTTTTCACCGATTGGTAAACAGGGAAACGGTCAAGGGTTCACAACTGATTGGAGGCAAGGGAAATACTAGAAACACGTGCGGCGATCAAAGATTGATCAGTTGAACAGTGCAAGATAAAACATAAGCGGGACACTGGCAAGTAGTGCCCGTGGGGCAGGCCCGATGACAATGTGACAAGAGGACATTCACTGCCACGGCGTGAGATGGGAGCTAGACTGATGACTGTGTGATATGAGAGTCAGGAACAACACGCTGTACAAATGAATATGGATACTGGGCTGGAGCGTGGTGTCCCCCAGAAAGAGTATGTCTGACCAAGTGGCCTGCCTCGTTGCAAGGCATGACTCTCGGTCACTGATCACGAATACAAAGGAAGCCCTTGCATGGAATGGCGTTGTGCAATTATTGGACTACTTGCTGGTAAGAGGGCGGCCTCGAGGCATAGGGATGAAAATTTGAACCGCGAGTGCAACCAATTGGAGGTATAGTACTTACGAGTCAGGGCTAACGATTCAAGGGAAGAGTAGTCCGACCTGTCGTTGCAGAAAAATTACGGACCCACCTCAGCATAGCCACCGTCGGGTAACCTGTGATTGGATGATATCCCCGTGAACGGCTTTTCCACTAACAACAATGGACCGACGAACAAAAATGTAGAAAATTTTACATTTTCTACTCAGGCATCGTACCATACAGCAGCGATACTCATCTCAACCGTTGTTCAAAACATTGCCCTTCGTGCTCGGTAAGGCCTTTCCAAAATTTCATCCTGTGTATGGCACTGACGGGACGCGTGTACGATTCTCTTTATCTCTAGACTTGCCTATCGAAGGTGGCTGGGCTCCGGACGGCCATTTTTGTTGTGACCTGGGTCACTTTTCATATCGCGAACCTGTAGACGCTCATTTCCTGCCTCGAGGCAATCCCCGAAGTCATCTCTCATACGGTCGTAATATCAGATCCGAGATCTTCCCGTGGAACAATTCCCTTTTAACCATTGGTGAATCCATTTCCTTTCCCTTTTCCCCCGTCTATGCTTACTGCTTCTTTCCGTCCGCCCAGCGGTGGCTGGTATTGTCGTCCCCCGCCCCCAATGCAGCGCCGTGGCCGCTCACGCCAAATATCGCCAGTGGCACTAGCCAGGCAGGCATCCGAAGAACGGAGACTCCACATATGTGTCGAGAAACAGCAGGAAGCAGAAATTGCTAGACACACAAACTTCTTTGTGCCACAGACACCTCTCTCATCCCAGTCAGAGAAGGCGGACCCTTCATCGACGCATCCACAGCAACAATGCCGTGCTTCGGACGCATCAGCACTGGTTCAATCTCCTTCACATTCTACAAATTCCATGGCCGACTCCATGAAGTCGGCGGACAGATCTCTTTCGTCCACCCGCTCTTTATCTCCGACACCCTCAGGGTCTCTAGGGTCCACTGAATCATCAGCACCCTCTTCTATCTCTCTTGACGCATATGACTCTCCTCCCTCACCGCCCCGATCCCTTGAGGACCAAGTACAGGTGGCTTACGCGTTGGATGATATCCGTCTTGCCAAGATCCTACTTCTTAAACTTAAAGGGATCGATGTCACCTCGGACAACGATCCTAGGATAGATGAAGTCCAAGACGAGGATTTTGACATGTGCTTCGTACCATCAGGTCCACTCAAGCTTGAAGAACCCGAATTGCGTGTTGTCCAAGAAACTCGACGGAGACAGCAACAGAAGTGGGAGGATGCTCAACGAAAACAACGCTTGCGCATGTGCGAAAGGATTTGGGAGGAAGAGAAGCATCGTCTACAAACCGAGCGACTTCGCGCTATTCGTCGTCGCGAGGAGGAAATTGCTGTAGAGGAAGAGCGAAAGCGGATAGCAGAGTTTCACAAGCAGCAAGAGGCAGAGCTCGCTCTTCGACAGCGTTCCACGCGGGTGGGGTTCTCGATGGTTCCACGTCACACTGTATCTTATGGTAAATTGTCGCAGGCACGGATTGAGAGATGCTCTCCAAAGTGTAACGAAGATCCATTTCAGTACAGCTTCATGCGACCCATGAATTTGAGCACAACCCCACCCAAGCGTGGCCTCACATCCCCGAAACCGCTCCGTAATGACGCCACGCCAAAGCCTTCAGGTGGCCAGCAGCGCACAGTGTCGTTCAAGGAGGTTATGTCCTCTATGGACGATAAGCTGTTCCCCCTCGACGCAGCTGAGCGGGCGGAGGAGGCGAGGCGTATTGCAGGAATCAGTACTGTCTCCAGCCCTTCGCGGCACCGCCATCATAACTCTGCACGATCTGATTTACTGCTCAACCTGCTGCATGTAGTTGAGTGGCAAGAAGGAGAAAGGAGAAAGGCGAAAGGCAAGAACGTGGAACGACCTGCGCAGCTTCTTCAGCAATCTCCGCTCTGCAGTACTCCCGCCCCTATACTTTCGATCCCCTCAACTGACTCGATACCCCCAATGTCATCTTCTGTTGCCACGTCTCGATCGAACTCTTGGCTGTCCTTTGGTAGTTGGCGCTCGTCGGTAACAGATATTACGTCTCCTGAAGCATCTACGCCTGTCACCGACTCGCCCAAATGTTCCACGTCATTCCTGCAGCTACCTACTTTTTATGACAGTCAGCGAGATTTGAGCCCGCGCTCCTCCTTCGTCCGTGTTTCGCTCGATGAAACACCACTATCGCCGCTCAAGACTCAAAGACATAGTCGGGTTGTGCAGTCATCTCGACCTGTTGTTGATGTCCCCTCATCAGCAGGTCAATCTCGTGGGTTGGAGAGTATGGGGAAATCGCTGGTTCGACATGTCAGTCGTTCTGTTCACGGGATAGTCGATGTGGCGAAAGGACTTCAATCAGCCTACATTTCTACAACCATGTTTTCCGTTGGCGCTGCTCCTTCCCTCTCTTTTGTGTCCTCTTCACATTCTCGGGCTGGCTTCTCCAACAGAAGAAATTTCCGACCCTACGGTTATCGTGCTCGCCCAGATGACGTGAAGAAATTTACTTCTCTCACCACACCATCCCCAACAGCCACCTCACCTGAGCCGATCCACTTTATTCCTCTCGTATCTCCTTTCCAACCGGGTTCTGCATTAGTTGTGCATCGCTTGGCGGCATCACACTCCCTCGTCATCCCCTCACCCCTTCGCCCTCGCACCCCACCCACTGCGCTTGCTTACCGCATGCGCCCCGTCGCGAACCCCGAACTCCTCCGTTTACGCGCACTCCAGAATCTCATGTATTTGCGGGGCAAAGAATGGGAAGGCCGCGGCCGAGAAGGCGGGCTCGGTTGCGGTAAAGAACGTATGCTTGGTGTTGCCTTTGAAGGCCGGGGGCCGAGCGGTCTAGGGTGCGAGATACGGTTTGTTATCGCATGATAACTTGCCTCCTCGTGGGATTTATGTGTGTGGTGGTATCTGGACTTTATAATCAGTTTATGCGTTTTTTAATCCTAATCGCTGGAACGGGACCTTTCATTTTGGGAGTGCGAGGAGCAGAGTGGTGGTAGCGGTGATTGATCTAGGTGGTCCATCTGTTGTCTGTATCTATAGAATGGTTTTAGCTGACGATACCACGAGCACGTACATATGATTTTTGTTTCTCTCCTGTCCATATATATACCTGACCAGCGTTTTTCCGATTGCGATATCCCATCCATCTAGATTTACCATTTCCTTGTCTTGTGACTCCCCCTGCGTACCCCGTGTCTACTTCGCCATAGAGAGCTGATTGAATGGAATCTCATATGCTTTAAGCGAATTCCGTCCTTAAAAATACTAGTTGTCTACAGTCTGACTCCCCTCGACTGATCGGCCTACCGTGAATTTCAAACCGGGGAAGGTGATGTACATTTACCGGTGACAGTGTATATGCAGATGTATCTGTCTGGTCGCCATGAGGCGTTCTCGGTCAGGGAAGTTGTATATCCAATCATCCTTTGGCCCTCTGCCCTCGATACGGTCACGGCTGCTGTTCTCGCACACAGTCCATTGTGAAACAGGGGAAAAGGTTCGTTCCCGCACCGTCCTTTCACCTGTGACAGACAGGTGAAAGCTAGATGTCTTTTGAAAAACCTTGATCATAGCATGCCACTAGAAGACACTTCTGTCATTCGATACATCATCAATTGTCCTGCCGGTAACCACCCTCCAAAAGCCTCCAAAGTTCAACAGGTGATCGTAATGAAATTCACCTGTTCTCGGTGGCAGAATGGTCGTTCAAGACGTGTAGATTACAATTCCAGGGTAACGCATTGTAGTTCATGTCATCGAAAGACGTTGCAGTAAGCGGAGTATTGTCAAAACAAGAAGGGTATCAAAAGAGTCTAGAAATACAACGTTGCAATAAAACGAACTATACCGCGAGTTAATGGTTAAAATCCGTTATATTTGACGAGGTCCAACGGTCAAGTTTAGACGATGTCGACTGCGCCCAACCAACGCTTGAGCCCACGCTTACTGGTGGTGCAGGCCCAGGATTTGGCGAGAAGAAATTTGCGGGTCGTCGCATGGTCTTGGCGTACGGAAGTTGATTGGAGTATATGGGATCTTGCATCCGTAGACCACTACCAAGTTGAGGAGGATGCTGCGGCTGAATCCGCTGCTGTGTTTGGGGTCGTTGAGGCTGCGGTGGTGGCGGTAGGGGTTGTTGTTGGGGCTGTTGCTGAGGCTGCGACTCCCATCCACTCCATGGGTTACTATCCCGCTCTTGTGGCACATCAATATCAAACGCCCACGGGCTCATACGCGAACCAGAAGACGACCCACTACGCATCCGAGATGCAACGGAAAGTGACGTCGAGATTCGACCACTCTCCTCTCGCTCGAGATCAAGTGCGATGCCCTTTTCGCTCAAGGAGGCGGAGTCGATGCCTAGCATCTTACGCAGCTCCTCATTCTCCTTTTCCAGGCGGGAAATTTCAATTTCGCGCTCCAACGCCCAATCTTCTCGAATCTCGGATTCCGCTTGTTGGTCTAATGTTTCAAGGAGAGCATCAATGTCGATCGGAGAGTCTTGGGTTCCATCGTCGTTTAGTTCGGGCTCTTCGCCAGACATTGAGCGATGCAAAGCACGAAGGGTGTGAGCGAGGCGCTGAAGGCCGACTGCGGTCTTAGTTTCGGAAGTTAGGTCCGTATACTGGTTCTGGGAGTCACAGGCCAGAAGTAAACCTTCATAGTGGCGCGTAAGGGTAAGCTCGTGTTGCTGAGCTGCTAACTAGATTCGAGGGACGTTATTATTGGAGAGTTGACAATGGGATGTCAGACGCACCGCATGATTCCGAAATTTGGACATAATGGTTTCCATAGTGCTTTCATATTCTTTGAGAAGGATACTAAATTGCTTGTTCTCGTGAAGTAGGGTTTGGTTCTCTATAATGAATTGGGCGTTCAGGCGCTCCAATTCGGAGTCGAAAATCTCTGCGAACAAGGTTCAGCCCTGCTGCGGATGGAGGACGTGAATGCAAGCAGACCTTTCGAAATGTCGGTATTAAACCGCCTCAAAGCAAAACCTGAGCTGGCATGCACAGCCTGGTCCTAGTGAAAAAATGTGAAAGGAACGGATATTAGTAGTGAGAGAACTGACTTTTATTGAAGCAGCCTGTGAATGTATTGTATTTGATATCTTCTGGTTATGAGCGAGCTGGTCGCTGAGCTCGTGAATAAGGAGCCATGCGCGCAGAATATCGTTATCCATGATCATGTTCAAGAGCAGCTATATGCTCTTCCCAAATAGGAAGGATTGACGAGAACGCAAAGCGCACCGTTGAAACTTTTGATCAGCTCAACGTTCAGTGCACTTCAAGGCAGTCCTGGGGTGCTGCGGGATTAGGATCGAATTGAAGAGACTATTGTTTCACTGACCTTTGTGAGCTTGGGGTTCCGGGTGAGAGGGCGTGGGAAAGTATGTTAAGAGGGTCGACCTCCAACTTGTTCACTCCTATGATAGTTTCTCCTCATCAGCCAAATTCTGTATAACATTTAAACTGAAACGCTCGCTTTCTTCGATAATCAATTGGGAAATAACTGGCGATTATATCTCCAGCACACGTTTACTTCGGCAATTTCGATTTTACATTTATTCTCGCTAATCATCCCTTTCTCTCTTATTCGGCTTTCTCGTCATTCGGCCCTCTTTTTTTCCAGCACAACTTTAGTCTTCATATAAAGTTTCAAACATGGCATCTGGCTCAACATCTGGTCTATCGGCGTCAGTCACGCGCATTTTGTCTTTGACAGGCTTTGCAAAAGAGCTCAAGACCAAAGATATCCAATCTGCATTTTCGGAATGGGAGAATATTGGTGGAGGGTTCAAGATTAAATGGCGAGACGATACAAGCCTCTTGATCGTTTTTCAAGATGCTTCAGTTGGTAAGTACTAACTGAATTGATTTCTAGTAAAACTGTGTCTTACGAATTTGTTTCCACGTGGTTGACAGCAAAACGAGCATATCTCCACACGCTCGCGTTCCCTCCTGCCATCCTTACTACCGGCAGTTCCGCTACCATCAAACCATATGATGGGCCTGACGCCCAAACTGTCATTCAAACAGTAAACACTAGGGGCCACACAGGCAATGCTTCTCGCGGTCACAATTTACGCGCTGCCTCCATTTCTGTTTTCCCGAGCCGCAGTGCCAACAGTAGTCAGAACGGCAATGGATTACGCAACGGGAACGGCCAGAATAACCACGTGCTGAATACTACTATTTCGGAGCATTCACCAAGGCTCACCAACGGGCGTGAGCCTTCTCCGACCCTTCCGACCCTCCCTTCTCACCCATCTCTCAATGACCTCATAAATTCAGCCGTGTCACACGATGATCCCGCTATTCTTCACGCGGAAGGCCCACCAAAGATTGGAGATCCAGGGAAAAGAATGTTGGGTGCTGCTCTAGGTGTGAGACACCCTGCACTGGGACCGCGAGTCATTAATGGAAGTCACGTCACGGGAGGTGTAAGTCCCGGTACTAGCCCCAGGGGCAATGGACTTGATTCAACCATGAGGGACATGCAGAGGGCAATGGGAGGGCTGACTGTCGCCGAGTGAATAATACACCATGTCCGAAGATGTGTCTTCGGATCTGCATCGTGGCGTTTCAATTGAGTACGTTGTAATTGATGTTTTTCGTGGCTGATACGCATCCCTTGATGGCATAATTGGAGGTTTTCATATTTTTTTTTTCTGTTTCTTTGTGCTATTAGTTCCTGCATTCCTCGTGTCACCATACGTAGTCCCTCGTTTTCGAATGTTTTTTTGTGCGATTACTGCACATTCTAGGCCACATCATATTGACTGTGTGATATACGCCAGGGTGTTCCCTGGACCTAATACAATATTGGATATTACTTTTAAACTCTAGAAATATTAGTCATAAAAATAGCGGGTCTGTGCCCGCAGTTCCATTGGTTCCTGAAAGTCAGAACACCCGTCGTCAACCCCCCACCCGTGAACCCTACTGCCGACCTCGTTGCCCGTGCATGGTAGAATTTAGTCATGGCAGGATTTTGATTTTGGCAGTGCCACTAACCTGTGACACGACATGATCGCTGCCAACGATGGCACTGGCAGCCAAACTTCTGGAGCAAGCACAGCTCTGGCCAGCTATACTAACTGTTTTAGATCCTGCTCCGTGCTTTCTGCTGTATGATCGCGCGCAGTTCAGCGATAACGCACCATCATCTGTTACGACATCACGGAGAAGCTAATACAATGTTGGCCCATCTTGGGTGGCATCACGAGGTTTCATCAGATCAAAGATGAAACGGAAGATTGAATTTCATGGGAAATAGGCAAGGTTCCTTATTCGGCCTGTGTGGACTTGATGGACAACCTTGATTGATATTCGCAAGCGCATCTCAAGCGCATCTTGTTACGAACCCCTACACGGGCCTGACAAATGCCCAGAGCCTGCCCATTCCTGGAATACCACTGATCACGCGGGGGAAACAAAGGGAGTAATGCCAAATATGTGGTACAATGCCTTGTAGCTATTGACGGCTGCCACTCAGCCAAGGGAAGTTCATGGTGCTGTCAATAACACGAGGCTCAGGTGCGTCTTTCCCTCGCAATCAGAGCAACTCTCCAGTATTCTTTATCCGGTTCTCAAGCCAACCCCTTGTAGACACGGTTAACTGGTCGGTGACCTTGCTGCCGTAGCTATATACATGCGGCCTGCTTCCTTGGCCGGTGATTTTCCTGATATATCACATGGTTGATGACTTTGACGACAAAGGTCGCCAATTCACTTCCGCGTCCATTCTTGCGCCATCACTTAGTACAGATTTCAACGTGTTCGTGAGCCACTTTACCCCCGATTGCGTTGTTTGCTATCGGTACATTACGGGACTGATCAATGGAAGTAACGCAGTCACAAGAGTTAATCATTCGAGACCCTATACAATCGAGCACCGTAAGTACCTGCCAACAGCAGCCGACTTAGCGATGCGGACCTGGTTTTAAATCGCCTGTCTTCCAATTTGATACGTTACTGACATCCCAGCCTTTCTATTTGTGTTCTTTAACATCCAGATTTTGACCCTTCTTTACGGCTGATCTTGGGGTATATGATCTCCGAATCGATTTCCGCGCGCAGCTTTCGTTGCTGCTCCATCATACACTGAATGTGACTTCCCTCATCATCTAAACATGCAGCCATACATATACTGCCATCCTCAGCTTCAGTCCTCCCATACACACATTATGAGTCCCTACATCCACTCCCACTCCCCCGATAGCGCCTACTCTTCCGACGGTTTATACTCCCCTCCCGAACATTACCAGCCAAAGTACGAGTCCTCTGCGACCGTACCAAGGTTCAACTCGTGGTCAGCTTATAGTCATATATCAAGCCTTTTACGTGCTCCGCACCATGTTACGTCCATCAATCCTAAAGTCACGATTTTAACGACACAACCATCCCTATCCTCCGCCGACATTAACACCCCTTCGTCTGCGTCGACGCAGTCATTACAGACACCGTCCTCCCCCTTTGTCCATTATCCCGACACTCGGGAAGACATGGATTTTGATGAATCTGACTCCGAAGATGAGGACGCCGATTTTGATATTGAGGAGATGGACGGGATCGAAGAAGAAACCATGCCGTTCTACGGTGTAACTATGCCCCAAGTGATGAAATCTACCTCCGCGCTAGAAGGTGCGCTAGGGGAAAGTTCACGGTCATCTGGCCCTTGGTGGCCGCAGCCATCATCGTCATATATGCTTTCAGACCGGCGAATGTCCGTGTCTGCGCCTGGATATCCTACCTCGTCTCATCGACAAATACCCTCCCATGCACAGCGACGGCAGGACAGTGATATGTATTCCCCAAGATCCCATAATGATTCCTTACCAGCATCACCTTCATACCCTCATCACAGCTCTTCGTATACCCAGGACAGTTCGAATTCAATGACTACATTATTCGCGCCCACTTCCGCATTGTACCAAAATTCGTCATCATCTCTAGCCGATGCAATTCCGCTCGGCCTTACACCTGGAGCAACACGGAATTCATCCACCCGTCTGCCCATTTTGCAACCGCAACCAATCCGCCCAATCCCCCCCATTCCTTTGGACGAATTAGCATCGTCCGCTGCTGAGGTTGATGAGCCTGTCTTTCCAGATGGAGGCATTCGTAAATCTCGAGAGCGGAGTCTTTCGCCATTTCCACTTCTTTGCCAACCAGTCTCCGATGCCGTGAGGTATCAATTGAGCAAACACCCTAGGAACACTCAGGGTGACGGGGAGTCATATGATAGCCTGATTACGGCCGAGCCGTCACCTAGAGCTTCCATTCAACCTCATCATTTTAGCCCGACTTATCCCCGAAACTGCTCAGGAGCTACGCACACTCCGATGTGTACCTGTATGCGCGATAGGAAAATGAGTAGGCGGTGATTTTTTTTATCCATGCCAATTGTTCATGTTGTGATGTTATTCATGAAAAGGTTTTACTTGGGTATTTGATCAGACCTAGATAACTATCTAATTGGACCGGGCATAGTATATTTCATGTCTTCATTCCATTCGGGGCTCGTTAATAGTTACTTAACCCAGTGATATTATGGACACGTACAAACAAAACGTGAAGTAAACTAACAGAACTAGATGAAAAGAGGGTTGGAAAAAAAAAGAACAAGGCAACTGAAGCCAAAGTGATGCAGGGTAACCTTTAATTATTATCGTAAAATGGTACCGTAAGGGGAATGTCATCATGGAACATGAAACCGTCTCTAGGATCTGGGAATCCAAAGACTAGTCGTGCGATGGTATGAGGTGACGCTGGGAATTCAGGGTTCGCGAAGGAGATTGACGGTTTCGCGCAGCCTAAGTCGAAAGTGGAACGGCTGTTAGATAAACATGAAACGTTTCCTAAATCGATCAAATGCACTGGATCAGGATGTAAGTCGAACTTACCAGTGCCAAGGCCATCAAATAGCTATTGTTTTGTCATATTCCTCCACCAGCAGAAGTCGTCCGCATTCTAGCGCTGCGGGTCGTAAAGGACCTCGTCCTGATCCTGTCACACTCACGTAGGTGCGACTTCTGAGGAGTGCATGGAGCGAAGCGGGTTTGTGGGGCTATACTTTTCCGGGTACATCTCTTGGTTTCAGTGAGGTTCGAAACCGGTTGTAGTAACGGGAGGGCGGGGCGCTTAGGGTTGACGTCGAGAGCCGAAGGCAGTAGTGGCGGAGATCCTGAGAAATCCGGATGTCCGTGGAGAGATCCTCCACGGATCTTCGACTGTAATGAGACCGAATGGTTGGGAAGTTCAGGGGCGCCCGAGTTAGAGGCTGCATCCAGAAGGAGATCCTCAGCCTCACCGCTTCCCTCGTTCGGAAGGAAATAGAAATCTAAAGGTACGTAGGATTGGCGCTGACTGCGGATAACAGGTGATTCCCCGATCGAATCATCGACATCGGTCCTATTCAGGTCAAGTATTGGGAACAACGTGTCCAGGGGATGCGCCCCGTTATCCGTATTACAGGAGAAGACTCTTGCTTTCTGCCTGGTCGTACTCGTGTCAGGTTTGACCGGCTTGTCATAGACTCCCGGGTTAACCCAGCGTTTATATTCGCTGCCATTGCAAGGAACCGATTGGCGATTGTCGGAAGAAGCTGGCCTTCGGTCATTATAATAAGAGTTTTGGTAAGGCACTTCAAGAAGCCCCTCGTAGTAATGTTGCGACTGTTCTTGCATGTAATTTCGGTATGTACCTGCGCATTCCTGGATGTCACGATGAGTGCCGAACGCTCCAGAAAGAAGTTGATAAAGTGCCATCCGCTCAGTAACAGAGAGTGTACAAGCGTTCGGTGAGTCGGCAGAAGTCTTGCGTGGCGATAAACCTAGTTCAGCCTCATCGGTTCTCAGATCTGGCACCGCTTGGGAAAGGGTGTGGAGTGGCGTTGTCTCGAACATTAATATTGGCGGGCCACAATACGTGTAAGAGACCTCGTCTATCGCTTGTGCAAATGAATCAGACTCGTCAATAGTACTGACTGCCATGTCAAATTCGTGGTCATTGTTTGTGTCGCTCGCAGGGAGGATGTCAGGTTGGAGGATTGCATGAGCCGTCCGAGATGACGGGCAGATGACTGGAGGTGGCAGGGGGTCATCGTGAGTGGATCTAGCGGCATATTTCCTTGGACGGCCAGGTTTGGCCTTGATAATTCCACGAGTTTTGCTAACTGAAGGCTTGGCCTCCTTGAGTTTCGATATCAAGTTTACAGTTGTTCTCTGCGACTCCTTCACAGGCGCCTGGCGTAAAGTTCGGAGACTCGGCTTCGGCTGAGAAAACAGATCACATATCAGCCATGTTCTCAATGATCTATTCAAATGTTCGAACCGATCGCGCCGGCACTGGAACGAAATCATTTGGTATACCATTCTTATCTTCCTTGATCACGCGCAGGCCTCGGCTGTGAAAGTAATCATAGACATGCCTCCTGTCGATATTGTAACGTTCTTGCAGCTCTTTCCGGACAGCAAAGGACGGCATCTCGATGTTTCCAGGGTGTATCAGTGCCTCAAGATCACGGACAAGATCCGGTCCTAGTCGGAGAGCGAGGCTCTCAGGATTGACACGCCTTCTCTGAAATACAGTGCTAGCGTTCTGAACAACGGTAGGGTTCTCCGTTCCCAGCGGTCGGTCAAATGATAGGGAGCCAGAACCATTGGAGCGCTGCCAGGTAGAGTGTGAAGAGGCACTTTGACGGGTAAAACGGGAATTGGTGGCTGCATCGGTATTACATGGGGAGATTGTTTCCATTCTGCTTGGAAAATAGATATGAGAAGGTTTCGCGTCAACTTCGGTCAAAAGCAACATCGCTGTGTTAGGACAAGGAATCTTATATATCTTAGTTTTATTCCGCGGAGTGTAAAAATTGTTATTGTACAGCCACTGCGGATTAAAAGTACAAGCTAGCTGCAAAGACGACTAATGCACATGGATCAGAGACAAAACAAATCTCCAGAGTGAACTTGACTTACTGTCCCTCTTGATTTTCACTTGAGCCTCTTCCAGTTTCTTGAACAAGTCCATATCTCCGATCACCCGTGCTGCATCCCTGACTTCCCTACACGTCTCATCTAATCGCGTTATAACTCTCACTATCGTACCCTCTTGAACGTCGGTCAACGCCGTTATCTGGTCAAAGGGCTTCACAAAGGGTCGACTATTAGTTTTTGCCCCTTACGCACGTTCGCTGACTCACCATGCCCTTTGCCCATTCGTATACTACTTCCATGAGACCGAATTTTAAGCTAGTCTTGAACTCCTCTGCCGAAACTTTGTGGCGGTCTTGCACACATTCCACTCCCCGACTGATCGCAAGAATCGCATCTCTGCCTTCCTCCAGTTTGGTCGGTATAACAGGTTCTACCTCTGTCTTTTCTTGAAAGACGAAGCAAGACAGAAGAGCAACCACTTCTTCCGGCTCATAGCTTGCCAGAGTATTCTCAAGTATAAGCTCAGTGAGGACAAGCTCGTTTGCAGAGTTGATCTGAACTTTAGTGAGCCGACAATATAAATCGGTGTAGCACGGCTTTATCTGACCTCGCACGCCACACGACCCTTCAGCTGAACAGTCGAATTGTCGTCGATGAACTTCAACTCCTTCAGAACTTCAATTCGTTGTTCATAATCCGGGATAAGGTCGAGGTTCTGGTCAGAAATTGCCATTTTAAGTTTGTCGATGTTAGTGCGCAGCGTCTTCTGACCATGGAGAATGAGATACTACTCGGCCCAGTCAGTCAAATGAAAATGTGAAAGTGATTTGAACTGACATGATCAAGAAACTCGCCGCACAGTGTACACGAGAAATCTTGGCGACGTTTAGCGAGATCGTTTCTGCTGCGCAATGCCTCCTGGAAATCTAGTGTTCGTATGCGGTCCCAATTAACCTCCGGTATGGTTCCAGTAGCCCTCCATTTATGGACAAAAAATTGCAGAGAGTTGATGATCTCAAGCATCAAAGATTTCCTATGGTGATCGACGATTCCAGTTGCATCCACCTGTTTCAGCTCAGCATCAGAGCTCCGAGCAAAAATGTTGCACACCTTCATAGTCTCGGAAGTCACCATAGAAATGCTGTCGAGAGGGACGCTTCTTAGGTCGTATGTAAGATTCTCTACTTCTAATGAAGTGGGATCCAGTGGCCATCTCGGTGGCAGAGCTCGATCTTCGACATCTGGAAATTTAATGAACGGGTTTCATGTACTAGCGTATGCCATTAAATAGATACCTGCGTCACCTAATTTCGTTTCCTGGTCGACCATAGCCAGCACAAAAAATAGCTTGCCCGCAAATGAACTCGCTTGCCGTGGATCTGGTTTAAGCAAAACGCCGACGTTGCCTCGCCTAAAATGCTGGTTGTAGACGGGAGCTTGATCAGTAGTCATTAGGGTCGCAATTGGCAGATAACGTACGCCGTCTCTTAAGATGACAACCCTCCCTGGACCAAACAGGTTGGCATTTGAAGGACTGGATGTCACCATAGTGCAAAGATTATTATTCAAACCAACGACCTCCAAGGAAAGATCGTAATAGCGCTCGATGTCAAGCGAGCAAATATCACATTCCAGTTTAGGCATCTTGGAAAGTGTCTTCTCATGCTAATGATTATCGTGGGTCAATGGGCACGAAAAATGGAACACAGAAACATACCTCTGCAACTTGCTTTTGATGTTCGGGAAGCAGTCTCTGCGAAGAATTTTCAGAAAAACTGCGTTTTATCATCTCTTCGACGCGTAGTGCCTCCACACGAAGCAAGTTTAGTATCATATTATAGGTGAGCCTGAACTGTGACTGCAATTTTCCGGGTGTGCCGAGCATCATCTTCAAGAGAGATGTTTGCTGTAAAGCAAAGATATTGCTAAAGTGCGCCTAAATTACCGGCAGTGAACTTGCCTCAGGAAGACTGTCGCCGGCAACAATGATCACCGTTCCAATAGGGTCCAGACCTCGCCGTCCAGCACGACCTGCCATTTGGGTATATTCGCCAGGCAGGATGTCCCTGAAGCTGCGCCCATCATGCTTCCGTATGCTAGAGAACACAACGCATCTTGCGGGCATATTAACGCCCTGTGTGTGCCGTCAGGATTGCTTTGCAAATAACATACGATGAGAAGCGCACCATTGCAAAGGTTTCTGTAGCAAACAAAACCTTGACAAGTCCACGTGCAAACAATATCTCTACAACCTGTCAGTGCACATCAGTCATGGTTATGGCCAGTGTGAACTATTCAGACCTCTTTGACGATGGGTAACAAACCACCATGATGAACGCCGATTCCTCGTGATAGTAGATCTCTCATACTAGCGATCTGCGGAAGCTTCTTGTCCGATCCTAAGATGGGAATTAATGCAGTCAGTGAAACCATCTGTGCACTACACTTACCCTTTAGTCGTGCAAGGGCCTTTTCGACGGCCACATGTACTTCACTCTTCTCCACAGACGTGCACAAGTCTGAATTGGTAAGAGTGGCAGCATTTTCTTGGCAACGCTTCTTTGACAAAGTAAACACAACGACAGGAAGAAGCCCCTTTTTCTGAAGATGATTTAGTAGGTGCACATAGAGATTCTTATCTGCCCCAGCGTGAATGGTCCGAGACTGTCCGCCGCCACGCCCACGGGGTGCGAACCCACTCGGGGCTGCGCCGCGTTGACCACCGCGTGCTGGTGCTGCGCCACGCTGCACACCTCTTGCAGCGCCTCGAGCACCGACACGCTGTACAGGAGGTAGACCTGCAGCTTCTCGTTCCTTGTCCTGTTTCCTTCTGAGAGCATCGCTAGCATCCTGGTACCTGTACTCGTAGCGTCAGGATGCGCAATATCCAATCGATTGTCATTTACCCCCGTGCAACCCAATTCCTAGAAGCATCGACGATCTTGAATGTGTCCCTGCCAGCGTAGAGATAATGTTCAAGGGGCACAGGTCTTTGCGCCGTGGATATTACATAGATGTCCTTCTTCTTGGTTCGCCTTTGTAAAGTCGTAATTAAAAGTCAAGCCTTTACGTGCAAGTGTCATAATTTTGCTCACCCTACCCAGTCTGCAAACTCTTTACTGTTGGGAACAGTTGCTGATAGCAAGATAATGTTGACGTGATCAGGTAACATGATGATCACTTCTTCCCAGACGACACCTCTCTGCCAAACTCTAAGAGAAGGAAGTTCGGGTATAATGCAGGCACCGTACCTCTGCATCATTCACGTAATGCACCTCGTCAAAAATCACAAATTCGACATCGCGAATCAGATCGGCGCCTTTATACAGCATGCTTCGCAGGATTTCAGTCGTCATCACCAGACAGCTCGCCTCAGGATTGATCTGCACATCCCCTGTGAGTATTCCGACAGATGATGACGAAAAAGTTTGTTTGAAGTCCCGAAACTTCTGGTTTGACAGCGCTTTGATTGGCGACGTGTATATGGCGCTAGAAGGTAATTGAAGTGTTGACATGCTATACAAAGGACACGACAAACCGTGTCAAATGCTTCTCAGCGAGAGCAATGGCATATTCGGCAACGACAGTTTTCCCAGCGGAAGTATGCGCTGCAACAAAGACTGAATCTCCCATTTCGAGGTGATACACAGCCTCTTTCTGGAAAGTATCCAATTCGAAAGGATACTGCCTAGATCATGAGATTTTAAGTCACGAAAAGAACGATGACCGACTTTGTGAGCCATATCCGGCACAAGTTCATGGAAGTTGGTCATAGGCTTGTTGATATCAACCACATGTGCCCAGTCGCGCTTGACCATATTGGGTTTCCGAGTCCGTCGGGGAGCCGTTGATGGTCGTAGATGTGTCCGCTGGAAGCGTATTATTTGAGCATTAATTGATCCCGTACAACAAGGTCCTCACCGTTGTTGGCAAGAGCTCATCAATTTCTCCCAAACTATCACCATTGGGTAAGAGATCTCTTTCATCATCCAACATGCGACTTTCATCGATGTGCTGAGTGATATGTGCTGAACAGCTATACGATACATGCGAGAATGACAAATATACCTTGTCTTCGTTGTGATCGGCAGTATCATCGAGAGAGGTAAGCATCTCGTCTTCCTTATCGTCTCCCGAGAGTCGCAATCCTCTGGAAAACCCCGGTGGGACAGTCCGCAACCCTTTGATGGGCACTGCTGTAGTTTGTGTTGCTGCCAGAATCACGTCGTCAAGTCCACCAGGCTTGAAAGGAAAGTAACTGGATTTTCCCCTGACAAAGTTGGCAACTGGGGCAGGAGCACGGTCCATGGAGGTCGATGTTAGCGCTGTCGAAACCGGTGCATTTGGCGTCTTAGACGAGTTTACAGCTACTATACGTGGGAGCATAACCAAGGGCTCACTTCTGCATAACCAATGACACGTCCTTCGAGACCTGCACGCAGGAAAGTAAGACTGGTCGGCGGTGGAGAGGGTTCGGAGGTCAAGAGTGATTGTATAGAAATCTCGGGTTGCCATGTTCTGAGGTGAAACAAATCAAATTTGCTAGTTTCAAAGCATATGCAGAGCTTGTACGGACATTTGATATGTTGGAAGCCAGTGTTCGGGTATCCTGTCTGGTGGAAGGAGTAACTTGGCTTCAATTTCTTGATGAACCTCGTCTCGAGTAGGGAAACCAGCGGCTCCGAGATCTTCCAATATCTGATTTGCATCCTCTCGCCGAGGGTTTAGTATCTGATCCATGACATATTCGCGATTGTCCGGTATAGTCTTAGCCATCCGTTCTGCTGTATGGTTTAGATGATAAACTTGAGTTCAAAGTCATATGTGGCTGTGCAGCGTGCTGGAAATTCTAATATCGACTGCCAAGATACTATGATCCTGCACGTCCTACACGGATTCTTCCTAAAATATTGTGCCCTACGGAAAAAGTCGAATGTTTAATGTACTATCACCATCCGTACGTTTTGGTGCCATCCAACGATCGTAATCAGGGATAATATTGCGGCTCAAGCGTGGAATCTGCGGCAAAAACCTCAGCAGTTCAACGTCAACAGAGTCGAGCTATTCGATTAAGAGGAATTTAAGCCTACCAAGTAGTAACGCTGCAGCAAATACACTGGAAACGAGGAATACTACACTTGAAACAATGTAGGCTGCATGTTCTATGTAACGTTCATTCAGCAACAGTGAACAGGGCAGAATTCAATAATCAAGCGTACCATCTTACACAAGCGAGCCAGCAAACCGCCCAATTGTATAATAGTACCCACACCCTCAAGTATGCGCATATGCGTGAAGCCAATTTCCTGATGGTATGATCCGTTAAAACGCTCGTATCATGCAGAGGCACTTCCTCTAACCTTGATAAATTCAAGCTTCATGTACTCGGGCAATCTAACAGGAGAGATATTCTTAGCATCAGCGATAGCTCAGTAAGCTGGGACTAACTCATCGAATGTCTTTGTTACTCTGAAGATTGTGACCACGATGTCAACAGCGCTGTAGCCTTGTTCCCAGAGTTCATTTAGTTTCTCCATCGCAGCATCAATATCACCCTTTAAGCACAATCGGATCATGCTCTGTACGATGACAGGATGGGGCTGATCGCAAACTTTGAAAACGTTTTCGCCAGAAACGAAACCAAAACCGGAATGCGTTGACTGAAGGTTATTGATTGCTTGACGCATGTCACCTTCGCATGTGAAGATGAGAGCCGTCAGACCATCGTCATTGTATTCGACCTAAGTCAATAGCAGGTCTGGTCAGTAAGAATATAACAGGCGTGGTGATTGTATCGTCACCTTCTCCATTTCGCATATTTCTAACAACCTTTTCAGAATTTCAGTATCTCTGAGCTTTGCATATCGTAGGATGGCACATCGACTCTGTATTGGTTCGATTATTTTGTTAGACATGTTGCATGCCAGGCAAAAGCGAGTTGTGTTCGAGTAAATCTCCATCGTTCTTCTCAGCGCTTGCTGTGCACCAGCAGTCATACTACACAACAGAGTGAGTCACCAAGACGTGATATCGTCAATCTTTGTACCTGTCAGCCTCGTCCAAAATTACAATTTTATGCCGCCCAGGAGGAAGGGTGACCTTCTTTTGTGCGAAGGCCTTTATTTTATTCCGTACGACATCGATTCCTCTAGGGGTAGGTCAAAACGAGGAAATATATTAAATATTAGAGCTACAGACCTCTCATCAGAAGCGTTTAGTTCGAGAACACCCTCTTTGTATGCGTCCCCGAGTAACTGATGTGCCAGACAATGTATACTCGTTGTCTTTCCGATACCTGGCAGACCCTGCAGTAACATTTGAATCAAGAAAGGGAATTCATATTTATGAAGACGCACCGATATAATAATATGAGGACAGTTTCCATCCTTTGCAATGACCTTCAGCCTTTCAATAGTATCAACATTTCCGACCACATCGTCCAAGCTCTGTGGCCTATACTTCTCCACCCTACCTGTTCTCAGTTACAACACCTACGTAGAAGCTGAACCACGAACCACGGTAGCTCATAGCCTGAACTCGCAGCGCCATTAACTGGTGCCTTCCTCGATGAAGCCATGAATGAATCGCGACGCGTGACGCTGTGACCTAGTATGTCCGTGACCAAGTGTGACTCTACGCGTTTATTTCATTTTGTGTTTGGGCTTGATGCAATTGATGTCCTCTTCATTGCTACCTTCCTTCAGTCACTGCTGTCAACGTCAACGCTTCAATTTTGTGTTGCAGCATGGTGAGTAGAGCGTGATATTTGGTATCAATTTTAACAGCATCTGGTTATAGGTTCCAAAGGGTCTCGTTGTCTGTCAATGAAGGCCCAAGAGGTGCTCCCTGTGACGGCAGTCCTTCCTAAACCACGCCTCGACTACCGCGCTATTTCAGAGTCGATAGTGTACAAGTCTCACAATGCCTTTAATCGTAAGGCTCCACTTCCGATTGGTGCATTGCAGTCGGTTGTGCGTCATTACGATGAGCAGAAGAGACTCTCCAGCGAGTTGGGCTTGAAGCGCCACGCTCGCTCGAACCTGGGCGAAAAGATGCGACAGATCAGAGATCCAGTTGAGAAGCAGGCTGTCTTGAAGGAAGCTAAACTTCTCAAGGTGGAGGTCACAGACCTGGAGCAGAAACTTGCGAAAGTGGAGGACATTTTACTGGGGCTTGCATTGCAAATACCGAACGACACACATCCCGACGTACCACTAGGTCCAGAGGAAGCTGCTGTGGTACTTTCCACTCATGGATCGGACCCCATTGCCGCCAGTGGTAATCGTGACCACATGGATATTGGTCGCGCTCTTGGTATCTTTGACTTCGAAGCAGGGGCAACCGTTACGGGTTCATCATGGTATTATTTGCTAGGAGAAGCTGCACTCTTGGAGATGGCTCTCACCAACTATGCCCTGTCGATTGCCCTTAAACATGGATTCCGATTCGTCACGACGCCGGACGTTGTTCGGGCAGACATTGCCCTACGATGTGGATTCCAACCTAGAGATCAAAATTCTGATCCGCCTGTTTCGCAGATGTATCATATTGCATCCTCGAATCCCACTCATCCCGAACTTGTACTTTCTGGCACAGCAGAAATACCGCTTGGTGGTATGTTCGCGAATCAAATATTCACGGAGCAAGTTTTGCCCTTGAAAGTGGTCGGTCTTGGCCGTTCGTTTAGAGCCGAAGCAGGTGCTCGTGGCGCAGACACTCGTGGACTGTACCGAGTTCACCAATTCTCAAAGCTTGAGCTTTTCGTTGTTTGTAGTGAAGATGCCAGTGACCAAATGATGGAGGAACTTTGTATTGTGCAAACCGAAATTTTCGAAGGCCTGAATTTTCCGTTTCGGTAAGTATCATACACCAGACCGGGGCCCCTGCTCTGACATTGTGATACAAGGATTTTGGACATGCCTACCGAAGAATTAGGTGCTAGCGCATATCGCAAACATGACATGGAAGCGTGGATGCCAGGTCGAGGGAGTTGGGGAGAAATCTCTTCCACGTCTAATTGTACTGATTACCAGGCTCGTCGCCTCCACATCCGCTACCGTCGGTCGTCAGGTGTACCCAAGCATACCCCACCAGCATCCTCATCCGCTTTGAATCAATCAACATCTGCGATACCATTCGCCCACACTTTAAATGCCACCGCGGCTGCCATCCCCCGTCTGATCGTTGCTCTTATCGAGAATGGTGCAAGGTTCGACGAAGAAGGCAAACCAGTGGGTCTAGATCTACCCAGCACTTTGAAGCCTTTCTGGCATGGTACATCTTCGATCATACGGTGGACTTGAATATAGGATGTTGACGTGGTAGTTGTTGTCATTGTCAAGAAGAAGGTACAGAACCTTGACAGAATTATATGACGTTCTAAGTGTGTGTTTCAGGGAAATTGAAGGAAATTACCCTAGTCTGGTTGACTGGTGCCTTCGAGGAGTGCAATGACAACTGCGCCAGGCGTTGTACATGTGTAGGCAGGTGCACAGGCAGCTCTGGTACTTGCATCAAAGATTTACCTGATTGTGTTGTGCGAAAGAGACGACAATTCGGTCTCGTAAAAAACGCGCGCACGTTATATTCCTTTTTTGCTCAGAGAAATACCTAGGCTTTCGACTAACGATCTATGGTACATATATGGTCTGCCCTAAGCGATACTCAACTATGAACTATGCTACCTTGCCACTCAGTGCATCCCGTAAAAATTTCACCGCAGAAAGGATACCCGGTTTCGCTTCATCCTCCCTCAGACCCTTGTAGATTCGATCCACCCATCGAGCGAGGCTAGCTGCATCATATCTAGCAGTTGGTGTTTTCAGGAGATCAAGGGTGTACGTGACTATGTCGGGCAGTGCCTCAACTATTTCGTCCTCGCGGTGGAGATGATTCCAATACATCGCCGACCACGCTGCTTTAAGCAGCTCCCACCATTCCAGCTCGGTCATGTTGCGCGCGAAGCCAGGACTTCCATAGCTTCCCGGGGCGTTCATTCGTATCAATGCGCCCGCTAAATAATAAGGATGAGATGCAGATGACATCGAGTTTGAATTCTTGATGACGTGGTCTAGCAAAGATGTGCATCGCTCCATGTGACCGGCTCTCCTTAAATAGGCACTCCAATCACTTTGCTTTGCCAGAGTGAAAATTAGCTGTAGATAGCAGCCATCACGTCTGGAATTAAAGAGAGCATCTGGATCATCGTCATATCGCTGTGGCGCGATGGGTTTGGCTGCAGTGAATAAAGCTGGGGCGAGTTCCTTTAACAACTTGTCCCGAAATTCTCCCTTCTCCTGGTCAACTATATTGACTAGTTCAAAACGGGCACCGAACATTGCTCGAAGGGCTGCGTGACGAAGCCGGGACGGTTTAGGTTTATCTGGTTCCACGGCGAAGAGGATGGCATCAAGGTGATTGTCTCGTCTGGTGACACTTCCCATACCCCGCATGGCACTCAATGCGAGCAGTGCATCTCCCATGGCATCGAAGTCCCTCCCTGCGGACTTCCGGAAGTGTACAAGGAAATCCACAAGCCAATCAAAGTCTTCCGTAGTACGCCGGTCGTCCTTCCAGTCAAAAACACCGTCCCAGACTAATGCAACATCGGTTGGCTTCAAAAACCCTTCGCAACCCGTCACGATAGCGAGTTGCAAGGCAAGGCGTGCATTGTCTTTATAATCTGTTTCGAGAGTTGTGGTGTACTGGACAAAATATTCTTTACACCTCTCAAGTCCCCAGGGAAGACTGAGATGACGCCAATCAGACCAATCATCAAAGCGCATGAAATCCGAGGGAATGACGGTCTCGATAGTTTCATTGCATATGAGATGGTGCAAGGCTCTCCCGCACGCAAGAGCTCTTTGGCGTGCCAAATGACTGAGCAGGGCATTAACATGAAAGCATGCCGTGAAAGTGTGCAACAACCGTGAGCATGCAGCTGGCATGTTCACCTCAGGGGCCCATTTGATGGTTGGCAGCAGCCAAGCAGCCGAAGTGATCACCTCTGGATCTGCGGAAGTGTTGAAAATCCACCTCATCGAACGTGCCACGGAGAGCGTCTCTTGACTCTCCTGACTCTCCCCCAGCTTCCCAGCGTCGTGTGACGAATACACCTTGCTCCCTTTCCAGCCCGCGACTCGGACTCGGAGGCACTCCCAAATGAAGCGAAGGAATGCTGAAGCAGGCGTTTGAAAGGGACATTGCGAGTATTTCAAGGAGGCGACAACAATGAATAAGTAAAAAAACAAGCCAAACGCCATCAATACGATAACAGCGATTGCTGTAGCTCCTTGCTGACTCCATACGAAGGCCGAAAGAGCAATCCCGAATAGAAAGAACGAGATTTGCAGCAACATGAAAAATGATAGTAGCACAGCGTGGAAGTACCATGCTTCCAAACCGTCTAACTTTTCTTGTCTGTCTTTTCCATGAGCGTTTGATCAGCAATCGATTATCTACATTAAAGCACACGGTGTACCTATTTTTCTGTGGTAGCTCTTCAAATGTATGAGTTGAGTGGGGTGTGGATAAACCTGCTGGAATGTCCTTCCAGGCATGGTCACTTGCGCGGCACGGTCAAATGGCGTTTTTAAGCTAGACACCTTCACTTACACATATTCATTTTGCAAGAAGTCCGGTGTTGTGGCCATTAGCACAGGAGAATCGTGTTTTTATCAGCAAGCGCTGGTAGAATAGTATGCAGGTAATGAGACCGCGATAGAAACGAAGGCCGCTGAGCGGTTTGAAAAAACAGCCAGCATGTATATAAATGTGGTGCTGCTCCGGCTCGGTAGGTTCGATAGCCTGTAATGCGGTTTCAGATTGAACCAATGACGCTCAAGAACTGACAAGCACTCTTTCATGGCCTGGCATCATTTTTTGTTGACGCTGTCGAGCGCTCTTCGCATGCCCTCATGACGTTTGGCGCTACAAATAATGACAGACTCGGACAGGGAAGTTGCATTTATAAGGCCATGGGTCTCCGAGTGCGCGGATCGTAGAAATGAGGTATCAATGAGGATGACGGGGCCCGTTCGAAAGATAAAGCCTGAGGCGCCGTAGGGTATCGTACAGTCACCTTGTTTACTAGTGCCTGGATTAATGATTTTGAGGATATGATGCACAGCTCCAGTTACAGATGTTGTGGAATGTCCGATACTCTAGGCGCTTGGCTATCATATAGATGGACGGTAGGCGACCTATGCTTATATAGTCTTTAGGTCCAAATACTATATGTCCATCACTAGTCACTAGCATTGATTTGGTCAGGGAACGTGTTTAATTTTACGCTAGCGGCTAAACATCGCTCACACAAAATTCCTGATGTCTTGATTGCTTCAGGCTGTGCTAGTGCCGCTAGAGGAAACACAAAGGCTGCTGAGTGGTTGGCAGAGAGCCCGTCATATATTTTCAGCTTGTTGTTGCAGCCCCGAGTCGTAGATGACGGACTATAGTTTCGAACTGGATCGATACCACTTTGGCAATATTGATGCCGCAGCCGCAGGACTGGACAGACCCTCTTGCTAGGTCCTGGAAAGAAACTTCGATGCCATCCACATACTAATGCGGCCGAGCGCTCTCCGAACAGCCTCATGGCATATGGCGTTTAGCATCAGAGAACGGTGACCAATTCCGACAAACTATGTGGTCACATAATGACTCACATTTTATAAGGCACCTGGTTGGGTAGGGTGCCCCTGACGTTGCTCATGGACGTGGTTCTAAAGGCAAGCATGAGGTATCCAACGAGGATGGAGACAAACGGCCTTCAATCGTCGTTCGAAAGAGAAAGACCATCGATCATCGATGTTGTTCACTCAAGTTGGTTTCGAAATTGAACAAGCGGTCACGGTGAACTGGACGTGACAGCGTTACAAAGTGGCTTTGGACTAACGATCATTCCAAGAACTTGAAAATTCCAGTGCATCGTTAAGAATGAATTAAATGACTCAGTGCTGGATCTAGCGAAGTCAAGTTAGCTAATGTCCCCATGTCGAATGAACATCTAGTACGTATCATGCACAACTTTTCTGCGCACGAGCGCGGGAGCTTACTTGGAAATATTTCAAAATGAATGACCAACTTCGAGTTACTCAGGTCTATATCATATTGATCAAGTGATATGATTACAACAAATGTCATACTTTCTATCTGGTCTGCATAGGAAGGTAATACTGTACAATATCTGGCTCTAACCGATACTTTGCCTGCGTTTAATCACGATAGATCCCAGCGGACGGAGTCTTGTAGGCATGCCTGCTACCATATTTCCCAGCGCATCCTGTAGGCGTTTCACACACAACTTCGCTTCACCATCATCGAGCGCCTCGTATATCCGATCCACCGATCGAACAAGACTCGCCGCGTCATATTGAGCAGGCTGTGTTTCCAGGAGATTGAGAGTGTACGTGACAATGTCAGGAAGGACCTCAACTGCTTCTTGCTTAAGGTGGAGGTCATTCAAATGCATAGCCCACCACGCTCCTTTGAGGAGCTCCCACCATTCTTTCTCAGATATGTTATCCAGAAAGCCCGGTGGAGTAGGAGCCCCTGGGTCTGCGGACAGTAGGGCTGCAAGGTTTCTAGTGGTGCGGGATACTATGTTCGTAGGCACAACCAGAGCAGAGGCTGGGGTAGCCCGCCCCAACGAGCTTCGATAACCCCCCGAGGCATTCATCCGTATCAATGTGCCCGCTAGATAGTAAGGATGAGTTGTGACAGATGACATCGATGAACTGTTCTTGATGACGTGTTCTAGCAAAGATGTGCATCGCTCCATGTGACCGGCTCTCTTTAGATGGGCACTCCAATCACTTTGCTTGGCCAGAGTGAAAATTAGCCGTAGATAGCAGTCATCACGTCTGGGATTAAAGAGAGCGTCCGGATCATCGTCATATCGCTGTGACGCGATGGGTTTGGCTGCAGTGAACATAGCTGGGGCGAGTTCCTTTAACAACTTCTCCCTAAATTCCCCCTTCTCCTGATCAACTATCTCCACTAGTTTAAAACGGGCATCGAATATAGCTCGAAGGGCCGTATGACGAAGCCGGGATGGTTTATTTGGGTCCATGGCGAAGATGATGGCGTCAAGGTGATTGTCTCGTCTGGTGACACTTCCCATACCCCGCATGGCACTCAATGCGAGCAGCGCATCTCCCATGGCATGGAAGTTTCTCGTTGTGACTTTCCAGAAGTGCACCAGGAAATCCACGAGCCAATCAAAGTCTTCTGCGGTACGCGAGTCGTCCTTCCAGTGGAAGACACCGTCCCAGATCAATGCAACATCAGTTGGTTTCAGAAATCCTTCGCAGCCGGTCACGACAGCGAGTTGCAAGGCAAGGCGTGCATTGTCTTTATAATCTGTTTCGAGAGTTGTGGTGTACTGGACAAAATATTCTTTACACCTCTCAAGTCCCCAGGGAAGACTGAGATGACGCCAATCAGACCAATCATCAAAGCGCATGAAATCCGAGGGAATGACGGTCTCGATAGTTTCATTGCATATGAGATGGTGCAAGGCTCTCCCGCACGCAAGAGCTCTTTGGCGTGCCGAATGACTGAGCAAGGCATCAGCATGGAAGCACGCCGTGAAAGTTTGCAGCAATCGTGAGCATACAGCTGTCACGTTCACCTCGGGGGTCCATTTGATAGTTGGCAGCAACCAAGCAGCCGAAGTGATCACTTCTGGATCTGTGGAAGTGTTGAGTATCCACCGCATCGATCGTGCTAGGGTCAGCGCCTGAGTCTCCTTAAGCTTTCCAGGGTCGGGTGATGAATACCCCTCCTTGCTCTCTTTCCATCCCGCAACTGTGACTTGGAGGCGCCTCCAGATGAAACGAAGGAATAGTGAAGTAGGGGTTTGAAAGGGACATTCCGGTAATGTCACAGAGGCGAAGACAGTGAATAGGTAAAAAAACAAGCCAACCGCCATCAATATGATAACAGCGTTTGCTGCAGCTCCTTGCTGACTCCATAGGAAGGCTGAGAGAGCAAATCCAAATAGAAAGAACGAGATTTGCAATAACATGAGAAATGATTGCAGCACAGTGTGGAAGTACCATGATTCCAAACCGTCTAACGTTTCTTGTCTGTCCTTTCCACGAAAATTCGATTGGTAATGGCTGAGCCACTGTTTGTCGAGGACAGCCCCGACAGCAGCCAGAAGGTTGAGTGAAGGACAGCCCCGAAAGCAGCCAGAAGGTTGAGTGACAACGCAACGTATGCCACGTCCTGCAAGTAGTATTTGGCGCATTTGCTGCTGAAGCAGCTAGAGGTGAGATTGTGGTATTGAAGGATGTGTTCTGAACGAACTGCCACAACAGGGGGGTCGTGGGGTCGGGTTGCATGGCAACGATGAAGGCGGTATTAACAGCGGAGAAGAGACCAGACTACAATCTTCTTAACCAAAACACTCCAAAATTATTTGATAGCTTACAGAAAGGAGTATAATGTTCATGTTGCTGTTGTTCCACTCGAGAAAATCGACATCGTACTCTTTTGCAACCTGCTTATAGTACGTCCAGAACCTGTCGGTTATGAACGGGGGTGTGGATAAACCCTCCTTCTGGACATGGTCACTTGGGTGGCACGGTCAGATGACACTTTTCAAGCTAGACACCTTCACTCACAAATATTCATTGTGCATGAAGTCTTGCTTCGGTGTCGCAGCCATCAGTACAGGAGAATCGCGTTTTTATCACCAAGCGCTGGTAGAACAATACGCAAAACTGCAATAGAGACGATGGCCACGGAGCGGCAGCAGCATGCATGCATATAAATATGCTGCTGCCGCAGCTCGGTAGGTTTAAGCCGCAGTGCGGTTTCAGATTAAACTGATGACACTCAAGAACCAGACAGACAAGCGCTTTGTTACATCCTGGCATAAATTTTCACCTTCATTGACGCTGTCGAGCGCACTTCGCATGCCCTCATGATAGTTTGGTATCACAGATAGTGACAGACTGAGGTAGGGAAGTTGCATTTATAAGGCCATGAGTCTCCGAGTATGCGGATCGTAGAACTGAAGCATGCAATGAGGATTGGGACGGGGGCCTGTTCGAAAGATAAAGTCTGCGGCGCCGTAAGATATCAGCGTGGCTACTAGCGCCAGGGTGGATATTTTAAGGAGATGCTATGCAGGTCCAGTCGCATGTTATGAGATATCTGATATTCTAGACCCTTTGGCTATCGTGTAGATGGGCGGTAGGCGACCTATGCTTGTCCAGTTTTTAGGTCCAAATATAAGTCCACTAGCGTAGGTTCCGTCAGGGAACGTGTTTGATTTTACGTTAAACATTTTCACTCACACATAATTCCCGATGTCTTGATTGCTTCGGACTGTGACAGTACCGCTAGAGGAGAAACAGAGGTTGCGGAGTGGTTGGCAGAACCCGTCATTTGTTGCAACTCCGAGTGTTGCCAGGGCCCGTGAAAAATTCTTTCAAGATTCCGTAGTGATGCTGCTCTTCAAACGGCCTCGTGGCGTTCAGCATCACAGAGAACGACCGACTTTGACGTAGAAGTCACAATTATAAGGCTATATATGACATCCGAGGAATGTCAGGGATGTGACCCTACAGCATTCAACCAGGTGTGGATCTAAGGGCAAACATGAGGCATCCAACGAGGATGGAGACCAAGGGCCTTCAATCATCGTTCGAAAGAGAAAGGCCATCGATGCTGTTCACCACCTCCTGAGGGTTTGCCGTTTGATTCGCTGTTTGAATGTGTGAAATTAAGGTCTTGTCAGTCACGGTGAACCGGAAATGTACATACACAGTGTTCCATAGCTGACTTCTTTGAACACGTTGTGCATGATGAATGAAATATGCATCGATACGATAGAATGCATGGTAGGACTACGATCATCCAAGAAAATTCCAGTGGACGGTCAAGAATGGTCCTGCCGAGTTGTAATGGAACCTCCCCTAAACACAATATCCGTATATATAACCCCGCAGCCCTTCTCTTCCTTCTCTTCGGGAAACCAGTACTACCATACTCGTGACCCCACCTTTTGCGAGACGAACTTGGTCACTAGTGGCGGTGCCAGTAAGCTGATTTTCTCAAAATCTTCGCGATTCATCGTTCTCAACTTGCACAGGGTGACTCGAGCTAATTCCACTTCTGCCGACGGCGGTAGTTGTGGTTTGCCTTTTCCAGTTTGTCTCAACCATGGTTGAGCGTGTGGCCTGGCAATCGAAGGGGATGAGGTGAGCTTTCTCTTAGAAACGGATCATCAGACACAATCTGATCAAACGATGATCGCAGCTGTACATCATACTATGGCTCCTTCCTTATGAAAGTTTCGAGTTCCTTCGAGATTATCTCCAAGGCACCGGAACTTATTTGGTACGTCAGTTGTTTCTTGCTTTTTGATACATCGCTTATCCGTTCTGGCAGACGGGTTGAGTATGGGCACTCATGATGCTTATTCCATCCTCCATGATCACCTGGCTTGCGTGGTTTGCTGAGATGCATTTCATGTACTCGCCTAAGAACTCATCGAGATGATCGCAGCGTTGTGTGGTCCGGATCGATTCTGTTAGCGTCTCAAATTAAATAACCCAGGACGAAAGTCTCAGTCTCTTGACCGAGCCTACGTATCACTTGTCAAGTTGTGTTATGTAGTAGTTACGTTGAATTGAAATAGTTGACTCATTTACTTCCAGCAAGGTCAAGGTGAAGCGCAATTTCAGATATTTGTATTTGTTTGTCATAAATACAAATGTACTCCTCTAGCCAATCATGGCGCCCTCTTCCGTCAACGCACCTCCACAAAACTAAGGCAATGAACCACCAGAGTCTACGTAAAGGGGAGAACAGAAGGACACAAAGGTTGGTGCAAGGGGGATGTGATAAATGATAGGAAAAACCAGAGAGAAAAATATGGAAAAGATATCCAACGAGCGTGCGGCAGCGGGGAATCTATGTTCATGAACGGTGACGGTGCAAGGGAAATGAAGATAAAAAGTTCTGCGAGTTCAAATGGCTTGGAACAGGATTATGGATTGGGAAACATGGGAGGTTCAATAAGAGAACCATCAACGGGCGCTAATGGGAAGAGACATATCAAGCGAGTAAGGAAGTAGGCGGCCGTCTTCTTTGCATCCTTGCGTGTACGCAGGGAAGCTCAGAAGCGACGTGAAGAGAAATAGCGTCCGTACAGTACATAAGGGGAGGCAAGTGTGTGATCTTCATCGACGGCGTAGCGAGTCGCAGATATACTCAAAATGCGAAGCGATCAAGGAATGCAAAGTGACTGCGACGTAGGGCATAAACGCGGGATGTCGGAATGGAACGCATCGTGATGAAAGACGTAAAAGTAAACCAGTGCAAGTTGACCTGGCGTGCCCTCACCGTGACGTTTCGACCTCGTAACCCGCGAGATGACCCAACCGGACTTGCAAAACCGCGACAGACCATCTATTGACACCATATCCAACAGCGACCGAGCTAACTCTGCACCTTCCCTCCACCCCCATTCTCGGTCGCGCTCGGAGCGTGCCCTGCACACGAAAATAAACCAAGAGGAAGCATGATGCGATTACCAGGCGTCTTCCCTACCACGAGGACGGGCTTGGCCCGCGGCAGCAGGAGTAGCTGCTTGCTGCTGACGCGTGTGAGAACGAAGCCTATAAAGAAAGTAAGGACCGTAGCAAGGCAAAAGATTGAAAGAAATGTGACGGGCACCTACATCCTGTCGCTTGCACGATGTTCTTCTTCCTCTTGAACGACCTTTCGCCTACCAGTAGCCGCCTTCTGGCTGGTGCTGGCGCCGTCGTCTTGGGCGCCACGCTGGACAGACCAGTCGAAGACGTAGTCATACTGGAAGCCCTCACGAACGAAAAGGTCGCGGAAGAGCTTGCGGAGGTAGGAATAGTCAGGCTTGTCATCGAAGCGAAGCGCGCGAGTGTAGTTCAAGAAAATGCCGAACTCATTTGGGAAGCCGCGGCAAAGAATATCGGTGGGAGTGGTCATTTTCTTCTCCATGATTCTGTCATACTTCTGCTTCTTGGTAGCAGCCTTGAGTCCCTGCCAAGGAAGGGCGCCGCGCAGGAAGTACATGAGGACGTAGGCGAGAGACTCAAGGTCATCACGGCGAGCCTGCTCAACACCCAAATGGGTGTTGATTGAGGTGTAGCGAGCGGTACCGGTCAAGTTCTTATTTTCTCTGTAGGGAATATGCAAGTGGGTCTTTGGGTCACGGAATTTCTTCGCGAGACCAAAATCGATGACATTGACTTGATTGCCACGCTTGCCTATACCCATGAGAAAGTTGTCTGGCTTGATGTCTCGGTGAATGAAGTTGCGTGAGTGGATGTACTCGATACGGGATATCTGTGGCGATACAGTGGCGGGTCAGTCCTCGAAAACAGTAGCTAGAGTGGGATTTACTCACGAGTTGGTCAGCAAGGAGCAAGACAGTCTTGAGGGTGAATTTGCGGTTGCAGAAATTGAAAAGGTCCTCTAGAGAGGGTCCAAGAAGATCCAAGACCATGGCATTGTAATCGCACTCGGTGCCAAACCAGCGTACGAAGGGAACACCGACACCGCCAGCAAGGGTCTTGTAAACCTTTGACTCGTACTCGAGCTGAGGGTGCTTTGCTTTGACTGACTCGAGTTTGATGGCGACTTCCTCGCCAGAGATGATGTTGATCCCGAGATAGATATCACCTGTTAAAATGAGTAAAAATGGGAGCATATAAGGATGTGGTGAACAGACCGAAGGAACCTGAGCCAATCTTCTTGCCGAGTCTGTATTTCCCACCGACACGAAGGTCAAGTCGGTGTGCTGAGCTGTCTGTCATTGTTCGTTACGAGGGGTGTAAGATGGAACGGGGGCTGATGAAAAGAAGTCGAGTGAGTATGGGAGTTTAATAGAGACTAGAAGAAAATGAGAAGCAGATTAAATAGTGAAGAAGGGCAGGTTATAGTGTGTTCCGGGTCGTGGCAATTACGGTTGTATCGGAGGTGGCTGACGTTGAACTAAGAAGTGCGGGAAACACATGGGAGAGGCAATCGCTTATGAAAAGGAAAGAATGGAATGGGCTCCGAGGGTTCTTGATGGTGATAGGGAATAAGACAAGCTATCCAGGCTTTTAACTTGAGCTGGTGTAATGTCAAGCTCCAACGTGGGAGCCTCGAGGCCGCTCATTACAGTGCCCAAATGACATGGAAATTTACATGAAAAACAGTTAAACCAGGCTACTCACCGTAACTCTTGAGCTGGACTTTGAAGACTGCTGTGACGGTGATAGCTTAAGAGATAAGAACGCAACAGAGCTGCGTAGAGGAGAGAGAAAACAAACAAGTAGGTGCGCGTGAGAGCCGGAGTTTAAATTGGTCAGTTGGTCCAACTTGATCCCATTGTAAACTATCGCGTTGCCCCAGTACCCTTGACCCCCAAATTCGGCGAGCTACCAGGCTCTTCGATGCTCAAGTTCTCATCACAATGCGACAAATAAATCATATACTATGTCTGTGATTAGCATAGCTATCCGGGTTTTTCTCAGCAGAAGTAGAACGCCGTCCTATATGCCAGCGTGATACGTGACAGTGTGAGTCAGGATCCAAGATCTGCTGGACCCTCGAATGGAACGTTTGATTGTACCTTCACCTCGTGCCCTTAGAACGACAACAGCAGGGTCCCACAGTTCGAATGAATACGTTAGTCTAGTCCTTTAGCTAAACTTTGCATAATATCCCTAGTGATCTTGTTGTAAGTAAGTACAACGTGGAAGTAGTTTCCTTTTATGGCTATCATATCAATTTTGATTGTCGAGTGGTCAACGGTTTGAGACCAGCGCTATTTTCCTCCTCAACCGCATCGATAGTACTTTTCGACAAAGTCCCTCCCTGTCTTCCAGCTAGTATCCTCCAGTCATTCATTTTGGTCTCTGAATTTCTCTCTTTTTCAATCGCAACACTCGTTTTGTGCGACTAACCATCATTCGAATTGTCTAGCGACCATAGATTATCGCCTCTTCTCGCCCGCAAATATTATAGTGGAACATGTCATACCATCATCAAGATCCCTACTATGATTCTGCACACAGTGCGCCAATTCACCCAGGTTTTCCCCCTCCAGCGCCTACTATTCATAACCAACAACACCCTCCTTATGATAACCAATGGGATGACAGACCAGGGTCTGCCAAATCCGTCCAGAGTAGCCAATTTCATGGTTCTCAGGTGCACCTCAATCCCCAGTATGAGATGAGCCAGGTTCACTCTCCCCCCGTTCCTTCCATGCCGTACCATGCATACCAGCCAAACTACCCTCCCGTCCCCGTACACCCTGGCCCACTCAGAGAAATGACTACAGGATACTCTGTAGCCAAGGAGAAACTTATGAAACGTCGCTCTGTCCGGCATGTCGAGCTTCAGAACGGTAATCTGGTTCTTGATGTCGCAGTCCCCAGCCACATCGTGCCAAAGGGCATGAACAGCGCCGAGGAAATGACCACAATGCGTTACACTGCCGCCACATGCGACCCTGACGAATTTATGCGCAGAAAATACTCCCTCAGGCCGTATCTCTATGGCCGCCACACTGAGCTGTTCATCGTTATGACCATGTACAATGAAGATGAAGTCCTTTTTGTAAAGACTATGAATGCGTAAGTTCCGCCCGTGACCGTCGGATCATGTACCTAATCTATTTTCAGCGTTATCAAGAATATTGCTCATCTCTGTAGTCGGACGAGATCGAGAACATGGGGCCTTGAGGGCTGGAAGAAGATCGTTGTATGTGTCGTCTCAGATGGACGCAGCAAAGTCAACAAGCGGACGCTTCAAGTTCTCACTCTCGTGAGCTTACCCGTTATCGGTTGAGTTTGTTGCTTATCAGCTGTCCCTAGATGGGTTGTTATCAAGAGGGTATCGCTAAGGACTCAGTGGCGGGAAAGGATGTGACCGCTCACATTTTCGAGTGAGTGGGTCGAGTGGAGAGGTAAACCTTGCTGAAATTTATTATCTGTAGATATACTTCAAACGTGGTCGTTACGGAGACTGGGGAGGTATCTACTGGGCACTGCCCAGTTCAGATCATCTTCTGCCTGAAAGAGCAGAACAAGAAGAAGCTTAACAGCCACCGCTGGTTCTTTAACGCTTTCGGTCCATTGATCAATCCGAATGGTAGTCGCATTCTCTCATGAGGGGTTCCTGACTCTGACTCCATACATAGTCTGTGTTCTCTTGGATGTTGGTACCAAGCCCACCGGCACATCGATCTACGAGTTGTGGAAATGTGAGTAGATATCGTTCGCTCGATATTTCGCCTGATGATACTCTCTAGGCTTTGATAAACACTCTAATGTTGGAGGAGCCTGTGGAGAGTGCGTCAAATTCGTCGTTTTGTGCTTCATCTCATTAAATTCTTCTGTCAAAGGATTTGTGTCGACACTGGCAGAGCTTGCTCGCTGCTCCTGACGAGTCCTCTTGCTGCTTCTCAGAATTTTGAGGTAACATTGTTACAGCTCTGGCTTCACACATTATTTTGACTTGGCATAACAGTATAAAATGTCTAATATCCTCGACAAACCTCTCGAGGTAGGTAGATCATTCTTGGCTACACGATCAATGTCCTGATCTACCAAAAGAGTGTGTTCGGTTACATCAGCGTGCTTCCTGGTGCATTCAGCGCCTACAGATACAGGGCCCTCCTGAACGGTCCTGATGGAAAGGGTCCCCTTGCCTCGTATTTCAAGGGAGAGGCTATGCATGGCGGAGGTGCTGACGGTGCTGGGCTCTTTGGTATGATATATGCTTCCTCCAATTTCTTGTCCCGCCAACAATTTTTGCAGAGCGAAACATGTACTTGGCCGAGGATCGTATCCTGTGCTTTGAAATTGTCACCAAGAAACGAGAAAGCTGGATGTAAGTTAAGTTTCACCTTTCACGCTGAACGGGTCCCTCAACTTGCTCGACAGTCTCAGATACGTCAAGAGTGCTAAGGCTGCCACCGATGTCCCCACAACTGTGAGTAAAGATCGGTCTATTGTGATATCTATTTCACATATTCTTCCAGGTTCCCGAATTCATATCTCAGCGCCGCCGATGGTTGAACGGGTCCTTATTCGCTTCTTTCCATTCGACGATCTTCTTTTACAGGATCTGGACATCTGGGCAAAATCCCATTCGTATGCTTGTGCTCCAGGTACGCACGCACAGAAATTCATCGCATCGCATTACTAATAAGAGCTCATGTAGATCGAGTTTATTTACAATGCAGTCCAGCTCATATTCACGTGGACGTCACTTGCGAACTTTTATCTGGCTTTCTACTTTGTCAGTAACCCCTTCCCCTCGTATGTTAATGAATCTAATGTAAGCTGTCGTAGTTGGTTTCATCAGCAACTACGACCACAAATGGCGCCTTCAACTTTCTGAGCAAAGGAGCTGGACAAGATATTTTCCAGATTTTCCTGAAGGTAATGAGCGAGCCCTTTATAAGCGGGAAAGCATCTCAAGTGTCATTCTAGCTCTACATCGGCCTCTTGTTCGTCGTCACCGTCTGTTCGCTTGGAAACCGGCCACAGGTATGTCCTTCGACCCATGACAGGAATTTGCAAAGGTTACATCATTCTTGCTAGGGCTCCAAATGGATTTATGCGCTCTGCATGGTACTTTTCGGTATTTGTAACATCATCACACTTTGGTGCGCTGGATGGACAGTGTACCTTGCTGTACCTCATTCAGTCGCTGGATGGAAGGACTTCCCTGAGTGAGTATTTAAGCGGTCTAAGTATATTTGTTCTGATGGTTCATTGTTTCTGACTAGGCTCGTCGCTACGAACAAAGCCTTGCAGCAGATCGTCATCTCGCTCGCTGCTACGTATGGCTTGTACTTCTTCTCGTCGTTCATGCACTTTGAGCCATGGCACATGTTCACTTCGTTCATCCAGTACATGTTCCTGCTTCCGAGTTGTGAGTATTTATGTCGTTTATATTGGTCATCGCAACGCTTATGTTATCATTGTAGATGTTAATATCTTGAGTATAGGCGTTTTCATTGTGTACGGAGATGATATTGATTTTAGTTCACAGTGATGTATGCCATGTGTAACTTGCACGATGTTACGTGGTAAGAGCGGCCCTACTAGTCTCTTACTTCCAATTTGATGATATGTCCAGGGGAACCAAGGGAGACAACGGCTCTTCGAAGGATCTTGGCGGAGCCAAGAAGGTCAAAGGCGAGAATGGCAAGTACATGATGGAAGTCGAGATCCCCACTGCCCGTGAAGACGTCGACCGCATGTGGGCAGCATCTCGTTCAGCACTCAATATCAAGGCTCCTGAAGAAAGATCTCACCGTGATGCTGCTACCAAGCAAGCCGACCACGACCGGAACAGCCGTACTAACGTTGTGCTGGCGTGGGTGGGGACGAACACGTCAGTCGATCCGCCTCTTTCGTTTTGTTTAAGAAAATGTTGTTGATCTTGTCTTTTAACTTATAGGTTGATGATCGTTGTGTTCACTTCGCAAGCGTTCTTGAATTGGGTGAACACCCACTTTGCGACATCCCAGGGCTCGAATTTCAACCCTTATTTGAGCTTCTTGTTTATCGCGCTGTAAGTATAATACGACGTTCATCGATACGGAGTCATCCTTGCTGACCAAAACACAGTGCTGCTCTGTCATCAGTCCGATTCATAGGATCTCTACTCTATCTCATCTTGCGATTATTCGGGCACTGAGATATTTCTTGAATACCCATAGAATGTACTTTTTTTAAGAGTTGATCTCTTCTTGGGCACCATTCCTTTTTGACAGTGGGATTTCACGGCCTTTTGTTGATGGCTACTGTAATTATGTGTGCATGTAATTTTATTACTTGATCTGTCGTTTTTTCATGGTTTTGTCCTGGACACAAACCTGAAGTAACACTCACTGTAGGTGGCCCTACCGTATGCACCCGCATCACCGACATCGTTCACTAGCACTTATCTTGACTAGCTTAGCGCGCATGCACACTCTGCTCGATGGAACAGGTTATTCACTAAATGTGCATCTGGATTCCCCATTCGATCATGACTGGTCGACCCTTTATCCCCACACGAGTCTTATCATTGCACAGGCTCTCAGGAACCCTCCCGCTCGTTCGCTCTCATCGGTCAGCCGTGATTTCCCCCGGCCGCCGGTCTCTGATTCTTGGTATCAAATTTGCAAAACTCTACGCTTGCTCTACGCCATGCTGCAGTATTAATGGAGTATTGTCGAGCCAAATAATCCCTGCAGTGCTGATCAGTCGGATATGGTAGACATCACAAAGCTCACCTTACATTCTGATCGCTTGGCAACTTCAATCAGTGAAGCAGCGCTTTTTTGTTTCCCGAGTAGGACTGGTTTGCAATTCTGTCATCAGTACCTGTGCAAGATGATCAGATAACAGCCGATGATCCCCATTGTCCATGTTGTGGACCAATACTAACTTTGATCGTGACGAGCGCTGATGTAAAGAAGATCCGATTTCCGCTTTCTTTGAAGCATGCTAGTGCGTCTGGATTCTGGATTGACTCCACGGAAGATCAGGGATGGGTATATAACAGTGCATGGATGAATTACGGCGCCGTTTTCACAGCGCTAACGACACGATCACTCAGCCAAAAGTAATTCTATAGGTGAGTGTTGAACCTATATATTGATGATTTCGTGATGATTAAAGTCCCGAGGGTAGATCACCATGGATGTTGAGTTATCCACACTGTTCGACGATGTACGCATCCTTCAGATGGGGAGGATGTTCCAATGTGAGTACTGGTTTTTGGGTTGCATGAGTCGATACCCGGGTGCTAAATCTCATTACTAGTGGCAGCAACATTAGTTGTGGTGTACGATCACGGTGAGCTTATCTCGCAATACTTGAAAGTGCTCTACCTGATAACCCTTAACTTAGTGCTTTGTTCTCAGAGAGAGGTAATTTTAGTTGCTCCTCGACCGAGAATAGCTATTCACATATTTACGAATAGGTGGACTTGATTTGGGTATGTCTTCTCGGTGGCTTGTAGAAGGCTCACCTGAGTGAACATGGTCCTTCAGAAAAGATCAAAGTCTCTTGTGTCACACCTCTACTTTACGGTCAGTGATGCTATAACTCGCTGATTGACGAAGCGTCTGATGCCGCTATTAGACCCGTTACTTTGGGGATGCTATCTCAATGTAAGTGAGATGTTATGTGCAACAATACGTACTCATTTTTCTTCCAGAATTAGTGCAATATGTTCGGTTTCATCTTCTCGACCTTGATTCGTGTTGCTGATGACCGTATGATAGTGTTTATGGGCTCGACATTTTCAGTCAATGTAAGATAAGCGAGACTGTCCTGTAACATATGATACTAACAAGTTTCTATTAGACGTAAGTGCACGCGAATTAGCACATATGTCCGATTTATATCCTCTTGCTAATCAACGACACTCTTTGCATCAGTTGTGCGTAGTCTTCTACAGACACTCTTCTTTCAAAGCTGATTATTTGTAGGTCGTATTCTATTTCACTTCCAATCCTACGGGCCTTTTGTGCCAGTATGGGCTACACAAAGTACACCGTTTCGTCTATATCCGCAGAAAAGTACTGATGGAATCGCTAGCAATCATGCAACTGCGCATTTACGCCATGTATCGCAAGTCAAAGAGGATTCTAGCGTTCACAGGAGTCTGCTTTGTGCTCGAGATCGCAGCCATTTGCACGGTCCTGGCGCTAAACTTCGACCGCTCCTTAACATATACCAATGAAGCCATACCCGGGCTTCTCAACATGTGTGCAACGTCGACTATCAATAGAAGCTTCACGGCCATCTACGTGCCTATCTTTTGTTTCGAACTTTTACTTTTCGCCCTTGCCATATTTGTTGCGTTCAAGCACATGAGGAACACCCATACAATTGCTGGGAAGAGACTTCACAACACGATGGCGACACTGGTCAAGTACAACACGATCTACTTCTTCGTGTAAGTGTTATCTTTTATTTTTTTCGTTGGTGATTCAACTTTCTCTCGTGTTTATTAGCGAAACGGCCGGATGTGGTATCGCCGCGGCGTTGTATCTTGGTCTTCCGGTAATACGGTTTTTGACGGTTCACCCTTCAGGTCACTTATGCTTTTCTATTTAGTCAATCTATTTGGAGATCACGAATTCAGCGCTTATTGCAACCACGATCATCCTTGGGAGCCGACTTGTGCTTGCCACGCGTAATTTCTACTCTGACCCATCCGCGGAAGATTGTTGGGGCCCGAGCCATGGGTCCACTTGTGTGAGCCCTATGTTTACCCAACCTTCATTATTTGGGCCATTATCCAGTCATATGGAGATGTCGATTATCAGTGCCAAGGGTCATCATCTGGATACAAGTGATGACGCTGTATAGAGCTTGTTGTTTGATCCCTAATGCCCGTGCTTTTTATGCACATCCGCAGATTTACCTTCTTATTCAACGACATAGAGCGATTATTCAACAATGTATCAATACGCCATGATCAATTGCTGTTTGCTTGTTAATACACAAAGAGTACCCTGTTCGACGCCCAGTGACAGTCTTGTTTGTTGGCAGTTCTCAGCTCAAAGCCACCGTCACCCACAAAACCTGTTTCAATACCGCTAAATGTTCACGAGAAGCTGGTCTGGGGTGGGTACTCTAGACCGTCTACCACTCCTTGATATCATTGCCCTGGTCGACGAGGGTCTGCCTCAATCATTTCATCAAATTCACCTGAGTGATGAGCTCCTCATCAACCATGGCCACCAGCAGCTCTCGCAACTAAACCTGTGCAGTTGTTGGTGATCGAGATCTTCTAAAATTTGATCTGATTGGCAAGAAGAATCTGGTCTCTCTGTGCACGAGAAAATGTTCCCAGGACCTGCACATGGATGACCGGGTTTCGAATGGTTGTATCTGTGCACGTCACAACATAGGCGCATGGTAGTTTTAGTTGCCAGTTTCACCCGTCAGCTGCACGATGTGAGTCACTGGTATATCGTATTTATGCCGTTCAGCCATTGGAGGAGAACATGACAATCAGAGTGCATCTCGAATCCAGCAGCATGTAGCATGACTTTTCTTTGACAGAGTCATCATTGGGCCAGTCAGCAAGAACGGTGCTGAGGACCCGATATTTCTGCAACAGAGTGATGATCTAGGAGTCCAACTCCGAATGTATGCAACAATATAGGTGCTCCTTCCCCCGACGTTTGTGCCTCTCTCGAATGTCGAAGACTAAGTGTTGGAACGCACTAGCATTGCCGCGGGTAAATGTAAGGAGCTCGAGCGGATCTTAGAGCGGTCGCGGGTCCAGTCCTTGACTCCTTCTTGTCAGCACAGCCTAGAAGGAACGGCTATCTTCCTTCGTCTATCGTGGTAAAGGGTTATCCAGGGAAAGAAAGCGCAGCCTAGTACCAGGCGATGCAGATCGACGGGTTCCACCGTCACGGTGTTGACTAAGTTATCGGTTGTTCTTTGTGGTGTCAGTTTGATGTCGGGAGTAAGGACCTGGTTATTGATACTAGATAGTAGTGAAGGGGAGTGTCAGATGGGAAGAAGGCTAGAAGCTTTCAATTCGAACACTGGAAATCCAGAACACGGTTGAATCAAATATTGATGGCGATGCGCATCACGGCCAAATTGAAAACTTGACATTACAACACAATGACATAAGATCATCATACACGTGAATAGCCTCTCACACGGGCAAGCCTGGGTCCCAAGGTCAATGATATATACCCCAACTCAATTGGTGATCCAGCAGTTGATATAGCGCAATGTCAAAACTTATTCTGGTGGCAGGTGCTACAGGCAAACAAGGTCGGGCTCTCATCGAGGCTCTTCAACCCACCTCAGACTCAGATGACATACCATTTCGAGTGTTGGCTCTAACTAGGTCAGCTTCCAGTCCGAGCGCACAGCGATTGGTCCAGGAAAGACACGTACAAGTGGTAGAAGGAGACCTTGACTCGCCAGAGTCCATACGGAAAATCTACGAAGATGCAAAAGGTTCAGGTGGAATCTGGGGTGTCTTCTGCGTTCTGGCGTTCCCCGGGCTTGGTGCCAATGCAGACGGGGAGGAGCGACAGGGAAAGGTACAATCGTTTCAGATATTTTATTGCATAAACATATTTATACTGGAGTACAACAGTTTATGGCCGATCTAGCGCTCGAATATGGGGTGTCAGTATACATTTACTCGACCGCCGAACGTGGTGGCGAACAGAACGATGAGATGGAAAAGCTGTCGGGTCGCGCAAAAGTCCTTGCAGAGCGGCACGTCCAGGCTCTCGGTGAGAAGGGTCTCCCATGGACGTGAGCCTCTTAAATTTGAGACTGGACCTAACTCATCTTGATGTTTCAGGATATTGCGCCCAGGATTCTTTCTAGACAATTACAACGACTTCATTGGTTCTATTGCCGTGGCTGTACTCACTCGTGGACTCAAAAAGGACACCAAAGTCGGGGTGATCGTGAGTTCGTCCTGTATATGTTTATATCCTGCTCTAACCTCCATCAAGGACGCGAAGGATATTGGTCATGTTGCTGCTGCCGTATTCAAGGTAAAGCATTTTAGATAGAAGAAGTATCGACAGCAGCTAAAATTTCGATTGAAGAACCCTGATAAATACAAATACCAGATACTCGTGGTCATTGGGGATGTGCTCACCATGTCTGAGCAGCATGCATCGTACAAACGCGCAACAGGTCGAACCCTGCCCTCCATTCCTGGATTTTTAGCTGCCATTCTTTTAGCGCTGAATAAATCCACGCAAGAATTGTAAGTTTGCAGCTGTTTCCCTTTTGACACCAACTTGAATGTAATTCAGGGTTCAACATTTTGAAAACGTGCACACGGCACGGACAACAGGGCAACATGAGCATTTTGAATCCCAACTAAATTTGAGCCGCGAAGCCTATCCTCAAATGAAGACTGTCTACGACTGGGCTGTCGAACAACAGAAGGTTGAAGGACGACAAGAAAATGCAGCAGGTTGGAACAAGGTATCGTTGTGGCGGCTAATGCTAGGAAAATCGTAAAATATTGTTGCAAACTGGTCAAGTACTCATACACCTTCATGCTTCCCTATTATTATTTTTTGGCAGACCCAAAGTATTGACTGAGAATGTGAACAAACGCATTCCTCTCTCGGGGCTACCATATGTGCCTGAATAGCGCCAGCATGCCCGATGAGCCGGGACGAGTGCTCACGGATATTGTACAGGGAGAACTTGGGAAAAAACACATTGTATGCAAGTTCGAAATACTGTAAATAACAATGCAGCACATAGAGCTCATGCACGTATGCTGAATCGACGCTTTACACCAAAAACCGGTTATACACTGCATAAAAGTGTATTGGGTATATAAATTCCGAAATCGAGCAGGTCCATCTACACAACTTGAGGATCATACAACAACGCCCCACACAGCATCGTCCTTGCTATCGCTGTGGTTTCGTACCAAGTGAATGAGCTGCAGATTGAAGTGAGCATGGGCCCAGAACCAGATTCAAGAATATACACACGGCGGTGCGGTAAGTCAGAATCATTCGATTCCGACTTCCAGAACAACTCTTACAGGTTACTCGAATTGGACAAGATTCCAAATCATCGACCGTAGTAGAATTCGGGTCTCGTCCGAGAACTTGGAAGAGATTACGTATTCGCTTGGTATATCCGCCTGCTTCCAGAACAGTGCAATTCCATGGGTACGTCTCGAAGGCTTCGATTGCTGCTTTCTCGTAAACTTCTACTAGCGACATAGTCCTACCGAGTGCTGTTGTTTCCATTGGAGGCTGGACCCACGGTTTGTCAAATGTCTTAGCACGTAGGCAAGGGTGGGCGAGTGCTGATGGATAAGTGACATATAATCGACAATTGGAGCAGCGGAACACTAAGGCGGCGAGTTTGAGAGGGTCGACATCATTATCGATGCCACACAGCTGCGCGCGAACTAGATCTGCAAGTTGCTCAGTGACCTGGCGGTTCCAAGCTAAGAACAAGTGAGGTAGACGAAGGGTAAGTGCGTCCACAAAGGCTTCTGTTGACATAACCTCAGGAACATCTATCATGCATCGAACTTCCGAGAGTAGACAAATGTCTATCGCTTGGGGGAAGACCTTCAAGGTGTTGGTCTTGTCATTTTTGAATGTCTTCGTCATATCGCTTGCAACAACGGCAAGATTCTTGAAGCGGTCTTGGAGGAGGACAGTAAGCCTTCGAGCTCTCCTGATTTCTAGAAAATTCTGAAGCCTCAGTAGAGAAACCTGACACGCTTTGGAGATGTGAGGCTCCGTATGGAGATAAAGGGTGCGTTACACACGTACAAGAATCAGTCAACTCTTGGTCTTGTCTGACGACGAGGTTGTCAAATTCTTTTAACACAGAGGCATCCGACCGCAGCGATTCAAGCTCATCTCCCAATCCGAGGCTCTTGAGTTTCTCAATGACACTGAAGGAAAGTGAGTTTTCATCGTATTGCTTTAATCAAGATGCATACTCTCTTTTCCTCTGGTCTACCAGCTCTTTGCGACGCCGGTCAGCTACTTCAGCCTCCCAGATGCGACATAAAGCAGCGTGCTAAGAGCATGTCAATAACGCATTCGAAGATCACCAGGAACATCATACGACACCTGGTAAATTTCCTGGGTGACTTTCTCGCGATGGATTATCAGGTCGTTCAACAACGGGCTATCCTTCACAAATTTATACTGCCTGTTGAGTTTATTGACGTCGGCGTGCGAAGCCACAGTGAGTGGCTTCCTGCAGGTATTATCTCTGTGCCTAACGCAAGGCCCGGCAGAACACATGACTGACATGGGTACGAGCTGCTCAACATCGAGACAGTTCAAGTGGTCGATGAACAAAGGAAGCATTTCTCGACTAATGAGCCTATAAATCATGAGAAGCATAGATAAGGCGAGCTTCACGAATACCCAAATACTTACATCTCAGTTGTGCAACCGTCACAACAACGGATGCGTAACTCCCACTGAATTACATCGCACGACGAGTGACACCGCTATGAGTGACGTAAGTCATTCAAATATTTATCGAGAAGGACTGTACATGCATGGCAGAACGGCCAGAATAGCAGGTTTGCATATGCAGGTTCGGAAAGGTACGATGGGCATTGAGGTAGCCGGTCGACGCGTTTCAAGGCTCCTGTCCATATTGACTTTGCTTTGCGACAACTAAGCAGAAACAAACGAAACTGTTTGGATACCCGAGTAAGATGTACAAGGTCGAGTGGGTGAAGGTACCAAAAAATCTGGCAGGACAAGAATGTGAACAAGGCTTCTGAGAACACCAATATCTGGCTCGAGTGATCCATACCTCGAAAAGCACGTCAAGGGGGAGCCCAAGAACGATAGGTTTGCCCACCATCGTGATTACAGAAGTCGGTTGACCCGCGCGCTTTTGAACGTGTCTACCCGGCCAGACCGTGACTCACTTGCAAAGTTGCCTCATATTATGGGACCAAATGGGGCCCAGGCTGTATACTTGTAATATTGATTGCCTCATCATATTTATGTAATCACGTAAGTGTGCCACAAGACTAACAATCAAAAATCGTTAGTCCACGGTTCCGGTACGGTTTGTTCGTTATGGCTGTCCAAGAAACACCTGTATCGCGACGACTAAAGACAGTCAAACACATTATCATAGTGTGCTCAGGCAAAGGCGGTGTCGGAAAATCTTCCGTGTCCGCCCAGCTTGCGCTCAGCCTCCATGCATCTTCTCCCACAATTCGGGTCGGGGTTCTCGATGTCGATCTTACCGGTCCGTCAATACCACGCATGCTTGGTCTAGATGGACATGGCGTGCACCAGAGCAGCGATGGATGGGTGCCTGTATATGCAGATGCGCTTGGGGATGGTGAACCCAGACTTGCGTGTATGAGCGTTGGATTTTTATTGAAGAAAAAGGGGGACTCTGTAGTTTGGAGAGGGCCGAAGAAGAACGCTATGATCAGGCAATTTCTGAGCGATGTCAGGTGGGGAGAGCTTGATTACCTTGTCGTGGATACACCTCCAGGTCAGATATCCAACGGCGTGATGAGAGCCCATCTCAATCTGACGTTAATATCTAGGAACATCTGATGAGCACTTGTCGCTGATCGAACATCTTGCACCGGTGCATTCACGGTTGTCTGCAGTCATTGTCACAACGCCACAGGCTGTTGCGCTACTGGATGCTATGAAATGCCTCTCGTTTACTCGGGCTGTCGCGCTTCCTGTCCTTGGACTTATCGAGAACATGAGTGGATATGTGTGCCCTTGCTGCGGAGATATCAGCAATGTATTCTCTACAGGTGGAGGTGCAGAAATGGCCAGACGAGAAGGGGTGCCGTTCCTTGGTAGTATGCCTATCGATACGGAGCTGGTAACATTGTTGGATGCTGCCGAGTCCACAGATCTAAGCGCTGCTGACGCACAACACGATAAAGATAGCGAAGTTCGTTCATTTGGAGTTTTACAACGGTATCAGAAGACATCGTCCGCGAAACTTCTGAGTGCCATTGTCGAGAACGTCATATCGGCGTTGCCGTTGGTAGAACACGCGCCAGTGAGCAGCTCTGTTTAAGTAGTTTCAAAGGTACGTCATTGAACCATGTCCGCTGCTTCTTGATACACATCCTATGCAGGCACACACAACATTGTATTGATACATATACCATTGATGATGTATCCTTAGAACGTATCCCGATGTATCACAAGACATATCTTGCGCGTACTGACACGGCTTTCAGCTTGGAGGAAGCTTTCGAGTCCATTCAGATAAGTGTTTGATTAGAGAAGGGTCAACAATGAAGTGATACCAAGCCGCCTGTAATTATTTTGTCACATCTGACTGTGACCATATATTGCAACTTCTGTTCAGAAGGTCCTTCACACGACGGGCTATTCGAAGGGATTCGGGACTGCTATATGTTCGCTTGGTTATTCAATCTCCCGAGCTCGGCAACTTATATTCATTCCAAATGTAAGTTAAAGGCTTGTCGCGATCGCCTTATGCTCGGTTCATTTCAAGTTAAAGCGAAAAGGAAAAATCAAAAGTGTGCGCAGCTATCACGTACTACCATATCGTCAGAATCAGAACCTCCGTGATCGTAAATTAGAACAAAGACTCGAATTTTAATGATATTGACCATTGAGCTTTTGAAGTGTTGATACCGTATGGTTCGACACAGCCATGACCTGGCCATTATAACCAGCCGTGAGGCCTTGAGGGCTCACCTCTCCTACATGCGAAGAGCAGCCCTGCAAGTCCGTCAATTTCGGTATGTTTTTTTGGACTACATACTACTAAATAGCTTGAGATTCCACGAAACTTCGGAGTCTGGCTTCGATAGATGAGTCTCGTAAAAATTTGCCACGTTCCAGCCTGAGGAAGTTCGACAAGCCGGATATGAATGTGAGCATGTTTCTTCAAGTTAAAGTTTTGGCATTTGGCCTCGCGTTTTATTCCTTGCTTTTGTTCTATGAATCCAGCCATCTGATACCCCATCCATCGCCCTCCGACTGGGCAGATTCATTCTCGTGGCGTCTTTACTATTTTTTTTTAACTCTAACTCGCTCAGCCCTAACGATCTCTGTATTTTTCACCTCCCTGGCCTTATCCATTGTATCCACGGTCTACGCTCAATGCACGACCGTCAATCGTCTTTCGGTTCCGTATCGACACCCGCTCCCTTACTTACATCCGCTTCAAGTTCAGCTTATGATGTCCCTCAGTCCGCACGCCTGGCACCGCTTACCGACTCAAGTATGTAATTTTTTTTGCAACGTATAACACGACGTGTCTCCCCGCGTTGATGTCTAACTCATCCCCATGATCTTTTCCCCTCCAGGCGATCCCTCCGAGAAGAGACCTGATTCCCAATCATCAGGCATGACCATCCGCAGGATAGGCCCGCCCGTTCGCGCCAATGTTGGGGACGATGATATCTTTATGACCCAGCATCACACTCGAACCCTTCGTCGTCGTTCAAGTCGCCTATCAAAATGGTTGGAGGAGTTACGGGTTGATTCCCCCACCGTCCAGCGACGAGATAGCCTCAATAATTCCACTGATGTGGAAAATGTTGGAACTGAGTGTAATCCCTACTTAGCGTATCCTCACCTCAGCCTGGCAACTGTTCGTGGAAGCATGGATGATGCTACCAGCATGCACGATTATGTCGTAGTCGACGACGGCGATGTGCAAGAATATATTCCTCCTGAGCCCGTGGATGTAAAGGTGCGTCATCTCAGATAGCACGTGTTAGATAGGTCGTCTCATACGTCAAAGGGATCACATGGCCAATCAGCGCTGGCGGATACTGCTGGTAATGGTCATCAATCGGCCGTATGGCTTAATGCCCCTCCATCTCGACATCAATTCCATCTATCAGTTAGATCTCCTTCACCCGTCGCATCATCAGCATCTCGCAGTCCATCACGCCTATCAATGTTTCAACGCTCCTCTCGTGCCACTTCTAACTCGGAGGCGAGCAATCCTCATAACCACAGTCGCTCCTCTAGCATTCACATGTCACATCTTGTAACCGAGACTCGATCAGACGAACGTTGTACACGTTCAAGCCCTTCATCGTGGCGGTGGCGACCGAGTGTGTTGGGGCATTTCGTATCCCTCTCTGATGGTGATACACGCTCAAGTACCCGTGACTCCCCAGGTAGTTCTTCACGTCCCAGCATGTCCTCAACTACGACAAGTTCCTCGTATGCAACTCCATCCACCAATCTGACGTATGAGGAAGGAGTATCGCTTGTCCCCCCTTCGACGCCTCAAAAGTCAGACTTCTTTGGATCTTTGAGGTCGCGTTCCCATAAGGCTGTAACCTCTTCACTGTCGCTTTTCTCTACTGAGACAAGCCCATCATTTCCGGCGTCATTCTCGTTACCAGCATCTGGAGCTCAGCTCTCTCAGCCGCCAGGTTTTCCAAACTCCCTGGCGCGGAAATCGAGTACAATTCGATTACCGTTCTCGTCAAAGTCGAAGGTCTTGAGTGGTGCCCTCCCAAATATATCTGTGGAAGCGCCAGACGCCACACGACCGCGCATCGTGTACACCGGCAAAAGCCACGCCCCCAGAGTTTCTTTGTCTTCGATCGCTAGTCAGTCACGAAGCACCAAGAAGAAGTTAGTCATCGGCGGTATCGCGCCGAATGACGTCAAACGTCTTGAGGCGGTTCAAAAGTGGTGCCAGGTCTGACTCACATCCTCGAGTTTGGTTTCTTGTTACTGACTCGTGCCCTATCTTCAGTCATTTGGCGAAGTGGATCAAATCACGAGGATGCCTAATGGCGATCTCCATGTGAATTTTCACAAGGCTGAAGTCGCAGATACTGTGAATAGCTTCTATAGTCGTTCCTATTGTCAGGAGCTAACCCAGTTCTCCTTACCAGGTGTGTCGTCTGCGTGCCAAAGTCTACATTGCGGGTGTAGGCAGCGTACATCTTTCTTGGTATTCCGGAAATAAACGACCATAGCATTCGTCACCGCTCTCGGATCATTTTCATTTGCTTGTAAAAGGTGAAAGCAAACGTGAATCGTCATAATGTCCATCAATTAACTGGGTACCTTCAGTGTACAACGCTGGAATTACGTTCTACACCCGCCTAATTCGATAATTATCCTTTCCTCAAGGCCTCTGGTCACTAATTTCACCGACGACTTGTATCGATTCCATGACTATATATGCGTACGTAAGTGTTGGCCATTCTGTCCGATATCAAACTGACTGCACGCAGATGACCATTTATGACGCTATTCGAGCATCTCATCCTATTTATCATCTACATACCATAAGATCTCAGCTTCATTAATTGCATCCATCTACCACGCATTCCTTCGTTGATATCCCTTTGCTCACGATACATACCTTCCACATTGTCAAGATGACCCTTCGCGAACTAGTTGCTTGGACAATGCGTTGGACGAATGGGTAGTCGTACCTAACGATATTTCTTCCGCTGTCAGCAATATCATGCTCTGTTAGCCTCCCGTAGGCAGACTGAATAGAAGGCCGTGATTTAAAAGTGCTCGTCCTCGATTGCAATGCAGTGACGATTTTCGACACCAATATTGGTGGAGGGTTCTGTATTGAAGTCACCCAATGACATTTCAAATTTCACGCGTGGAAAACGCTTTCCGGTTGCCGACAACCGCTGACCCAGACCGTCCGGTGTGGCTACTGCTAGTACTGACCGCCGGTACCAAACTGGTACTGGTCCAAACTTATTCTCCTGTCCCCATGTTCTCGTTGCGTTTGTTGAGTTTTTTCGAGTATGCCAGTGTTTTGGTCAAAACGTGCTCCTGAGACACAATAAAGTGCGTATAGCACCTTCCTCGCATCTGCCACCGAATACTTTGCTATTTCGATGCCATGCCAGACTCATCACTTGTCCCGTCATCTATTCCTGGAAGCTCAGGATGGGATCTTGCACGTACAATGTTTTTGCGACCCCAATCCTGGGCAGAAATCTTGCCAATGCCACGGGTTACAACATGTATTACTACTCATCAGACGAGCAGCTGATGAGGAACGTCCAGGGGATGTTGGCAACACTATTCGTTGATGGACGTGTGTAGGACATACCAGAGGCCACTAGAGTGAGGCAAGACATAAATCTTGTAGTTGCCAGACAACGACTCCTTCGCGTTATATTGTCAAGATGGCTGGTTGCCAAACGTTTCATTTCGCGAAGAACGGGGCGATCAATGATTTCACGGCACGCCAGATTCAAATTTGATACAAATGTGCCGGGGACTATCATAGCCGGTCTGTATTCTTTGCACGTTGGCAAAATCTAGGCCTGATCGGCGACCCTGACCTTGCTCAGGCGCCTTAGGTGAGGCTAGCTTGAACAATCGAATTGGCATCACGCGCTGAGAGTTTAGTCACGGTCGAACATCATATCCGTTATTATGCAAGCGCTGCCTGATCCTCGGGGATATATGCCCTTATACATACGACTTCCATGCCTCTTCCTTGTCACCTGAGCGTCACGAGGTGATATGTAAAGCGCTCGGTCACAGTGGGATGTGGCAAAGAAGGAAAAGGACTTTGCTTTGATTCGCTAACTGGAGTGTTTATCCTTCATCCCGGTGCACAGCATATTAATTCTAGCGCTCGGAATGTGACACACTCTAATAAGTAGGTACCATGTGTTCCGGTTCGTCTCTTCAGAAAGTGAGTACTTGATATTTTTCCTACTACTAAGTATTTTCAAATTACGCAGGGCTTGTCTCGTCCAGGTTAAGAAAATCGGAAAAACGGGGGCGCAGACTCCTTCCTGTCAGTGTGTCGAGAGCAGGTCTTGCGGCAATGGTACCGAACATCATCCTATCTCCATTTGGACGATCTCCTACGAATGCGTGCAGAAGTGCAAAATAGCGCGCTAGGAAAGTATAAATGCACACCGTCCGACCCTAGAGTCCCCATATACAATGATGCGACTTTTGCTCATAACTATCTTAGCTCTCTCACAAGCTTTCGGCGTGCTTTCTCAACACACTGAGGCAGCCTTTCAGCTCCCGACCTCTCCTTCCACTACATGTGAGGAACAAGCTAGGCAATCAGGTAAAAATATTCAATGGTCGAATCCACCCTCATAACCATGCTCAATTGATGTGTCCCATTAGGCTTTCCCACAGATGGTTGGGAAGTTCACGATGATGGAGGTCAAATAAAATGCCGTCGGGTAACTGTTCAAGAACTCGGACTCTGCTCTGGTGTCGAGTATATCGACGCAGTAAGTTCATACGTATATTTTCGAGGATGGACACTGAGGGGTAGCCGAGCAGGACACCAAAGACAAGAAGTGTTGTCGACATGTGAGTGGTCTCACATGGATCGACAGGTCTGCAAAGTTAGCCAAGGTATGCGTTCGATATGTCGGTTGATCATGCTTATCTACATTTTGCAACAGTGCTGCGCCAAGGATCATGTATGGACATTTGATAATGGAGACGGTCCTACACGCGGAGGGTGCTGCATGGTTGGGTTACACATGCATAATGGGAAGTGTATCCCCCCGTACACTCCTCCCCCTCCACGCTGCCCGTCTGAGACATACTTGATCAATGGGAAATGTACCCCAATCACTGCTTCCCCGCCGCGCTGCCCGTCTGGGACATTTTTGCAGGATGGCGTATGCATCCCAGTTACGGTTCCAACCTGCCCGGTTGGGACATATTTGGACAATGACCAGTGTCTCCCAATTATTGCTTCCCCTGCTCCGCGCTGCCCGTCTGGGACATTTTTGCAGGATGGCATGTGTGTTCAAATTCCAAACAGCATCTGCCCAATTGGAACCCGCATCCAAGATGGCCAGTGTGTCCAATTGCCTCAGACGTGTGGCAATGGTCACAACAATGGCGAATCCTCATGCGCATGCACAAATTATCCCGTCTGTGGACATGGAAGATACCTAGGCATCAAATATGGTCGTTGCTATATTCTTTCCTTCTCTGATGGCCAACAACTCGGCACCGTACGAGAAAACACTATGTATGTCAAAGGCGGCTTCTTCGATGATATCCCCTTCAAAGTATGCAAATCAACGAATGATTGCTCACGTGGAAAGGAGGTTGAGATGGACGAGTTCTTCTACCTCCAAGATCAGCATGGATTGTATGGGGATTTGAAGTCGACAAAAGGGTGGATTGATAACGCCCATAATGGCGACCATCTGAGTTTCACCTTTGATGTCAACAAGGCTGGCAAGTTCACGGGCACCCCGACTTGCGCTGGCAGTGAATGTGGAATTCAACTGCGCGGTGGTCCCGATAACGGCGGAATGGGACTTGCTTGCCCGATGGCCACGCCCGGAGTGACATTCGTAAGTTTCCTCCTTTTCAAGGGATTTTTTTCGCTAAATGATGTTTTTCGTCCATCAGTGGAGTAATCCTAAAGTGAGCAGAAAACTCCGTTTCTCTCAGGTGACATGCGACGAGTATGAGGTCCCTCTCACCTCTGGTATCTACTCTGCATGAGGTCGAAAATTCTGGATATTATGTCGTGTATACTTTCATTCTGACTCGATGCCTTTTGTCTGGTAACAACCTTATTCTATCCTTGGCTCCGCATTTTCTCATTCGATCCGACATAATTATCTTTCAAGATAGCTACGTTTGTTTATCTGGAAGATAATAGTTTGCGATCATCAACTCACACGACTAGTTTGTTGGGTTGTGACGCTCACTAATTGATCAAACCTTATTGTTGTATTTTGACAAGTCCAGCGTCAGTCTCGCCTCATGTCTAAAGGAAAAGGCATTGAGGGTTCCAAGTACTGCCTGGGAGCAGCGCTCAGATTTTTTGAGCTAACCCTCTTACTTCACGGCATCTATTGGAAATCAAAAAGACCGTAAGGGGCGGATTCAAAACAATGACAAATACTCACATGATCACTGAGGCGCCGTCACATCAGCCAGCGTTCACCTTGCTTCTCATTATCACATTAATGTTAAAAGTAACTTCAATACCGCCACAAGTGTACGCCAACGCGACCTGCTACCATTTTGTCTTACTGCCTTCCTTCTATTGGTCTACCTATGACAGTCTACTACCGTGACATAGGTCATCATTGGTGCAGCACATCAGCTCGGCTTTGTTTCTCAGTCAGCCGACATGCTCATGTTTATCTTTAAATCCACACCTAGTTGAATGCTATACGGTCACGTTCCTGACAGTCCTCAGATGTCATACATAGCCTTATAATTGTGACTTCTCTGTCAAAGTTGGTCGTTCTGTGATGTTGAACGCCATGCGGCCGTTTGGAGATGCTCGGCCGCACCACTACTTGGAACCTTAAAAGAATTTGTCAGAGCTTCTTCCGTGGCTGCGGCATTCCCAAGGTATTATCGATTCAGTTCAAAACTACAGTCTGTCATGTGCCGACTGCAACAGCAAGCTGAAGATATATGACGAGTTCTACCAATCACTCAGCAGCCTCCGTGTCTCCTCTAGTGGTTCTGTCACAGTCTGAAGCGATCAAAATATCGGGAATTACGTCTGGGTGAAGGTATTTCGCGTAAAATCAAACACGTTCCCTGACAGAAGACCTAAAAACTGTACAGGCATAGATCGCCTACCAGGGTTTAGAATCTCAGATATTCCATAACATCTTCCAGTGGAACTGCATAGCACCTCCCAAAATATCGACCCTGGCGCTAGTAGATAATTCCCTAAGGCGCCACAGACTTTGTCTTCCGAACCGGCCCCCGTCCTCATCCTCATCGAATGCCTCGACTCGCACACTCGGAGATCCATGGTCTTATAAATGCAACTTCCCTGTCCCGGTCTATCACTATCTGTGATACCAAATTATCATGAGATATGAAGAGCGCTCGACAGCGTCAATGAAGGTGACGAGTTATGTCAAGACGTAAAAGAGCGCTTGTCCGTTTGGTTCTTGAGCGTCATCCTGGAACCGCACTACGGCCTATTGAAGTTCCCGAGCAGCAGCATATCTATATGCATACTGACTACTGTTGCAAACCGCTCAGCGGCCTTCGTCTCTAACGCGGTTTTGCATACTGTTCTACCATAACACGATTCTCCTTTACTGATGGCTACAATACCGACGCAAGACTTCTTGAAAAATGACCATGTGTAAGTGAAGGTGTTTAACGCGGATAATTTATCCCTGATCAAATGCGGTATTAGAACACAGGAAATTCTGCAGAAAATTCTCGCGACCTTGGAGGACTCGAATATAACGGAGAAAGGGAACACAGACACATATAACAGGTTCTGGGCGTCTTATACCAAGGTTGCAAAAGAGTACGATGGCGAGTTTCTAGAGCGGAACAGCAGTGACATGGACATCGTACTCCTTTCTGTAAGCTACCGAATAACTTTGGAGCATGTATTTGGCTAAGAAGATCGTAGTCTGGTCTCTTCTCCGCTATCAATACCGCCTTCATTATTGCCATGAAACCCGACCCCACGATCCCCTTGTTGTGGCAGATCGTTCAGAATACATCCTCCAATACCACGATATCAGCCCTCGCTGCCTCAGCAGCAAACCCGCCAAATATCATTTGGTTCCAGACCTTGGCATACGTTGCATTGTCGCTCGACCTTCTCGCTGCTTTCGGGGCTGTCCTCGGCAAACAGTGGCTCAGCCATTACAAATCGAACGGTCGTGGAAAGGACAAACAAGAAATGTTAGACGGTTTGGAAGCATGGTACTTCTACGCTGTTCTGCTATCATTTCTCATGCTACTGCAAATCTCGTTCTTTCTTTTTGGGATCACTCTCTCAGCTTACGTATGGAGTCAGCAAGGAGCTACAGCAATCGCTGTTATCGTGTTGATGGCGTTCGGCTTGCTCTTTTATTTATTCATTGTCGTCGCTTCCTTGAAATACCCGCAATGTCCCTTTCAAACCCCTACCTCAGCATTCCTTCGCTTCATTCGGAAGTGCATCCGAGTCCGAGTCGCGGGGGGGAAAGAGAGCAAGGAGATGTACTCCGACCCTGGAGAAGCCAAGGAGATGCTCTCCGTAGCACGATCAATAAGGTGGCTATTCAACACTACCACGGATCCAGAGGTGATCAGTTCAGCGGCTTGGCTGCTGCCGACCATCAAATGGGCCCCTGAGGTGGACATGGCACCTGTATGCTCACGATTACTGTCCACTTTCAAAGCATGCTTCCATGCTAATGCCCTGTTCAGTCGTTCGGCACGCCAAAGAGCTCTTGCGTGCGGGACAGCCTTCCATAATGTAATGTGCGATGAACAGATACAGAACTATGTTCCCATTAATGCCATGTTCTTTGATGGGGGGGCATTGGAGATGTGGTCTCGCTGGAGAAGCCTCAGTCTTCCCTTGGGGCTTGACGACTGCAAAGCGTCTTTAGACCAGTACGCCACGACTCTAGATGAAGATCATGAACATGAAGCATGTGATTCCTCTAGAGATTAGAGGTAGAGCGGGATAGAAAGGATCTAACAGGTAAGAGCAAGTCTCAGTCTCTAGAAAGAACTCATATTGACGAAGCGTGTACCTAACAGGTAAGAGCAACTACACTAAGTCAGTTAAGTGTAACAATAACGGTAAAGGTGTAGACTCACGTCTCAGTCTCTAGAAAGAACTGAGACGCTCGCAACGGTTGGGCGCTAGTATTTATACGGTAAGCGCTCCACCTCAGGCAGGACTTCTCGGTGGCAATAAAGGTCTGTGAGACCCCATTAATATGTTAGGGTTATATGGGTCTAAGAGACCCAGGCTCGCAGATGGTCTATTTATAGCACAGCCAAAATATACCTTGCTTCCTCTGCAGCACCTCCCGGGATCCTCGTGGCCCTCACTGGATCCTCGTGCCCCTCACTGAATACTCTGTACCCTCCACTACGACCTCGCAGGATCGTCGTCAACATCCCCATCCCGCTCCATTCAGCCTCTGGATAGGTCTATGGCGAGCCCACCAGATATAGAGCCTCAGCGCTCTTCCTTGCATCTTGGACACTGCTGTCAGTTTCCAAGTCCGTTTTTCGTCGTCTTTCTGTTCTACCCTACGACGACGACCATCATGCCGGCCATCCGTCCCACACGTGGCGCTCAGCCAATATCTACAGGACTTGGAGTACACTTTGTGAGCCCCAAGAAGGCTCGAGATCCCAAAAAATCACAGACACTCGTTCACATTCCAGGCGCTAACTCCAAACATAAGCGCCTCCTCGCTCAAATGGCTGCTCTAATGAATCCCAAAATGCTAAGTACTCAAACACCAAGTTCTAGTTCTGCGCCAGCTCAACCTGAAGCACCGGCAAACTTTGACGACACTGCAAGCTATCCTTACGACGAGGACGACTTTATGGTCAATGACTACCAACCCGACGAAGGACCTTGCCCTACAGACCTGGCACCCAAGGACCTGGGGCACCGTATCCTGCCAGACAAAATGGCAAATAATCTTTATACGTCCTGGAAGGCCCTTATACCCACATTGGTAGATCCCCATCTCAAGTACTCAGCAAGAACCCATGGGCACCCTCTTGCAGAAATATGTCCGGTCATATCTGCCTGCGCAAGCTCCAGTTGCGTACAGCAAAGATTCTCTATAGTCTGTCTCTTTTCGACCGTAAGCAGTTTGTTTCTGATGTGCAGCTCCAGCTGATAAGTCCAGGTTTCCTTTATGTTAATGTGATGGCGTGCAAATGTTCAACACTCTCGCAAGTCCTCGTACACCACGGCCTTTTTCCAACTGCACCATCTCAACCACGCATGGCAGTCTCCACAGACCTCCTTGCGTTCTACCGGGCATTATTTGAGCGTTCGTGTGATGCTATCCACACGCTCGCCGCCGCCCTGAAGACCCATTATGCCCGCCGAGGCTTCCAGATGACCAATACCGCCGTGAGTTCCGACTTATCAGTTTTATAGACTCTTCCTCACTTCACCCAGGGCCAAGTCGTTCAAGAGCCATTTCGGCGTGGACTCGGCCAAGCTGTTTAATGGTATGATATTTTACAAACCGAAGTCGAGTGGCAGACTGAAGCCGCGGTACAAATATGTCGAGAGCGTGTCTACGAGGCTCGTAACCCTCAATGTAACGAGGAGGCTAACCTGTCTACCCCCAAGCCTTCCAGTACCTCCCTGCATCAAGGCCAATGTGCTGCCATCCTAATGCAGCGCTGTCCAGCATGCTTTGGAGGTGTGCTATTTGGCAGGCCACTTAGTGAAGGCGGAGATATACACGTGGCAACTGATGGTAACTTCCATCATCGTCATCGACGATCCGCAGGCGACTGCCCGCGCTTCTACGAACCCTTGTATTTCCTTCCGAAGACCCAGGTTGATGACGTTGGGCGGCGGATCATCTCGAAGCGTAAGTGAGCACCCAAGATTCGCACTTCTGTAGTCCCGGATGAAGCAATTGATCAGTGCGAGCATTCATACGAAGCCACAGATGGTAAGAAGCAGAAGGCCGCCATGGAATCGTTTGATGATTCGGGCATCATGGCCATTATTTGTCGTCACGACATCCCTCTCTTCTTTGCCAATATCGATTCGCCTGGCGAGCAGCAAAAGTATGCAGTATCCCTCATCGAGCACCTATTTTCCCTCTTACCACAGGAAGCTACCATCGTCATGCTCTACGACGTCGGCTGCGTCCTCTCACGCTCATTATCTCAGGTAAGTAATTCTCTGACAGACAAGATCTCAACCTGATGTGTCATTATGCAGTATGATATTCTTCCCGAGCCTGTGACCTCGCGGCTTCGATTCGCGATGACAGCCATGCACGCATATGGCCACGAGTGGGCCTGTCAACTGGAGTATAACCCTCGGATGTGCAGTGGCCTTGGTCTGTCTGATGGCGAGGGTACTGAGAGGCTCTGGTCGAGGTTTGTCAAGCTGATCGGAATTCAACGGTCATCGTCTGTAAGTCGCAATATTCTCATGATGTTCCTTCGTTAATAATAGTGTATAGCGACAGAGGCGTCTTTGGTTGATAGACCGCCAGGCCGTTGCCATCGGACTGGAGATGCGAACAGATCTGGGTGAATGGATCAAGCGGTGGCTCAAACGTGGTGTCAATGCCCAGGGTGCAGCGGCTAAAGATGTCCTGAATAAGTGCGGTGTCGAAATCGAAGATCTTGAGGATCAATGGGCGGATCAAAAAAGGTCACAACTCTCCATTCGTGCCCGTATGTCCGTCAAAGTCGCTCGAAGGTCCAACTGACATTTTAAATTGCAATCAATAGATGCTCCAGCACGCCTGAAGAAGGAGCTCGACGTTGTGCTTACTCTCCAAGCTGACCTCGATGCTTCTGATAGGGCCTTGCAAGCCATGCGCACTGTGGTAGAGAAGGGCTTGGTTACCGAGGAGACACTAGATGCACTAGAGAGCCTCAAGCGCAGCCATGACCATTTGATGAACAAGGTTGAATTATTGTATGCCTCACTTAACGTCCACGACAGATTTCCTGAACTCCAAGGTGTCGACTTAGACTTCGTTCGAACTCTTCTCATGGCTTGTGACCTCAAAATAAACATCTGCAAGCGAGCCATAGGGAGCTTTTTTGAGTGGGATAAACTCAACCGCGCGGTTGGCGGTGCAAATCAGGCCCTTGGTAATATTCCTTGCTTCTGTCTTGCTATATCTAAATTTTGACTCATTCTCACAGGCACGAAGCTCCATCAGCAGACTCGCAAAGCCATCGCAAAGCGCCAACCAGCTTTGATGACTGCGATCCGCAAGTATAATGGCTACTGCAAGCGTCTTGAGGGCCTCTATGACCCATCTTGGGGTGTCCCGCTCCCCGCTCCTCTTCCTACCAAACTCGCTGACCTTCGAAATGATCCGACGTTGATGGAGGACGTTTGGATCACCCCATCCGTAGGAGATGTCCCCCGTTGGATGGAAGACACCGATGTACGAGATGGAATACGAGCTATGCTGAAATGACAATGATGTCAAGAGGAACAGCGCCGTCTTGGGTTCGAAGCCGACAATCTCTGTCGATGGTTTAGAGACGAGTTGGCTGCGCTAGAGGTTGCCCTACGTTCTCCCGCAAGTAAGTCATTTTATTGTTTCAATGATTGTTACTGATTTTACCAGATCGCACATTTTTATTTCCGCTGCAGCAATGGCGGGATCACGTCCTCCAACTTCAAACTAAATGGGTCACCCCGCTAGCGTCTTCTATCCGCTTCATCAGCAATGTCACAGTGGCGACTAATCTCGCGATCACTCTTTGTGAGGGACTATCAGAAGATGGTATCTACAGGCTCGTACCAACCTCATTGGCGCTCGATGAACCCTCCCCCGAGGATGACACAGACAAAGATATTGTGCCTGCATTCAAAGAAGCCGTTGAAGAAGCGGTGCTTATGGATGTTTTACCCCATGGTACCATTAGTGATGACGAGGATGATGAAGTCATACCAGAACCCGAATTCACGATAAGCTGGGAACTGCCAGAGGTATGTTTTTGTCTCTAAATATGTACTTGGACTCATCAAATAAATATCATAGAATCTTCGGAAAGACACATTCAAAGTTCCTCGCCGAGAGGATCTCGTCATAGTACCATCCTCAAGTGCCCCCCCGACTCAGGTGCGACCAGCGCAGGATGGTTTTCCCTGTCAACTGTTCGACGCAAGGGATCAGTCCTTCCTGGCACAGCCCACTGCCCGCCTCAACGATACGTGTATCAATGGTTGTGCGGCATTGTTATACTCTGAGATACTGGCAACTTCACAAATGCGGCCTTGTGCCATTTTTTCGACACACGACCTCCCGCGTATCCGATACAATGCGTCGGATGAGATACTATGGCGGAATACTGCGTGGACGTCCTTTTGGGACAAAGATGTATGGATATTACCTATTCACCGTCCCTCACCAGTCGGACACTGGGTACTCTGCGCAATATATATCCCAACAAAAGAGCTCCACCTCTTCGACAGCTTGGCTGAACGACGGCCGTGGAAAAATGATGTGAAGGTCAGTACTAGATGATACTCCAGTTATTCGCTGTTGATTCGCCACAGGACATTATGAATCTTATTGCGCGTTTATCATCCATCGCCCAGCAACGCCGTGGCTCACACCCTGTCGATCTTACAGGCTGGGTAGCCTGCCCGCTAACAGTCCATCCTCTACAAACTAACAGCTACGACTGTGGGCTCTGGGTCCTAGCGGCACTTGCGGCCGTCCTGAGGGGGGCTCACACACCAGGTATATACGAGAAGGACATGATATCATTTAGACACTATGTACGTACACTTGTAGTAAGGATACCTGCTCCATGAATATATTCGTCGTTTGTTTACAACCCTCCCAACAATGTGCGAAGACGGCATTGAGTATGATACACCACTGCGTGAACACCGTCCAGCACAGTTGGGAACTTGAAATGAGGAACAAATAATATTCCATAAGACAACCGCAGGCCATCTCCCAACTATGACGACTGGTTAATAGAAAACCTACCTGATTCACGGCAAGCAGTCCTGGATACATGAGATGGAGATCAGTTGCGACAAATCCACTCACCACAGCCGCGTATACAGCGGTATGGACATTAAGTAGTTCTGGACACACGATTGAATATCATGCAACTGTATCATGGCAGCCGCAAAAACCTACTTGATTCACGACAGGCAGTCCTAGATACATGAGATAGAGATCAGCTGAGCGACAAATAATTCACTCACCACGGCTGCGCATACTGTTACACCAGCGTGAACATTAAGTCGTCTGGCAGTGATCTGGACACACAATCCGAGTAAATCATCAATCCTGTTCCCGCTCACACTCATTTAGCATTCCAAACCTCTCAAAGAGCAAGCTGAACAACCAATTGATCACTTGTGAACTGATCCCTCGTGTAGTTGAGGGTAACCCAGGCTTATAATTGTGGAAGGTTTGCTGAAGGTCGCAATCCAGCGACTTGGAACCATTGAAACGCTTACAACTCAATGAAGCAATCAGAGGTATACCAGTCTTACGCATAGTGAAGCGACTGTGCATGCTAAAATGCAGTGTTTTTCTATCTCATCTGAAGCGGGGTCATAAGATCTTCAGTACTCACCTCTTTGTAGCCATACATATAGCTTTACGAAGCTGCAGAGACATGATTTCTGTATGATAGGACTTTAATACGAGTTTTATTTGCAATGTGATTGGTTGAGGAGGCTCTCGAGATGTTGCGCCCAACATCCTTCCGCTCAATCAGCATCAATGAATCTCAAGATCGTGACAAGGCGATCATAACAAGCGACTGCGAATCTCAAGATTGTGACAAGGCGATCGTAACAAGCGACTGCGAATCTTTTTTTATGACACTACCCACACTATCATTGCTGCTTCGTAACTCTATAGAATTGTACAGTAACGGGAGATACTAACTAAGAGGCTGGGTAAGAGACTGGGTACTAGGCTGGGTAAGAGACTGGGTAAGGACAGCTATCTGTGGGATCAAATCACTGGCATCTACTCTCTCAGGCTGTGCCGAAGGTGGGGCTTGTGCGGATGATCCCTCAGGTATGGTTGGTGCTGGCAGTGGTGTTGCTGGAGCGGATGAAGAACGCCGCTGTGCTGCCTTCAGCCTCCAGGAGGGAGGTGCAAGTGGTAATTCGACGAACATCTGGACATTCCGGCGACGGAGGCGAGGGGGTGCAGATGGTTCAGGTGAAGGCTCTTGTCCAGGTGAAGGCTCCAGTCCAGGTGAAGGCTTGGGAGAATAAACTACCCGCCGACGAGAGCGACGAGAAGGCGACGGTGCAGGTGAAGGCGACGGAGATGGCAGTTGACGACGAAGACCCTTACGGTCAATCCTACCGTCAACGAAAACGCGCCGACCACGAGTATGGGGTGATTCAGGTGCAGGCGCTTCACCCAAGATGATGGGCTCATGGGAGGCCAGTAGTCTTCGGCAGGTTTTTTCAGTGGTGATGTGTTGCACGGTGAGTAAATTGTTTTTGAGGGCGTCCGCGAGTATGGCCCGGCTGGGAAGGGTGAGATCGTGGATCCCCTTGCTCCTGAGGAGCGTGCTGCGTCTTTCGCCAGGTGCGAGGACATTCTCGGGGTAGTTGTGGATGACACATCCATGGCGGGCAAGGAGGGAGGGTAGTGTCTTCCAGGGGAAGGTTCCCCCTCGCCCGTTTAGTGAGCCTGTAGAACCGTCAGTCATTCCACACTTAGACAGACTATCAGACTTACCACATAGGGCCGTCAAGCCTCCAGTGATGCAAGGGATCCCTTCAGCCTCCCTCCAACGTTCTGTATCATCTTCTGCCTCTCTTCGCCTCTCCAACCATTCTTCCAACACCTTCTCATTCGTCCACCCGCGCTGCGATCCGATCTGACTGACGAGGCGATCCAGCTTGTCGAAATCCATGGCGGTTGCCATCATGGACGAGGTGGATAATAGGTGCCAGGATCGTAGTGAAGGAAGAAGGAGTGTGGCCCTCGGCATCGATGAAAAGAGAAGCATCTGGTAGGTGCATAGTGAAACTGTGAAAGGGACCGAGGGGTGTAAACACGTAAGTTAGTAACATATTTCAAATTCACACGGTTCATGTAAGTTTACCCCGGTGACCACATACGCTGAGCAGGAGGATCTTCAAGCTCAAGAACGCCGAGCTCTGAGTGATGGTTTGATTTCATTTAGAGCATTTGAACCATTGCCCACTAATAAGTATCTGGTGATGTAGAAATCCGATATCCTGGACCAAGCCGCTTGGTAGCCTGGGGGTCAAATTAGCCTGCAGGCTGAACCTCACCGCACTCCTCTGCCAATGGCTTTGACTACCATCACAGAAGCCGTCAACGAGCCTCTTTCGATGAACCAAATGTAAGTAAATTGATTCCAAATCTGCTGATCGCCTTCTGACTTCGGTTTTGATACTGCGAATCCCTCTGGATCCATTCATCGGACCAAATATTCTAGGATCTGGTAAATGTTAATACGCACGCTCGAACAACTTCCCTCTCCTGCCTTGTTGAACTGACAAACACCCACACATTGCTGTACGCTCCAAGAGGTTTTGTTTTATTTTCATGTGCACTCCAGCCTCATGCTAATTCATCCTTCTAGTCATGACTCAAAAGTTATCGCCTAAAATGCGGGACTCCCCACCTCCTGGCTATGCAGCCTCCTCACCGTTCCCAGACCCTGGTGGAATCGAAGGAGAATTTCTCGAGGAACAAGTTGGTGGAGGCAGGCGCCTACCGACTCCGCCGCCAGTACAGACCCCAACTCGACTCCGCGGTACCATCAAAGCTATGGACCGTGACATGGGTCTAGTTAAGGAGGCATCTGCGCGTCGGGCAAGGCTGGTTCTTCAAGAGCCACCAGCTGACGTGGGACATGGCCCATTGCTCACCGAGGCCCACAACCAGCCACGGGCGCAGCCTCACCAACAATCTGTCGAGCCTCGCCAACAATCTGTCGAGCCTCGCCAACAATCCGTTCAGCCTCGCCAACAATCCGTCCAGCCTCGCCAACAATCCGTTCAGCCTCGCCAACAATCCGTCCAGCCTCGCCAACAATCTGTCCCTCTCCCCACTTTCATCCCTCCTGTTAACCGAGCACGCAGCCTGGGTGTGCAGCTTAAGCCAACATCGCCAACATCGGCAGATGTTTTTTACGAGCCTCCCGAGCCTCCTCTCTCCATGGCTGACCATCGTCAGAAACTCTTCCAGCCTCCGCAGCCCAACATGTCGACAAAACCTGCTGTTTTTGAGCAGGAGTCTTTCGACTTCAACGGTATGATCAACGGGAGTTTTGATCACCGCGACGACACCATCCCCAGACCATCTACCATGCAACTCACCATCCCTGCAACACGCATCATACCTCCGACCCCTGCAGGCCTGGGGAACTGGGATATGCCCACAGGCCTTGGGGACTGGGATATGGACCCCCCTTTTGCTCCTTTTTCTGGGGACGCTGTCATGGACCCTGCCATGAATGAGGCTGATGTCATGAACGAGGGTGATGTTGGCCCTTCCTTTGTGAGAGGCCGAAGAAACGACGAGACGAATGCCGCCCTGCAAGAGGGCTTCGTAGAACTGGAACGTGTCATCAATGACCTCGCCCGCATCACATCAATCCCCTCCCCCCAAATTATTTCATTATGGAACAAGAGTCACGCACGCACTGTCAACAACGTGAACCACTGGAACGCATATGCCAATTACTTCAAAAATAACCTCAAGCAGGAGCTTAGCAGGCTTGGAGACGAGGCCCCAGAGGCTCCCAGCACGCCAAGTGAGTATCTATCTCTTCCACAGATGTTGTTATGCTAACATCGTGACATCAAGGTGCCAGCGTCTGCCGCAAATGCTACGATGCTTTCAAAAAATCATTCCCAAACGACTGGCAGGATATTCTCGAGATTTATGGTGAGACTGCGTTATTCCTCAGTGGACCTCAGACAGTTTCCGCACGGGGACAGGAGTTCCAAAAATTTACGAAGAAGCTCTCTGGATTAGTACGTACAATGATGTTCTCTTACTGTCATGTCTCTGAAGGCATACAGATGGACACCGGAGCGGCCCGTTTCGGCTTCGAGGCTGCACTTGTAGCCTGCGGCAAAGTCGTCAATCAAGATGGTTCTTTGGGCATGGCCCATACAACATCTGGAGCTGGTGATGTAAGTGTATTTTAAAGTCACTTGCACATTATCTGATATCTCTTTCAGTTTTGGTTGTCACGGTGCAAGGCTGACGAAGATACCATCATCGGCCATTTGAAAGCGCAAGTATAGTGAGTGCTCTTGTGGATCTTTTGTGGATTGAGTTCTCATTCAAACCCCAGTAACCTTGCATCTCTGGCTGTGGTCGAAGAGGCCTTTGAGGACGAGGTTGTGGAGGTCCAGGGCAACCCCCACGTGGCTTCAAAACCCCCTGCAGAATGTATCGACATCACAAAGAATGGACTCAAGTGGATTAAGGACGAGATATCTCGTCAAATCAGTATGTTTAATGTATTGGGTTTATCGGTATGTTGACGGCGAGGAACAGACATCCACGGTGGCAAACTATCATCCCTCAAGATTTTTCCATGGAAGACGCTGCCATCAGAGCTCGCGCGCAATTCATTGGTCATCAAGGGCTATCCGGACGATGTGCTCCTCCCCGGCGGGGTTCATTCCAATGCCAATAAAGGAATTGCGAACTTGACTCTCAAGGAGATCGGCACCATCGTCGTGGCGTTGCAGGCTGGCACTATGTATGTCACAAAGGTTTCCGGAGCCAAGCAAGGTATGTTTAATTATGATCATCCCAGCCTCCAGTCTCACCACTGATCATTTCGCACAGCTAAACTTGTGACTTCTGAGGTCCCAATACTGGTGGGTGCACCCCTTGCAGGAGATTCTGAGCACGCTGCAGGACGTCGCCTTTTTGCGAACGGCCAATCAGATCGCCGGGGGCTTCCCCGCCAGAAGCCGAGCATGGCTACTACAAGGATCAAAGGTAAATCTACGAAGAAGGCATCAACGCTTCCTGCTTCCACCATATCTCTTTCGGAGGACGAGCCTCAGGCAGCTGATGATTCAGACGTGGACGCCTCTCCCGTCCGCCCTACTGTCAAACCTCCCCCCTCCCGCGAGTTCATAGTAGTCCAGCGCCCGACGGGCCAGAAGGTGGAGAAGAAGGCTGACAAGAAGGTCGAGAAGAAGGTGGAGAAAAAGGCCAAGAAGAAGGTGGAGAAGAAGGTCGGCAAGGAGGTCATTTCCTTGATGTCTAGTGATGCTCGGTCTGGCTCAGAGGACCCGGACAAAGACCTGGATGAAGACCTGGATGACGCACCCAATGACGACTCGGATTACGAAGACAACGATTCCTCCAAGAAACGGAAGGTGAAATCAGAAGGCCCCTCTCGAGCATCCAAGAAGAGGGTCTCACCAACTGTCGCGCCTGTAGAAAGGGCTGTCCCAATGAAGAAGACGAAAGGTAAGGCACCTATGCGGCCCAAGGCCAAGGGGCCAGCTGAGAAGAGAGCCCCGCCGGAGGCTGCAGAGTCCTCTGGAGATGAACGGGTTCCGGATGTGGCAGGATGAGGTATGGTTGTTGTTCTTTTCTCCTGCCAAGTGACTGACATACTCTGCAGTACAAATTGCAAAATGCTTGCGGGATGGTCCTGTCGACTCCCTCAATGACAGTGCCACTAACATCCTCGCCACACGCCCCTTGTCGCCCTCCTCACCCTCGCCCACTCGTCGTGGTTCAGCAGACTTGGTCCCGGACAACATCATGCGTGGGGAATCTCTCGCGCCAGTCGCCAAGCCACCTATCATACAACCTCCATCTATGCAGCACGGGGAATCTCTCATGCCAGTCGCAAAGGTGCCTAGCACGCAACCTCCATCCCGTCAGCATGGAGAACCTCTCACGCCAGCAACTAAGTCGCCTATCATGCAACCTTCATCCCTGCAGCCTGTGGCGATTCCAGGCCAGCCCGCTCTGGCAGTCCATCAAGAACACCGTGATCCTGACGTGGAACTCCCCCCAACCATAGCAACGCATCATGGGCGCAGTGAACATGCCATGGAAATACCACGATCCCACTATGAGCGGCGTGTGGAGCCTGAGGCGTCAGCCATGCCTACTGACAGAGATGTCAATGCCGAGGGTTGTGCCATCATGCGGCCGCATGATGCAGACGCGAGACCGGGTATGTATGGCCGCCCAAGAGGTCCAATGATGCCGCGGTTTGCACCAGGCTTCGCCTGCTACCCGCCGTTGGATTATTACCATGATCCTCGCATGGCTCATGCCCCCCAGGCCCCTCATGCCCCCCAGGCCCCCCAGGCCCCTCATGGTCCTCAGCCCCCTCATGCTCCTCAGCATCAGTATCGCAGTGGTGGGTACCACGATGCTCCCTACCACGACAATCAAGATGGATACGAGGGATACGTCGAGAGCTACTGGCACCCTCCCAGCCATGCTTATTTCGGTTCGGGAGGGAGATACGAGCATGGCTATGGGCGGGAGTATCCTAATGAGTATTCCAAGGACCAGGAGGATGGACGGGCTCCTTAGACTCGCACTCGCAGTCCTCGTTTGCCCTTGGCCATGCACATATTGAGTCCTGCGTTGTCATGTAACTACATATCGAGTTTGCGCATCTAACGTTTCTTGCTGTTCTTGCCATTGACGTATTCATCGTGTTCTACTGTAGTCAATACATCTTGTTGTGTCTGAATCAGGCCTTTTTTCGTGAGTGAGGAACAAAATATATTCAAATTGTGCTATGGACGCATTGAGAGAGAAAAAACATAACCCCCAGAGCTTACAAAGATATCCGCCATCAGTCGCCACGTCGCAGGAAACATACGGAGATGGTGACATTGTGGCCCTCATCACACTCGCCGACGTCATGGGCAACATACGGAGATGGTGGCATCGTGATCTTCATCAGACAGCAACACCATCTGGAGAGGGTGCTGTGGTGAGGCTCAAGAGAACATCCTGGAGACATTACCTCTGCTACGACGGCATACCTGTATCCTCTCACAAGAGATCCTCCCAGCCCTGCGAAAGTAGGGGGAGACCTCTGGGAGGAGGGGGTCTCTCAGACCATATATCCCCTACATAAGAATGGGGTCTGACGTACCGTGGGAACATCGTCAAAGTGGTGCCAAGGGTGAAGCGCTCTCAATTATTTTGAAGGTAAAAATTTACTTTGGACCATTTTGGTCCCGACGTCAACAGGTACTCCCTGTTCCTTCCGTCCCCGGCACACTTCTTGCGCTCGTACCCTCTACTCCTCCTCCCGTTCCTCTCCGGCTTCGGTATCTTTGGACTCAGCGGAATCGGATGTCAATACTCCCCCTCGAGCGCAAGCCAGGCTCATTCGCGTGCGTAGCTTCTGAAGGCGTGGACGAGGGAGTGCCTTGGTGAAGGCGTCGGCTATGTTGTCCTCGCTGGGGCAATAGTGGAGCTTGAAGATGCCGTCCTTGACATGGGATCGGATGAAGTGGTAACGGAGGTCAATGTGCTTAGTGCGGGACTGAAACTTCCCATTTGTTGCGAGGGCTATGGCTGCCTGATTGTCGCAGAAGATGGGAATCGGTTGGGGGGCAGGGTCGTAGAGTTCGCCAATCAGCAACTGAAGGTAAAGTAGCTCACGTACCACACTCGTCAGGGCAATATACTCAGCCTCTGCAGTGGATAGGGCTATCAGTGGTTGCTTGCGGGCGCTCCAGGCGACGGGACCACCATTCAGGAGGACAATATACCCGCTCATGGAGTGCCTGTGGGGCTGGGACGCCCAATCGGCATCAACGTATGCCTCGAGCCCTCCGTCTGTTGAGCCTAGGGTGAGTTCATACTCACTTGTGCCTTTTAGGTAGCGCAGTGTCCGCTTACACGCCTCCCAGTGTGCTCTCCCCGGGTTCCGCATAAACTGGGACAGCGTTGCAACTGCAAACACTATGTCCGGGCGGGTGCTGGTTGCTGCGTACATCAGCGACCCAATGGCCCGCTGATATGGTACGTCTCGCATAGCGTCCAGCTCCGTAGTGGTTCCCGGTCCCTGCTCAACTGACAAGGTAAGTCCGGTCTCCATTGGCGTTTGGGCACTTTTGGCATCATTCAGGTAGAACCGTTCTATGACAGTGTCGACGTAGGCCTTCTGGGATAGGGTTAAGGTACGTCCTGCTCGGTCTCTCGTTACCTTCAGCCCCAGTAACCAATTCAGCTCCCCCAGGTCCGAGATCTCGAAGAATCACTTAAGGTCCTCCTTGAAGCGGTGTATGTGGGAGATATGGTTAGCGGTGACGGCCATGTCGTCGACGGAGACAGTGATGACAATATGCTCGTTTGGAGCGCGTTTGTAGTAAACGGCCTGGTCCACTTTCAACCTGGTAAACCCTAGATCCTTGAAAACTCCTGCCAACTCTTCCGCCCACTCGAACCCTGCCTGTTTCAACCCTGGCAGGCTCCTCCTCAACCTCAAAACTTTTCCATTCTGGCCCTCCTTCAGGTATCCCAGCGGCGCGCACATGTAGATTTCCTCCTGGACGGTAGCATAAAGGTACGCACTTTTTATATCGACTTGATGGATTTCCCAGTCGTTCTGAGCCACCATTGTCAGAGCCGTTCGAATCGTGATCATATTGGCGGTGGGTGCGAAGGTGTCGAAATAGTCGACGCCGTACTGTTGCCGTTGTCCGTTTGCCACGAGGCGCGCTCAAAGCTTGAGCTTCTCTCCGTCCGGTCTGTGTTTGGTTGCCAGCATGAAGTGGCACGGTATGACGTTGGCACCTCTAGGTAAGTCAGTTACTTCCCACGTGCCTAGCTTCTCTAACTGGCTGATCTCGTAGTCAACTGCCTCTTGCCACTCTGCTCCATCTGGCCCATTCAGCGCCTGCTGTAATGTGGGCTCTGGCTCCGCGGTTGCCAAGGCTAGCTCTAGGTGAGCCTTTTCGTTGAGTAGGTCTACTTCTGACGCTTCTTCTAACAGCTTCTTCATTGCCAATGAGGCGGTCTCCTTCGATGTCTGGCCCTTTTGGAGCTTGGCGTAGTAGCCAGGCGGTTCCCTGGTGCGGGTGGATCTCGTGGTCGAAGGTGGTGGGTAGATGGACTGGGTGGATGGTGAGTCGTGCTGCCCGGGTGTAGCAGTAGCAGTAGCAGTAGCAGTCGTGGTCGCAGGTGGCTGCCTGGGTGTAGCAGTAGCAGTAGCAGTCGCAGTCGTGGTCGCAGGTGCGGACTCCCCCTCGTCCAGGACATCTTCAGCAACCACCACTCCTAAGGGCGCAAAGGTGAGGTTTCTCTCTATGGAAACTCGCCTTTTAGAGGGCCAGTACACTCTGTAACCCTTGCTTTCAGCGTCCACCCCTACGAAAACCGCCTCCTCCGCCTTCGCATCCAGCTTCCCCACTTCCAACAGGTGGACATAGACGGTAGCCTGGGCTTGCGCTGATGCACAAGCTCATAGGGCGTAATTCCAGGGGTCGCCCTCGACGGTAAGCGATTTTTCAGCCAGGTGGCATAGTTGACGGCCTCAGCCCACAGAAATTTTGGCAAGTCTTTTGCCAGGAGCATCGCACAGCGCATGTTCAACGATCGTGTGGTTCAGGCACTCAGCCACGCCGTTCTGCTGAGGTGAGTGGTGAACCGTCAGTTGTCGCTCGATCCCATGCTGACGCAGGTATTCATCGAACTCTGCGCTCAGGTACTCTCCTCCTCGGTCCGAACGGACTTTCTGCAGCTTGGTGCCCGGCCTCTGGTGTTCCAACCATGCCTCAAACTCCTTGAAGGCGGTAAGTGCCTCACTTTTCAGTTTCAGGAACCGCATGCGGGTCTGTCTGCTGTAGTCATCGGTGAAGCTGATGTAATACAGCGACCCGTTGATGCTGGCCATCTGCGCTGGGCCCCACAAGTCTGTGTGGACAAGTTCGCTGTAGGTGAGTGCTCACCTCGTCGCCTCGTCTGGGAACGGCTTCCTCGCTGACTTGGCCTTAACACAGATGTCGCAGAATTCCGGCTTTGAGGTGGAGTCTAGCTCGACACCTGTCACCAATCCCTTCCGTACAGCCTCTGCTACTGCCGTCTGGGAGGTATGGCCCAACACCTTGTGGAGCTCCGACACGGTGAGTTTTCCATGGGCTAGATTCACATGATGCTGACGCCGATGTTGTGTGGCCACGCTGTACAGGCCCTCGACCTGAGGAATTTCGGCAATGGTACGACACTCGGGGCCCTTTGAGAGGACTTTGCACATTCAGCCCTCGAACAGCACGGCTATCCCGGCCTCTGCAATTCGGTTGGTGGAAATGAGCGTGAAGGCCATTTTCGGTGCGTACAGTGCATTTTTGAGTGTGACTTTTGTACGATGCTCACCAAGGGGTAGCTCTAGGTCCACATCTCCTCGTCCTACGGCACTCAAACTAGAGCCATCAGCAGTGCGGATCTCTTGGGGTGGTATGGTGGTGAAATTGGTGAATTTTGCCCAGTCTGGGCAGAAATGAGAGGTGGCGCCAGAATCAATGATCGCGCCCCGGCGCTCGGCAGGTACCTTCAGGTCCTTGGCAATGCTTGCCAAGTCGAACAAGACAAATGTGTACTGGTCTTGGGACTCGGATCCTGCATTTGAAGCTGAGTTTGCCGTCTCCCTCCTCCCCTTTTCACCTTTCTTTTTCTGCTGATTCGGGCCTTGGCCCTCTTTTCCACCTCCAGGTCGCCAACAATCGGATTTGTAGTGGCCCTTTCTCTCACAATTGTAGCAAGTGATATCGGGGTTCGACTTGCTCACAGAGGACAAGGTTTCAGAATGTCTCTTGCCCTTCCCCTCCTTCGCAGCCAGTGCGGTCCCTGAGCTGCCCTTTTTACTTGGGCGTCGTTCAGTGAGTTGACGATGCTCGTATTCTTCACTAATGATATTGATGAGCTCGTAGGACGACAAAGGGACCTTGGTGATTTTGGCGGCTGCATTAATGGACGATAGAAGAGGGCGGTATGATTCTGGGAGTGAGCCAAGGATGATCGCGTGGAAGTCAGTGTCTTGTATCGCTGCACCCATGCCCGCTAATAACTCTCTTAAGCGCAGCATTTCTGAGAAGTGCGCTTTGACATCTCCCCCCTCCTCGCACCTGGTGTCCTGCAAACGGCGTCGCAGGTCTATTTGGACGAGCTCGGTCTTACCCTCGTGGATCTGGCATATCTCTGTCCAGACCTCTGAGGCAGCTACGGACTTCTGTACGCACAGGAGTAGACGATCAGTAATAGTACTGAAAATTTGCTGCTTGACCAGTGAGTTCTTTTGGTCGTATTCGTCCATGAGTCTATCGTGCTCATTGATCTCCTTCTCAGTAGGTGTCGAACCATCGGACTTCTGTGGAAGTCCCGTTTTCTTGTCTATGACGAACGGTAATGGTTCGGCTGCACAACCGTCTAGATATCGCATCAAACCTCGGGCACTGATTGCCGTCAATGTTCTTTCCTTATAGGTAATCCAGTTCGTGCTGTCTTCGGCAAGCTTTGGGACATTGAACTGTTACAAGAACATCTAGACACTTGGGCCCCTACCATTTTTCTCCTAATCCTCCTCGTATCAGCCCTCGCGTCATACCCTTACCCCGACCTTACCCTTGTTATCCTCGTCATCCTCGCATTCCCTTTCGCCCTCTACCTGTCGCTCCAGCAGAGCCAGTACATCTGGCCGGACCCTTTTGCTGACAAAGCATACCCATGCTCCGCTCCACCACCTGACTGATCCTGGGGACAGTCCCCTTACCCTTACCATCCGGACGGTAACCTATGATACAATGCACGACGCATCCACTTTGCCCTTTTCCCTTTCTTGATCTCTGACTCGGTGCGCAGTCGCACATGCAACTTATACTTAGATCCGCAGCTGCACGATTGTGTCCCTGCGCGTTTCACTTCTTATTTTGATCGTTGACTCACTTTCTTATCTAGCACGTTCTGCCTTGACCAAATGTGCCTTCCTATTATGGTTATACCCTTTACCGATTGCCTCTCCCGGTAGTACGAGTTATCACCCACTAATACGTCTCCTGTCCTCTATATAAACTCGCTACCATGTACTGTATTCCCTAACTTGAATCTACTTGGTTCTTGACCTCCTACTCTCACCAGAGTGATCCTTTCTGCCTCGCCAGCAGTCTATATTCTATCTTCTTATCTGCTCCTCGCGGATAAGCCTATAGTCTCGACCTTTACTCATCGACTTCGTCGACGAGCAAAGCCCCTGTTAACTAGTCGGACTTCTGTCCTTCTAATTAACGACGATCCTTACAATTAACCTTCGGGTGTCGTAAGCCTAGGCCGATATAGCTCATCGTCTCGCAACCGCTTGATGTAAGCTACCCGATTTGGACATAGGCGTCAAATCTTACTTGCCGAAGCCTCGCCAAGTAAGACCCCTAACCTTGGGCTAGCCCAAGGACGTCCTCGACCGTTGACGACACACGCTCTGTTTGAGCGTCGCCAACAGATACCATCCAAGTCGTAACATGAACAAGGCGGACCTGCTGGCAGGGAGCGTAGTATTGGCGGTCATGGCAGGGCTCATAACCTCTAGAGATTAGAGGTAGAGCGGGATAGAAAGGATCTAACAGGTAAGAGCAAGTCTCAGTCTCTAGAAAGAACTCATATTGACGAAGCGTGTACCTAACAGGTAAGAGCAACTACGCTAAGTCAGTTAAGTGTAACAATAACGGTAAAGGTGTAGACTCACGTCTCAGTCTCTAGAAAGAACTGAGACGCTCGCAACGGTTGGGCGCTAGTATTTATATGGTAAGCGCTCTCGATTATTTTGAAGGTAAAAATTTACTTTGGACCATTTCGGTCCCGACGTCAACAGGTACTCCCTGTTCCTTCCGTCCCCGGCACACTTCTTGCGCTCGTACCCTCTACTCCTCCTCCCGTTCCTCTCCGGCTTCGGTATCTTCGGGCTCAGCGGAATCAGATGTCAATAATTCCTTGCGCCTCGCCATCGTGACTGGCTGCCCAGGATTTTTGCAGCCAGCCGATGCTGCATTTATCTGGGATGGCGTTTTCGACTGGAAGGACGACCCACGTACTACAGAAGACTTCAATTGGCTCGTGGACTTCCTGGTACACTTTCGGAAGTCCACAATGAGGAACTTTGATGCTATGGGAGATGCGCTACTCGCACTGAGCGCCATCCGGGGTCTGGGAAGTGTCACCAGACGAGGCAATTACCTTGACTCCATCATCTTCGCTATGGAAGCGGATAAACCATCCCGGCTTCGTCACGCAGCCCTTCGAGCTGTATTCGATGCCCGTTTTGAACTAGTCGATATAGTTGATCAGGGGAAGGAAGAATTTAGGGACAAGTTATTAAAGGAACTCGCGCCAGCTCTGTTCACTGCAGCTAAACCCATCGCGCCACAGCTACCTGACTCTGATGATCCGGACGTTGTCTTTAATCCGAGACGTGACGACTTCTATTTACGACTCATTCTCACTCTAACAAAGCAAAGGGATTGGCGCGCTCATTTAGTGAGAGCCGGTCACATAGAGCGATGCACATCTCTCCTAGGCCACGTTATCGAGAACTCGACGTCATCTGTCACATCTCATTCTTACTATCTTGCAGGCATATTGATACAGATGGCTACCCCGGTTGGCACTGCTCTGGACACTCAACCTACGAACAAGGAAGAACCCTGTCCCACTACAAACTCTGCAGCGACACTTCCTGCAGTCCCAGAGACTCCTACTCTCCTGGGCATTCCAGATGACATATCTGAGAAGGAATGGTGGGATCTGCTCAAAGGAGCATGGACGGCGATGCGTTACAATGACCTCCACCTCGAGCCAGAAGCAGTTGAGGTACTGCCTGGCATTGTCACGTACACTCTTGATCTCCTACAAACACCCACTGCTCGATATGACACGCGGGGTCTTGCTCGAGTGGTGGATCGGATATGTGAGGCGCTCGATGATGATGATGACGCAAAGTTGGAAGTGAAACGCCTACAGGATGCGCTGTACAACAAGGTAGCATAGTTTATTTCATCAGTCAAAAGTTAGATGATGTACAGTCTCTCTTATCCAATACGTAGAAGGTCTATTCTTTGTTCTAATCATATCACTTAGTTTGGGTTACTCCTCAGGCTTTGAAATCCAAGTCAGCTTCAAGTTTCACGCTCACCTGTGGAAAAAGTTGTACACTATGATAAGTATAGATGTTTCGTCACATTCTTCAACTTATATTCGGTACAATAATATCAGCCTTGAATTCTCAGATTCGAAATGTAATTCAACTAGGCGCCGTCACTTGGCAATGTTGGCATTGACCGGGACCATTGGGCGCCAGCTTGGCGCCGAGTCGACATAAGTCGACATGCTTAGTAATAATTGGTCCGCAGACCCATTGACAATGATTGAGATGGTACATGCTTGCAAGCAAGTTAACTATTCGCTGTCATACTGAAACTTGAAATCAGTCAGTCTTCTTCGCACTGCGCACAAGCCCGATGATGCTAACCCTCACCTTGGTATCTTTCCGAGCGCCTTAGGTGAGGCCTATCAGTATCACACGCTAAGAACTCAGGTACAGTCACGGTCGTACATTATTAGGTTCGTTATCATTATAGCGCTCACTAGTCTCACCTAACCACAACTTTGGGACGAAGGAAGACACTTAATCCTTCCAATAAAGGTCTGCTTCTGATGGCAGTGAGCGCTTCCTGTCAGGTGAATTAGTCTCCCGCGTGCCGAATGCCACGGATGTGTTCAATAGCGGCAAAGAAGGCAAGTAACTATCATGTCAAATGCTTAACCTGTCACTGCGGGCTATGGAATCTACCGCTCTTGGCGCTCGTCCTGAGTTGGCACACTGGCAGGCCCTACTGTAGGCTCTACCCATATATATGTGCTAGCCGCTTGTGCAATCTGCTTCGGTGAGTCGTGACGGTCTCTGCATCATATCACTCACGACCCATCAAATTTCCAGTATTACTCTGCTTGGCCGGTAAAGCGACAAAGGACATAGTCTCCAGTAATAATGGTCGATAACAGGAATCATTCGTGAGCAAGGTTTTCTTTGACCCAAAGCCGTCCTCTAACTGACTCGAGTGGTTCACCTAGTAACCGGAAGGTTCCGCGACCTCGCGCTTTATCCACACCACAGATATCTCAAGAATCTCAACGAAAAAGTGTATTATCCGAAGAATATCAACAATCAAGCACATCACGCGACGAGTACATCATGCGATTAACATGCATCATCAATAGCTAATTAATTTCTAACTTAGAACGCCGGAGCTTCTGCGGCAGATCCTCGAGACGCTGCAGTACTCAAATATCGCAGAAAAAGGAGACAAGGACGTACGGAGCAGGTTCTGGGCGACTTACGACCAAGTTGCCAAAGAGCACGATGGAGAGTTCTTAGAGCGGAACAACAGCGATATGGATATCGTGCTCATTTTCGTAAGCTGTCGAATCCTTCGGTGCGTTCATATGACTGAGAGAATATCATAGTCTGGTCTCTTTTCCGCTGTCAATACGGCCTTTATCATTGCCATGCAATCCAACTCCACGACCACTGTGCTCGTTCAAAACACCTCCCAAAATAATACCATCTCATCCTCCATTGCGTCAGATACGAAGTCACCCAACGGTACTTGGTTTGAGGGTTTGGCATACGTCGCACTGTCGTTCAGTCTTCTGGCTGCCTTCGGCGCTGTACTCGGCAAACAGTGGCTCAGCCATTATAAATCGAACAATATCCATGGCTCCCTTGAGGATCGCGGAAAGCACAGACAACGAAAGTTAGATGGGATGGAAGCATGGTATTTTGATGCTGTGCTGCAATCGTTTCCAGTCTTACTGCAAATCTCGCTCCTTTTATTTGGGATTGCTATCTCAGCCTTCGTATGGTCTCAGCAAGGCAAACTAGCCATCGCTGTCATAGTGTCGATGGCGTTGGGCATGTTTTTTTATTGGTTCATCATCGTTGCTTCCTTAAAATCTCGACAGTGTCCTTTCCAAACTCCTGTCTCAACGGTCATCCGCGTACTCTACGAGCGCGTATCCACGTACGTCAAGGACTGGCGTGGTGAGCTATCATCATCACCTGACCCTAGAGATGAGATACTCTCTGAGGTACCGTCGATGAAGTGGATCTTCGAATCGTCCACGGATCCGGAGGTAATCAGTTCGGTCGCTTGGATGGTGCCTTCTGTCAAATGGACCCCTGAACTGCAACCCGAACTGCACATGCGAACTATATGCTTGCGCTTGTTGAGCACATTCAAAGCGTGCTTTGCTGCTGGTGTCCGGACCTTCTCTGCACGCCGAAGAGCCATCGCATGCGGAAGAGCCTTGCATCATGTAGTATGCGATAAAAATATACAGAACTATGTTCCCTCTGATGTCACTTACTTTGATGGGGGGCCGTTGGAGATGTGGTCTCATTGGCAAGGCCTCAGTCTCCCCTTGGGACTTGAGGACTGCAAAGAATTTTATGACCAGTACGCCACGACTCTAGATGAAGATCGTGAAGATGAAGCACGCAATGCCTTGCGCCTTGCTATTGTGACTGGCTGCCCAGGATTTTTGCAGCCAGACGATACTGCATTGATCTGGGATGGCGTTTTCGACTGGAAGGACGACCGGCGTAGTACAGAAGACTTTGATTGGCTCGTGGACTTCCTGGTACACTTCCGGACGTCCACAAAGAGGGACTTCGATGCCATGGGAGATGCACTGCTCGCACTGAGTGCCATGCGGGGTCTGGGAAGTGTCACCAGACGAGACAATTACCTTGACTCCATCATCTTCGCTATGGAAGCGGATAAACCATCTCGGCTTCGTCACGCAGCCCTTCGAGCTGTATTCGATGCCCGTTTTGAACTAGTCGATATAGTTGATCAGGGGAAGGGAGAATTTCGGGACAAGTTATTAAAGGAACTCGCGCCAGCTCTGTTCGTCACAACCAAACCTATCGCGCCACAGCTACCTGGCTCTGATGATCCGGACGTTGTCTTTAATCCGAGACGTGACGACTTCTATCTACGACTCATTCTCACTCTGGCAAAGCAAGGGGATTGGCGCTCTCATTTAGTGAGAGCCGGTCACATAGAGCGATGCACGTCTCTCCTAGGCCATGTTATCGAGAACTCGACGGCATCTGTCACATCTCATTCTTACTATCTTGCAGGCATATTGATACAGATGGTTACCCCGGTTGGCACTGCTCTGGACTCCAAACCTACGAACAAGGAAGGATCCCGTCTCACTACAAACCTTGCAGCCACACTTCGTACAACCCCAGAGACCCCTACCCTACCGGGTTTACTAGATAACATCTCTGAGAAGGAATGGTGGGATCTGCTTAAAGGAGCATGGACGGCGATGCGTTATAATGACCTCCACCTCGAGCCAGAAGCAGTTGAGGTACTGCCTGGCATTGTCACGTACACTCTTAGTCTTCTACAAACACCCACTGCTCTATATGACACGCGGGGTCTCGCTCGAGTGGTGGATCGGATATACGAGGCGCTCGATGATGGTGAAGCGAAGTTGGAAGTGAAACGCTTACGGGATGCGCTGTAAGATACCATAGTTCAGTTAGAGTCAGACGATGTACAGTATCACTTAGTTTCTCCTATGCAAACCAAACAGAAGAGATTTTGTTGTAATCATATCACTTGTTATGAACGAGTACTTAGTTCTAGCCTTGGATTCCGCTACGGCAGTAGTGATATGCATCGGTCTATAATGGGACCAACCGTAGCGGGCTCTGCCGCGAGCGGCCTTTCGCGTTTTAATGACAAATAGTCACATGCTTGGCGTCGTGCTTCTTGATCCACAGCTCAGCGCTCAGCACTCAAGTACTCAAGTACTCATGTACTCATGATTGAGATGGCACATAACCTTGCTGCTTGCAAGCAATCACTGTTGAAACTAGTCAGTCTTCTTCGCACTGCACACAAGCCCGATGCTAATCCCGACCTTGGTATCTTCCTAGCGCCTTAGGTGAGTATCACGCGCTAAGAACTTAGGTACAGTCGTACATTATTAGGTTCGTTATCATTATAGCGCTCACTAGTCTCATCTAACCACAACTTTGGGGACGAAGGATGTCATTTAATCCTCCCAATAAAGGTCTGTTTCTGATGGCAATGAGCGCTCCCTGTCAAGTTAATTGGTCTTCCGTGTGCCGAATGCCACGGGGTGATGAGGATTGTGTTCAATCGCGGCGAAGAAGACAAGTAATTATCATGTCAAATGCTTGGCCTGTCATTGCGGCCTATGAAATCTACCGCTCCTAGCGCTCGCCGTGGGTTAGCACAGACTACAGTAAGCTCTACACATATAAATATACGTGCTGTCTGCTTTTGCAATTTGCTTTAGTGACGGTCTCTGCATCATATCACTCGCGACCCGTCAGATTTCCAGTCACGGTAGTACTCTACTTGGCCGTTAAAGCGACAGAGGACATAATTCTTCAGTACTGATGGCTGATAATAAGAATCATTTGTTAGTGAGGTTTTTTGACTCAAAGGCGTCCTCTAATTGACCGAGTGGTTCATCTACTAGTAAGCGGAAGCTTCCGCGACCTCCCGCTTTATCCACACCACAGTTATCTCAAGAATCTCAAAGACAAAGTGTACTATCTGAAGAATATCAACAACCAAGCATCTCACCCCAACGCGACAAGTACATCATGTGATTAACGTGGATAATCAATGGCTAATCAATTTTCAAAATAGAATGCCAGAGCTTCTGCAGCAGATCCTCGAGACGCTACAGGACTCAAGTATCGCGGAAAAAGGAGACAAGGACGAACGGAGCAGGTTCTGGGCGACTTACGACCAAGTTGTCAAAGAGCACGATGGAGAATTCTTAGAGCGGAACAACAGCGATATGGATATCGTGCTCATTTTCGTAAGCTGTCGAATTCTTCGGTGCGTTCATATGACTGAGAGAATATCATAGTCTGGTCTCTTCTCTGCTGTCAATACAGCCTTTATTATTGCCATGCAATCCAACCCCACTACCACTGTGCTCGTTCAAAACACCTCCCAAAATACTACCGTCTCATCTTCCACCGCGTCAGATCCGAAGTCACCCAACGGTACTTGGTTTGAGGGTTTGGCATATGTTGCATTATCGTTCAGTCTTCTGGCTGCCTTCGGGGCTGTACTCGGCAAACAGTGGCTCAGCCATTATAAATCAACCAAGACTCATGGTTCCCTTGAGGATCGCGGAAAGCACAGACAACGAAAGTTAGATGGGCTGGAGGCATGGCATTTTGATTCCGTACTGCAATCGTTTCCCGTTTTACTGCAAATCTCGCTCCTGTTATTTGCGATTGCTATCTCGGCCTTCGTATGGTCTCAGCAAGGCAAATTAGCCATCGCTGTCATAGTGTCGATGGCGTTCGGCATGATTTTTTACTGCTTCATCATCATCGCTTCCTTAAAATATCAGCAGTGTCCTTTTCAAACTCCTATGTCAAAAATCATCCGCGTACTCTGCCAGCGCGTATACATGTACGTCAAGACCTGGCGTGGAGAGGCGTCGCCTGACGCTGGAGAGGCCAAGGAGACGCTTTCTGAGGTACCGTCGATGAAGTGGATATTTAAATCATCCACGGATCCGGAAGTAATCAGTTCGGTCGCTCGGATGGTGCCTTCTGTCCAATGGACCTCCGAACTGCAACCCGAACTGCGACCTGAACTGCACATCCCAAATATATGCTTGCGCTTGTCGAGCACATTCAAAACGTGCTTTAATGCTGGTGCCTGGAGCACTTCGACACGCCGAAGAGCCCTCGCGTGCGGGAGAGCCTTGCATCACCTATTCTACGAGGCAAATATACAGAAATATATTACCCCCAATGTCAAGCACTTTGATGGGGCGTCGTCGGAGATGTGGTCCTACTGGCAAGATCTCAATCTTCCCTGGGGACTTAAGAAGTGCAAAGCATCATTTGACCAGTACGCCACGACTCCACATCAATATCATGAAGACGAAGCACGTAATGCCTTGCGCCTCGCTATCGTGACTGGCTGCCCAGGGTTTTTACACCCAGACGATCCTGCATTGATCTGGGATGGAGTTTTCGACTGGGAGGATGACTCGCGTACTGCAGAAGACTATGATTGGCTTGTGGACTTCCTGGTATACTTCCAGAAGTTCACAACGAGGAACTTCGATGCCATGGGAGATGCGTTTCTCGCATTGAGTGCCATGCAGGGTCTGGGAAGTGTCAGCAGACGGGACAAATACCTTGACGTCATCATCTTCGCCATGGAAGCGGATAAACCATCCCGGCTTCGTCACGCAGCCCTTCGAGCTGTATTCGATGCACGGCTTGAACTAGTCAATATAGTCGACCAGGAGAAGGGAGAATTTCGGGAAAGGTTGTTAAAGGAACTCACGCCAGCTCTATTCATCACAACCAAACCTATCGCGCCACAGCTACCTGGCTCTAATGATCCGGATGCTGTCTTTAATCCGAGACGTGACGACTTCTATCTACGACTCATTCTCACTCTGGAAAAGCAAAGGGATTGGCGCGCTCGTTTAGTGCAAGTCGGTCACATAGAGCGATGCGCATCTCTGCTAAGCCACGTCATCGAGGACTCGATGTCATATGACATATCTGGCGCATCTCATGCTTACTATCTTGCAGGTATATTGATACAGATGTTGGGGCAGGCTAATCCGGCTGGCACTGCTCTGAACTCTGAATTTACGAACAAGGAAGGATCCCGTCTCACTACAAGCCTTGCAGCCACACTTCCTGCAGCCCCAGAGACTCCTACTCCACCGGACTTGCTAGATAAGATATCTGAGAAGGAATGGTGGGATCTGATGAAAGGAGCATGGAGGGCGATGCGTTACAATAACCTTCACCTTGTGCCAGAAGCAGTTGAGGTACTGCCTGGCATCGTCACGTACACCATCGGTCTCCTGCAAACACCCAGTGCTCTATATGACACGCGGAGTCTCGTTCGAGTGGTGGATCGGATATACGAGGTGCTCGATAATGGTGAAGTGAAGTCGGAAGTGAAACGCCTACGGGATGCGCTGTAACATAAGGTAGCGTTCATTACACGCAAGCTTGGTATCAATCAGGTTCAGACGATGTACAGTATCACTTAGTTTCTCCTATGCAAACCAAACAGAAGATATATTCTTTGTTGTAATTATATCACTTGTTTTGAACGAGTAGTTCGTGGGCGTTGGTCATTCATTTTGAAATCTAGATTGCCCTCGTGCACGGAAAAAGTTGTGCATCGTAAGTATTAGATATTCGTCCAACATGAAGACATTTAATTGCGTGATAGGTTATGATTTTGACCAATTGATGATACTCGACCTTCATGGAAGATCAAAAGGCTCCAGTTGCCTCAATATCCATGTTCGGTAGACAGGATATCCCAACTAAGGACAGCCTCTGTCGTGAGCATTGTTATGGGGAAAACGATAGTGTGGTCCCTGTGTTCACCCATTCAGATGTAGGTGTGTTCTAAAACAATTGATGTATGACATTCCTCAACGAGCACTGCGTTCTGTCGGTATCATTCAAAATTGGTTGCAGGCAGTTGTCCACCATTAGCAACAAGTCTTGTAGCGGTGTCTGGATCCTCGGTGCGGAGGTATCTTACATACTCGAGTATTACATATTACACGGACAGGAACGACAGTGACGACCTAATGAATGGAAGATAATCGAGTATCGATGAGAATATGATGCGCAAATCTATGGATGATGAGTGTTGTTTTTGTTTATTTGATAAAAAATTGTGGATAAAGGAGGCGAAAAACGTATTGATATATTAGAATGATTGGCTTGAAGAAAGGAAGATAAAATGAAAATGTACGTGTACGGAGTGACAAAGAAATCAAACCGTGCCTAACTCTAGAAATGTCAGTACAGCTGATGCAATCACTGAGCCCAATGGTTCCATTCAGGACCGCTTTGCATGTCTCGTTGGGAGCTAGTGAAGTGATCAGGTCCCGGAGTGAGATGCACGTTCATTGGTGCATTTGATGCAAATGATCCGCGAGGGTAACGTCCAGGGTGACCGCGACCTCCATTCTTGAAATTGGACTGATGGTCTCTGCGGTGTTGGCGACGAGGAGGTACATTGATATTGCGTTGCTCAAACATTGGCTGCATGTGTGTACCGCCAGAACCCATAGGAACATTTGATGGAGCTTGCATATGCTGGTTGATGCCAAATGGGGCATGATTCGGCATCCAGCCGTTTGGACTCATTATCGGAAACGGTCCTGGATTCGGGTGCTGAATACCTGGCGGCACTGACATGCCAGGTCCGAACGCAGGCGTAGGATAAGGCTTCCAATTATTAGGAGGTTGATTTGGGACTGAAGCAAGGGCAGCCTCTGTGGAGGTCGAAGCTTGTTCGCCTTGAGCGCCGGACATGTATTGATTCAGAGCGTCTGGAGGGTAAACAGGAACCAGAATACCCTGATCTCCGTGAATGAACCCCGTAGGTATCAGCGGTGCTTGTGCTGCGACAGGGGTCTGTCCCTGGCCTTGCTCTCGCACGGGTGTTCTCGCAGGATATGGATATGGAATGAATGGCTTGAACAGTACGTCAGCACTGCAACATTGGAGCTTAAGATCTAGAAAACCTACAGCATACATGCCCGGGTGAACAATCGGAGCAGGTGTTGTTGAAGGTGTTCCACGAGCATCCGCGCCACTAGCTGGCTGAAACGATTGACTCATCGGTGGCGGAAGAGGAAATCCAGGGTATGCCCCCATATACTGCATGTGATATGGTGGGAAACCAGCTACCCATCCTTGAGGATGATAATACCCCATCGTGGGTACAGGATAAGCCATATGTTGAGGAGGGGCAGATGATGTCACCGATGTTTGTGAGGTGGAAGTAGCAATAGAAGCAGCCTGAGGCGAGACAGTGTCGTCTAGATTGACGGTCTTTACATCATCCGTAACTAGAGAGGAAAGTTGTCGAGGTTCAGAGGCAATGTCAAGCTTTTCATCTGACTGCCCGACGTCGAGGACTGAAGCTTTGGTGGCTATCTTGTGGCCGATGTTCAACTCTTGTAGCCTCTCCTCCAAGGCGGTCGCAGATGGTTGTTGAACATTAGGATCCACGCAAAAATCGTCGCTAGAGACAAGTGACGGTTCTGAACCATGTCGGACCATGCTCCCCTCAAGGTTTCGCCCGCGGTTACGATTGGATCTCCAGTTCGTGCGATGCGGAGGGTTCCAGTCGCGGAGTTGAACGCGGATTGGGCGTCCGTCAAGAATCCTGTTATGCTTATGGCAGACGGATTAGCGTGGAAATGGGAGTCGAAGTATTTGATCGTACCTCTTCACTGACAGCTCGAGCAGGAGAATCCTTGTTATTGAATGTGACAAAAGCAAATGCAGAACGCTTGTTAACTACAAAAAGTAATAGTTACAGAGTGAGGGTAACAAAAATCAAAGCCTACCTGGCCTGATAACTTTGACATTCTCTACGCCACCATACCTTGAGAACAAGTTACGGACGCGTTCTTCGTCCCAGGCGTTCGGGCCATACATCTCCAATCCTCCAACGAAGATGGTAGTAGGATCCAATGGACCTTCGCGCTTTGCATCCCATTGCAGGCCATTCTTCGTGACGAACTCAGGTAAAGATCCGGACTGAAAGTCGCTAAGGTAGTTGCCGGTGGTAGGAGTATGAGGTATCAATGACCCCGGCGTTTTCGGGGTCATGGGCGAAGTCCCAAACTCAGGAGTCGGAGGGATGCCGAGTTCAATGTCATAGGATTCTCCCTGGCTAATAACGTCTGAGATACCCGACATAGATGGTAAGTGCGTCACGATGCTAGAGTAAGTTGTGCTCAGTTGGAATTTACTACAAGAAGAAACAACAACTAGCCTCTGATTTTCGTCAGCAGCCTCCATTCGGTCGCTCCAATACTTTTTCGTTTCTCGTTCAGAGACGGGCGGAAAGTGCTTCTTGTCCACACCTGATGGCTTGTGGCTCAATGATAGAGCTCGAGGACGTTTTGGTGCCGTGCCTGTCACATCCAACGCGCTGTTCTGTGAGGACCAGGTCATATCGCACAGTGCAGTAGATGCTCGATTCGAATTACGCGAGATGTTGCCAAGGCTAGCTGACGATGAAATCGGTTGTGTGCCAGGATGACAGGGAACGAGCGAATCTATGGATGAAAACCGGTTTGGAAATGCGAAATGCGACGGAGTCACAGGCGTGGAGTTGACTGCTTGACCTTGCCAATGATGTTGATTAATTTGGACAGGCTGGGCGCCATGGTATGGCATCGGCTGGCGTGGGTGAGCTGGATGGTGAGCCCAAGTCACAGTCAAGTGAGGGACTCGGCGTAGAGTCTAGCAGTTGCGTCAGTATGAGCAGTCAAGTAGCTCTGTCAATTCACCATCAGAGCACCAACGCAGTCATCACGGTGGCACCATTTTATTTCCCAGCAACCTGTCTCCATTTCTGCAGAGCGGTGTGCATTATGCGGAGAAGGATACTCTTGCTGAACACCTGATTCGAATTCGTGAGGGAGAAAATGTTCGATAGCCCCGAAGATGGTGGATATCTTTCTTAAAGTCTAGGGCAAGGTTAGAACCCACAGTTCCGGTGATAGGCTAGGTTACGAGTACTTCGGCGTTATAAAGCAGCGGGTTAAAATACGCCCCGGATTCATCTGCCTCTCGATCGCCGAGAGGCAGAAGGCCTTCATTCTCCGCTGCGGCACGCGCATCCGAGTTGTACAGGAGTGACAGGTGCCTGGCAAATTTACTTCCGTCAGAGAACACGAAGAAAACTGAAGAAAAAATACCGGGAGCCCAGGACCCTAGATATTTTCATCGCCCAAGGCAAGTTAATGTCGACAGGCTGACCATCCTGAAGGTCGCCAAAGCTTGATTTGGTGTCTGACGAAGGCACAAACTGACGTGGTGTACTGGAAACTGGATCAGAAACATGACTACTGGATATATGCGCGTGTTCAAGTGCATATATACACATGTGGGGATGCGCCTTCGCGAAAACTGACCGGTAGGATATGAGTAGGGTTCTCAAGGCTCGTGCGGGCTCGTAGCGTAAGTAACGCCCCATGAATTGTTTAGGGTCCGACGAATGCAAATTTGCGATTAGCATCGCCGCTGTCTCAGCGTCCTGGTGCAGCATCAGAAATATACTCGGAACATGTAATAACGAAGACAGACCTGACACTGGATGAATGCGCAAGTTCCGCCCTTTGAATCACGAACGACCTTGATGGTCTGTACCTCTGGGTGATCAGAAAGATGATCAGAAAGCATACGAGTTAACTCCAGATGATCGATATTAGTCGGTAGACTGGGGGGAAAGTCAATGAACGAGCTATCTTGTGTCTAAATAACGTACCTTCCGATGAAGATGCTAGCGTCTTGAACGATTCTGTCTGCAGACTTCTTAGAGTCGTCACATGCCTCGTTAATGGTCAAAGGGATGTCTTGAGTAGGACCTTCTGTTGGGGAGAGAGGAGCAGAGAGTAATGTGTCAAAACGAGTACCCCAAGATCGCGCCTGGGTGTGCTGGGGCATGTCTATAGAATGAACTAAGGAATAGTACTAGTTAGTGATGATGGTAAGGTGGAGAGAAGGTCCAAAACAGAGACGCAAACAACTGTGGCTCACATGCACACCTCTAGGATACCAACTTGTCAGAACAGGTTCAAACAGGAAAAACAAGTTCTTCTTTGTTATCCCTTCGCTGTAGAAACGGAAGATATTCAGATGGAACCAAGAGATTCTTTGTGATTGGCTCACATGAAATATTCCTGGTAAACGACGATCAAGGTGATTTATTCATTTGATCGATTGCGTGAGACACGAGTCTGAGCTCGGAGAAGGTACTCGCGACGCCTACTTGGGACGACGCAAACTCCAACTCAAGGGATGCGATCAGCGACCGGACAAAATCTGTCAAGTTCGAGCTCGTGGACAGCTTATAAGAAGTATACAACTGTATTAACTATTATAAGCCGCAGACGGATGCCGGACCGTCCAAGCTGCAGGAATCAATCAAGATAACCACACCAGAAGAAATAATGGTACAATACGAGCGAAGTGACCACTGACACTCAACCCGTTGCTCTCCTCGTCGTCACGACATTCATGAATAGCACGAACGATTGAACATCTCAAGTGCAAAAGGCAAAATGACATTCCACAAACTTTCGACGAACGAAGGTTTGGAAGAAAGAAGTCGATGATTATGTAATCATGTCCTGCTTTCATGCATTCGTCCAGAAATTTGTGTCCTTGATCTTGCATCACTCAGCATCGAACGGCCTGCTTCCTAAATCACCTTAGACACACTCCAGAATGTCAGATGATGGATATGGCGGCGGCGGAGGTGGTGGCGATGACTATGATTATGACGGTCCCAGGTATGTTTCCATTCCGAAGTTATCACAAGGAATTTATAACATATCATTTTAGCTTCACCGATGGTGCCTTCGTATGTACCTGGCGAATCATACTGTGATCAAACTTTTGACACCCCATGTTGTTTAGGATGAAGGCTATGATCTCCTCGCACAAGAACAAGAGGAACAGGTAGAAGGGGAGGAGGCAAATGGCGAAGTCTCGCACGTAAATGGAATCAATGGCGCAGACCATGACCAGGAAATGGTAAACGGAGAGGAGGGCGCACAACCTCAGCCAGCGCCATCAAATGTGGGCATTCAAGGCGAGAGACAGGCAAACAAAGTTAGAGTAACAACACCGTACTTGACCAAGTACGAACGAGCACGAATATTGGGCACGAGAGCGCTTCAGATCAGGTGAGAGGCCTTTGGCATTTTGCTCGCATTTCTTCTTATGCAAGCGTGTCGTCGCAAGCATGAATGCCCCAGTACTTGTTCCTTTGGATGGCGAAACAGATGCTCTGCAAATCGCAATTAAGGAGCTCTCCCAACGAAAAATTCCTCTTATCATCCGGCGCTATCTACCCGACGGAAGCTTTGAGGATTGGAGTGTCTCCGAGCTAATTAGCGATTGATACACCATCTTCTTGATTCCTCTTTCTTCAGTCATACCGGGCTCTGGCTTCGGTTGTTATCTTTTCCTGTTTTACTATTATTATCTACCTCAAAGACTTCAACTACCTTTGCAATATGCTTATACTACTGGAAGAATATCGACAACGCAAAGGTATATCTTACAATAACTCATGAATATTATGTAGGTCTCTTCGCGATCTCCACCCATACCTTCGCCCTTGGTTTAGCAATCTTTCGAGGCCGGGGTTTGCACTCCTTGGAGGCGACCGATGCACTTGCTCGGCGTACCTTTGCTTTCAGAGGTCGCTGGTCGCCCATCGGAAAGTCATCTCCTCCCGCATTCTTGGCTGCATTTGTCGCATCTGCAAACAATATACGCCTGTCGGACATATCCAACCTATCCATACCATCCGCGATTTTGGCAATGTCACGTCTCTTGCGCGGACTTGACTCCACGTCTGAGTAGTGTGATATAGACTGTCGTCGCTTGCTTGGCGACGACGGAACACTGATTGGTTTTTTTGATGGTGAAGGCGGTTGTGAGGAAAATGGATCCTCCAGTGGCACATTCTCGACGTTCATATTCCACTTTGGGGCAACTATCAAACTAAAATGAGCGATGCACTGAGAGAAGTCAAGTCCACTCATACCTTTTCCCTTCGTTTTGACAGCGGTCTCTTTGGCGACTTTGAACCCACTGGACTCATCAGTGTGATCAAGAGTCTGTTGTATCTCCCAATCTGATGGTCGCATCTTCTTCCAGTCTTCCAAGACTTTGTCGACCCATGCATCAGTCTCCCCTGCGACATGGCAATCGATGATGTCGGCCCACTCGCTACCAGGCGGTGTCTTGTTCACGAAAATAACTTTTCCCTGCCAACTCTTTTGCGCTCTAGGAGTACCATTAGGTGTGGTTCCAGTCCCAGTGGCGTGTACGACTTTTGCAAACTCTTTAACAAGCTTCTTGAGACCGTGAACCTTGAGCGAAGTACCCATGATGATGAGCATATCGGGTTTACGAGCGATGTCCATCGTTTGTATCGTGCCTATGTCGTCCCCAAAAGGGTGTGGTTCGTCATAGAGTACGATGGCTGGACGAAGAGTTCCAATTTTGAGAGCGCGTGCGAAACGAGCAACTCTTGCTTCCGCTACCAGAGAACTTAGCTAAACGCGAAACCAAACCTGAGAGCTGACTTACATCGTGAGGTACATTCTGGGCAGCTCGGAGCTTTGCCATTCTCGAACGAGTGCAAATGCTCCTCGGTACAAGGCATCTCAGTAGTGCACAAAGTACACCGTACGCGGTGGATGTCGCCGTGTAGCTGGACATTCCTTACTTCTTTGACTTTCAGCTTCGACTTCTTCTTCCCACTTGTCTTTGCCTGCTGACTGGAACTCCCACGAAGCCCTATTCGCTCTTCTAGACCATCGATATTTTGGGTATACGAGCGTACTAGTTTGTGCTTTGCGTCCAGGGTTTGAATAAATTGATGTGTTGGTGCAGGAGTTGCAGCATCGATAGAGCGTTTGAGTTGTGATATAAAAGTATAAAAGACAGAGGTGGACGCGGAGTCGCGGAACAGAGATGCGTCAAAGAGATCACGCCCTTTTAGGACGATGTCTGGGTATCGCTGTTTCACGAGCGAATAAAGACCATCTGAAGACCGGAAATCCTATATCAAAAAACTTATCAAACTATTACACCTGGTACATGTGTAGAGGACTCACCGGAATGCCACACGAACATGAAATGCCTGCTCCGGTGACAACAACTATCTTTTTGGATTTGGCCACTGCCAAAGAAATGTCAGAGAGTGCCCTCCGCGTGCTGGGCTCTCCAGACACCGCATCAAGCTGTAGTGAAATTGTCATGAGATATTTGTTGGCTACCAATCGTGGTGGTTGGAGGGTGAGGATTGATTAGGAATTTCGGATGTGCTAACAGTGGACACGCTGCCGACAACTCAACTGAAATTCAGGGTGAACACCATTTTAGGTAAACATTTGTTGACATATATTTGTGGACGTGTCGCGTCGCGCTTGTCACGTGACTGACGCGTCCTTAATGTCATGGAGGTACCGGTAACTTCAAGTAGCTCACTTCCGTAGCTCAGATAACGAAATATAATCATGACTCTGATCTCGAGTTAAAATCTAATGTTAAAACGACTTGAACAGACGACAGCAGGCAGTGACTGCCATATGTCAAGGTACACGCGACCCCGCAGATGACATTGAATGCCTGCATTTAGCCTAATGTACAACAGCTCTCTCGGACGTCGGAGTTCGCTCATAATACCAGATTCCATATTCTGCGCAGGTTGAAGGAATAATCGAGTCGAGAATTTTGAAGTCACCATATTGCTCCTAGGACAGGGTTGAGTAAACTATAGCACATTCGTTATTAACGCAACATACCGAGCCCATAACATGGTGGAAGTACTGGATCTCCTCCAATACAGTACCATCACGACAGCCAAGCCAAGGATCAGCACCAATCTGGGAGTAAAGGGCATCCGTAATCTGGGCGCGGGTGTATGTTGTTGTATTGGAGGGAACAATTCCTGCCCTATTGTCGCCAAAAGTCGTCAGTAGTCCCGGACAACGATGAAAACTTACGAAGCGAGCTTATAGAAAGTAGGATACTTCTGGAAAACCTTGACGACAGTCTCAAAGAAGTTCACAACTTCCTGGTGTTTCTTGTATCCGGGTTCGTAGCAAGCAACGTCGAATGTGGATGTGCAAGTGCCATGCTTTGAGAACTGATAGCGGCTCCGTTAGGAGGCCCTCTATGTAAGTGATATTGGCCCACCTCCTGAGCCCATAATTCCTCATTAGGTGCGCCCTGGTTGATCCAGAATCGATCCACTACAACGAGTTAAATCATCTACATTGACGTGTAGTTTTGTCCACATACTATAATACAACAAGTCGGAATGATCGAATTCATCGAGAAATGTTCTAACACTCGGTCCTTTATAAGGAGTAATAACCGTCCCATTGGGCAAGGTTGACGGCGATGGTTTGGGATCATACTGCCTGCTAAGGTCGCAGTACTGACCGGACGTGCTACGCAGGGCCAAAGGCACCCCTCAGCATTCATTAGAATTACAAAGAAACACAACTCACCCGTCGCAGTTAACTGGAAGCAAGCCATGGATACTCCAGCTGCCTTTTGGAAGCAGTTGGCCATGAGACTCGAGACCAGTATATGTATCCCAGTACTGCGCCTGTAGCACAAGCCCGCCTTGTACTACATTGCAGCATGAATTCTTCAAGACCGTTGTATTCTCGCAAGAGTACTGCATTAGGACGCCGGTACACATATCGAAGTTCGGGTACGTGGGGTAGAATTTGGCATGAATCACAGAGACCAGAGCTCCGAGGATGACAAGGGACAACATACTATCCGAGCCACAGTGTTCGAGAGAGGTACCTCTCCGCCGGAGGATCGTGTTGCCGACATTTATACCTGCGACTCTCACCTGCTATTTGTGCAGGGTCTGACCTGGTCTGACTAGGCCTAACAGGTCAAAATATTGACAGAGGCTACGTGGCGGAGCATCTTAGTGCGCCTCACTGATTTTTTTTCGCACACATCTCGGTCAATTGACTCTCACTTCAAGATATTCAAACAGTTCTCACTCACTTATCAGTTATGACTTTCTCTTAGACTAGACTCATCACTGTCTGATGGCACATTTCTCAGTTGCTTCCCGGTTTGAGCTCCTGACAGTCGAGAATCAGTTTGGTGACACAATGACGTGCCATGACCGACTATTGACCGAACTGACCGCTCTAGGGTGATGTTCTCCACTGTGAGATCTGTGCACATGGGGTAACTCTGGGATCTTCGATTTCGGAATTCGTAAGACGGCACAGTAACCAAGACATTTTTCCAATGCCCATCCTTTGGCATCATTTGTTTTGCAGGCGCTCACGAGAGGCTGTCGGACAGGGTGAGTATGTCGGCTAAACGGTACTAGGCCGGCGTGTTCGCCGTACGACAGCTATGATGGATGACGAGCCCTTAATACATTGATGCAGTAGCTGTAAGCGACCACGCAACGTTTGGATACCTTCCAATCTTGGCGTAGGAAAATTGTAGAGCAGAAAACGGCAGACAGGAACTCTACGTAAAGGCGTATGTGGCCTTGTAGACAAGGTAGCAATCTGCGTCTTGCATTTGACCTAGTATGAAACAACCCGCTCGGATGTCGCAGTCCGCTCATAATACCAGATCCCAGTTTCTGCGCAGCTCGATGGAGTAGTGGAGTTGAGGGTCTTAAAATGACCATATTGCTCCTAAGTCAAGGTTAAAGAATTCGTTACACGACCTGTATGAAAGCAACATACCGTGCCCAAAACATGGTGAAAGTACCAGACCTCGTCCAAAATAGTGCCAGAGCCATAGCAGCCAAGATATGGAACAGCGCCTGTTTGAGAGTAAAGGGCATTCGTGATCTGGGAGAGGGTATATGTCGTTGTATTAGAGGGAACAATTCCTGCACTATTGTGCCAAAGGTCGTCAGCAGTCACGGACTACGGCGAATAAACTTGAACTTACGCAGCGAGTATGTTGTAAGTGGGATACATCTGGAAGACCTTTGTGACTGTCTCATAGAAGTTTACAACTTCCATATGTTCCTGGTATCCAGGCTCATAACAGGCAACGTCGAACGTGGATGTGCAAGTAGCGTGCTTTGAGAACTGGGCGCTGCTCCGTCAAGAGGCCTACAGGTAAGTGATATTGGCTCACCTCGTGAGCCCAAAAGTCCTCATTAGGTGCGCCCTGGTTGATCCAGAAGGTATCCACTGCAAAAAAAATGGGTTATACATAGGGACGCGCGCATTTGGTCTACATACTGTACTCCAGCAAGTCACAACGACCGAAATCCTGAATGAATGTTCTGACGCTCGGTCCTTGGTAAGGAGGAACAACTGTTCCATCAGGCAAGGTTGATGGAGATGGCGCAGGGTCATACTGCCTGCTAAAGTCACAGTACTGGTCGAAGGAACTATGCAGGGAGAAGAATTCATCAGTCATTATAAAATTTAACTCGAGAAAGAGATTTGTCCTACCCGTCGCAGTTATCCGGCCATAGGCCGTGAATGGTCCAACTACCTTTTGGAAGTAGTTGTCCCTGAGACTCGAGACCAGTATAGGTGTTCCAGTACTGTGTCTGTAGCACGAGTCCTCCTTGTACGACATTGCAGCATGAATCTGTCAGGACCGTTGTGTTCTCACAAGAGTATTGCACTGGGAGGCCGACGCATGCCTCGATGTTCGGGTACGTGATGGGTAGACTCTGAGTCGACGGATAAAGGAATCTAGCGTGAACTACGGAAACCAAGGTTGCGAGACTGATAAGGGACAACATGATATCACGGAGAATGCGTTCGATTCATACTGGGGGATCATGTTGCCGGCTTTTATACCTCTAAGCTTTGCCTGCTCACTTGAAAACCGAAGCACTGACAGGAACGTGCGTACTATCCGGAAGCTGGACCACATGCAAGAGTCGCAGAGAATGGAAGTGACGTGGGTATAATCACGCGGTCGCTATAAGGCCCGGAAGACCTAGTCAAGACTAAGATACGTTAACGTTAACAGGCTGTCAATATTCAAAGTGCTCACGAACCATGAATGACTGTGAACGAGGTTTTGTGTACTAGAAGCATTTGCAAGTTTGGATCGACATGCATGCACATGTTTGAGCTTGGGTGTCGGCTAACTTCAAGTTACGATTACTAAGCTCAAGTCGAAGAATCTCGGCCTCTATGAAGTCTAATTTTAACAACACGAGAATACAAAGCAGATCAAAACATGATTCATCTGAGGATCAACTAACAAGTCCAGAGTCGAGCGAAAGTCCAAGAGCAGCCAGCGAGCACGAAGAAGATCACACGTCGGCCCATCCGCCTTCGTCCAACTTGTAAGAGGCCTCGCTCTCAGGGCGGTCGGGGCTGTCCACCAGTTTCGCGACACGTTCTTCAGCCCGTCCTGGAAGTTAGGTAAATAACATCAATACGGTTTGTAGTTAGCTTCAGACTCCTTTTGGATAACAATGCAACTCGTGGTAAACGCCAATGACTTGCCTTTGCGAAGGAACATCCGAGTAGCTGAGGAGTGAGATAGAATATGTCCACCGATGGGTTTGAGAGCCCCGCCAGCCACGAACGTCATCGTTGCCCCTGGGTCGGCTTGCGAAAGAGGATGAGCTACGATTTTGAAGTATGACTAGTTAAATACATACATTGTACTTGGTTGGTTATCAAAACAGCAATCTGCAAGAGTGGTCAGTCTTGTAAAATAGTTTGTCGACGAACATCAAACGTTGAATTCTTCTGAAAGTTTAGTGAGCTTTGACATCACCTAATGCGAATGCATCGCGTTAGCGAACATGACCAGGAGTCACATGTGAGTCATTGTGCCCACTTGTGCTAGCTACACTGCGGTGAGTCCCAGGATCCGGTATCGCAGGCTCAAAGACTTACTTTCTGCTGCCTTTCGCTGAGTTCGCCACGACCAGAAAAATCGACGCGAAAGAGAGCCATAATGGAGTCCACGATCTGTTTGCTGAATAAGCGATTTTTCACGCAGATTGCAAGACCTACTAAGAGACGGAAGTCTTTGTCTTCCGCAAAACGCATAGAACATTCGCTGATAAGCTCCATCTGCAACATATTAACGATGGCTGCATAACAGTAGAGAAGAGCAGCAACCTGGTGTTCACTGTTGAAGGCACGCGCTGCAAATCCTATGTCTCAATAATGTGAGGTATACAGCCAAAAAAAAATACCATAAAGGATATTTTCGAGCGCCATATTCCCATCCACACCGAACCGGTCAGCGATGGACCTGATTCGGTCTGGTCTGAATGTCCCTAATGCAACAAGAGCGTCGGCAATAGGTTATCACTCGTAAAACGATGACAATTGCACCTTCAGTATCGATATATGCGACCTGTTTCTGAGATTCAATTTGACTTGATTGCAGAAGAAGGACTTGCTCACTTTGCCAGAGGCCCCACCCATCTCCGGAGGGAGTTGGGCGACAACAGACATTGTGTGGGCCAGCTGTGTCTTTCCAGTACGAAATTCACCGTAGACTGGTTTAAAACAGCTGAATGCTGAAAATGCTAAAAACGGCGGGGCTAACTACCTTCGGAAATTGACTGTGACATCAGCCCGCCTAAAAGCTAGTAAGTACAAACTCCTGTCGCGATGTATCGATATACCCACCACCTAAGATTGTGTCTACTGACTTGCTTCCGGTACTGATGATAAGCACGCGCTTTCTTCGATCCTGGACTTCAATACCAGTTGCAAAGGAAGACCCCTCGCGAATGATTATGAGTATTAGAAGACAATATTGATGGTTGATGGCTACCGTGATTTTCTGTGCTGCCTCCTGTGTAACATGGATTAACAGCAGAATACGGTTACCAATGTGGATATATGCGCACCTTGATCTTCTCAACCTTCGCTTCTGACATACCCTACAAAGAAAATATCGAATTCACTAGAGTCCTGCTGGAGAAAAGGTAGTGGAGTTATGCGAACCTTTATCTTCAGTAATTGACGACGTGTAGTCATAACGACACCAGACACAGTATTGATGGAGGCACTCTAGAGCCGCCATGAGCCTGGTAAATATCGCGCATATACTAGGGGAGTACCTTGAGTTTTAAGATATCTTGTACGTTTATGCCCTGCAATTAATACATTCTGGGTCCCGAGCATATATTCACGTAAAATATACTAACATGTTGCTGCAATTCATCCACGTTATCAAAGAACGATGTCTGTAACGCGTCGCGTATGCGTGAGCCTTACAGCGGATAACGATGGTTGCAAACAACCTCACCTCTTCGATGTCTTCAGCACTTGGACTCGATGGTCGACTGGGAGGAGGCATGCTTCCTTCTGGTGCAGCTTGTCGACGAGGGGCCATGGCTGCAATATTGTGTGTTTAGAAATAAGAACCTGGAGCCAATTGAGAGGTAAAGCGATCGATGCACAGCCACCGCTATGACCTTGACGGAAATGGAAGTTAGACTCCTCTCTATGTTGTACTAGTAGCACGAGCGGGCGGCGTCAGCTACGCTCAAATAAAAGAACTCTGCCGGAGCTGGCCAAGAAAGTTTCAGGAAGATAAAATATCGATACATTGGCCTGCTACAATACAGTCTCTGATGCATTATAGCATGTCCATTTACGGACAAGCCTCAAGTAGCATATTCATCTTCCGCAGGGCACTTCCTGCATACGAACTCTTTGTGAAGGTCAGACTCATGTTTTAATTGAATAAGAGAAGCCGAACATACTCCAAACAGAACTGTGTGATTTAGATAATGATAGAGCTCGTACTGATCCACAGGTTCGGTCTTGGGCAGGTGTTCATGGTACTTTTGAAAAAAGCTGTGTGGAAATCCGCCGAAGATACGAGCGATGGCTAGACTGAACACGTTCAGATAAAACTGCGATTGCTCGGCCTTCGATGTTGTACTTACTCGGCTTCAGTGTGACCGTAGTAAGATGACGGATCAAAGATAACAGGTTGACCAGATGAATTATCTATGCCAACATTACCACTCTGCTATTATCAGTAAATAGCGGTGAATGCTCCATAAGACGCTTACCCAGAGGTCACCATGCAATAGCACCGGCTCAATCTTGAGGGGGCGAAGCAAGAATGGCATCACTCTGCACTCCTGCAGTAGCTGACTCGCTTCATAAGCCATCATGCACTTACTTTGACCTTACTTGTTCCCCCTTGGTGCAAAGGTCTGAAAACCTGCCTTTGTCGCGAAGCTTGGCAAGGAGATTTCCAATCATGGCACTGTAGCATTCTTCCCAGGTTTGATACCAGCCATTGTCTTGCCGAGTTGCTCCGCAGAAGGTAGGCACATGAAATCCAAAGCCCATGGTACTCTTGTAGGCGTGTAGTTCTGTGGCTAGCCTCATTCCAAGCTCCTCCCCTGCTTTGCGATTTGAAGCAAGACTTGATATATTCCGATATTCCGACAGAAAGTAAGGTCGTTCAGATGTCGTGGCGGAATCATCTGGACTGACCGCTGCGAAAACCTGAGGAGCTAGTCCTGGTGCAGCATTGTATATGGCTCTGAGTGACTCTGCCTCTCCCACGAAGTGCTCTCGTTCACCGAGCGAACCTACTTTGGCATAGTACTTCCTGCCAAATGACGATTCTATGATCGGAAAACTGAATGTGAACTGTGCATGTGGTTCTATTTTCTGAAGGTGAGGGAGAAATATCTTGTCCATTGTGTGGTATTGAACCAAGTGATGGACGACTCCGACTCCGGCTCAGTCACGTGTGGGCGGTGGCGCGGGCCGCCCCATTCTGAATCGGGAACAGTGGTTCAACTTAGTTAGTAGAGCAGCTCAGATTAGTTCGCTCTCGCCTTCGCTTCAGACCTCTGCCAGTATTTCACCAGGCGGCCACCCTGCTGCTCATCGAACAGGTTCTTGCGGAAAAGAGAAACTTTGCCGAAGCTGTTCTGCTTTCAACGCATGCTTTCCTTGGATTCCCAGACGAGTAGACTTTTGAGGACACTGTGATCTCCGAGTGTTCGTAAGTTCTCGATCAACCTCTTTCCGCATCATTCGTTCAAAAGAATCGCCTGCACTCTTCCAGGCCTTCGAGAACAGGATGCTTGTTGGACTTTGTACATTTGAATTAACCGCGCTTCGTTTGGACTTTGCAGTATTAGCGTTATTAGTAGTCGCCAATTACAGCCGCAACGCTAGCTGGCCAGGCCACCGTTGATTGGCATCTTGTCCATTACGGACGATGACTCAATATATCAATATTGTCGTCTGCAGTGTTTACAGAGATCTTGTGACTTGAGGCAAGTGCACCGTAGTTTCCCCTAAACGCCATGGCCCATCAAATTGGGTTCGTACTTTGGTTTTCTTATTTCGCACGGACTCACGATTATGCAGAAGTTGTGGGAAGACGGTCGAATAGAAACGCGATTGATACTAAGGCTCACGCTCAAAGGGGGTCCTTGTGATAGTTTTTCTGAGTAGAGCTCACCTGGGACTTCAATGTAGATCTCGTCTACATAAATAGCTGGGGCAGAAGGACAAAGATCGAGCAGCGCCAGTGCTCAAATGTGACAAGAAAAAACGCGGTTGTGATAGCAGACCAGACACACCGATTTTCATCATCCCCTGGCGTTGGTAACTGATTCGTGCAGGTATCTGTCGAAGAAGACACGTAATCCTTTTTGGAGCCGTTGGTTTGATCGCAAACCATCAAGGATGGAAAGGTTCCCTCTCCGTGGGCTCTTGAAAAATCTTCGTTGGACTCTGATCGCGGCATGCATTTTCATATCATAGTTAAATCGGTGACCAAGCATTTTGAACGCTGCTAACACAATGCTAACATCGAAATAGGTATCAATCAGGAATTTCTCTTTCTCTTTAAATATTCCGATGCGTTCTCCATCAATGAGATACGAATAATTTAGACGAAATATTTCAAGAGTGCAACGACTTCAGCATTTGTTCAGCTTCTTTATATCTTTTTCTAGTCCCCTCGATGACAGTATCATCGATTCTCCATCCCTCGCCGTTTCCATTTGGTCCACTTTCTAATCCCTTTCTGTACCCAGCCGCAGTCAATGCATTTCTAACATACTGCTTGTCAAAGCTTGGTTGTCCTTTGCCAGGTTTATACTGGTCTCTGGGCCAGTATCGCGATGAATCAGGCGTAAGGACTTCATCCACAAGGATGAGCTCGTCTTGCCCAGCAGAAGCAGAGGGAACAAGACCGAATTCAAACTTCGTGTCTGCGAGAATAAGTCCGCATGATTCTGCATATTCAGCAGCGGCCGTATACAGCTGCAAAGACGCAGCCTGGATACGGTCGAATAGATCTTGACCGATGAGTTGAGCAGCTGATAAAGTGGATATGAGCGACTTTAGACAAGTTATGCTAAAAATAGCACCTTGCTCAGGGGAGATATTCTCGTCATGGGCGCCTTGATCAGCCTTGGTGGACGGAGTGAAGATCGGTGTCGGAAACTTTTGGGATTCTTCCATACTCTCCGGTATTGGGATACCGCAGACAGTCTGCGACTTTTGATACTCTGCCCAGGCTGATCCTATTCACAAAGTCATTCCGATGGCTCCAGGAAGTTATCCCGATAACGAATCAGCTCACCAGTGATGTATCCTCTAACGATCGCTTCCATAGGTACAATTTTGGCCTTTTTTACAAGCATAGTACGGCCCTCGAGTTGCTCGCGATACTGCCGAACTTCATCTGGCATCTCATCGATATTGACGGTGACAAGATGGTTAGGAATGATATGCTTCAGCTTCTCGAACCAGAACAGCGAGATGCTTGTGAGGAGTGCGCCCTTGTCTGGGATAGCCTAGAAGCAGAGAACATGAAATCAGGCAGAAAAGAGCTCAGAGATCCACGGACACTGTTGAGGATGACATCGTACACCGATATCCGGTCGGTTGCGACAAACAATAGATGATCGGGTGACGAAGTTGCATAAACGTCGCGAACCTTTCCTCTGGAAAGGAGTTGAAGATCTGGTAAGTCCGTTTGTAGCAGGGCTGGCATTGCGGGGAGAAGAAGAAGTTACAAAAGTAGGCGGTATTCCGATAGTGGAAATATCAATATCTTAGGGTGAGTTCTGCCAAAAAAAAAAACGGCAGAACGGCAATTGGCAAAAATCGGCATAATTATTTTGAGTGTTTTCGCGTTGAAGTTGACGGGGATGGAGCAGAGTCTGCATTCACGATTGGATGAATTTGGGACTTTAAATTTCTGCTGTTGGCAAAGTGGTCGGTGAGAATTTTTCGAGTCGGACGACCCTTGGAACACAGGGAGGCTCAGACGCACTTTTTCCAAGGTCAAACATGTCCGAGTCGTAGTACAAATAAAGGGTCATACCGATTTCTGCCGATTTCTGCCAAGCCTGAGAATGGCAGACTTCTGCCCACAATACTAGATTCTGACAGTGGATGGTTAATATTTGAAGTGGTGATGTAGGGTGATGATCATGTGCTCTAAGTAGTCTATGTATGATGTATGCATGCGTTGGTTGTATCTATATTCCTATTACTCCTATTATGCTACAGGACGCCGAGAAGTTATACAGTCGGGACAAGCCTACAATCGTTGTCAGCACTTGAACCATGCAAGCAAGGGTCAGAACACCAACAAATCATATTTGACCAACTCGTCAACATCAATGAATGCTGCTGAGGCCATTTGACGAGCTTCTACCCACATCCAGACCTGTCTCGAGGATAAGTATTTGTAAAAATGGAAATATTCAGTATCTACCTTCAACAACGCTCCAAAGTTTCCTGAGGGTAACTGCGTCATCGACTCTTGAGTTGTCATCTGCCGTCCGAGCTGTCGTAGAATCGGCAAGGCGCTCTTGAAAAGATCTAGACTTGGATCCAAATTTCTCCCAATGCCTTCAAGAAGTAATATGGAGATAACCGTATTGATGAAATCCGCCTCCATCTTGACATGATGCTGCCGCACGGCCGTTAGAACATCGGTCAAAATGTCCGAAATCTTGATCTGCCCAAGTGAGAATGTTTTCCGTTTGATGCTCAGAACAATGTGTTGCATCTTCAGCGCAAAAGTTTCGGTGTCGATCGCAAGTTCGGGAGTCCGACAACGTTCGACCATCAATTGACCGGCTCGGTAGCCATCAAACTCAGCAACAGCCCTGAAAAGATCGAGGAAGTTCTTGCGGTTTGCCGCGTTAAGCGTTGTCACGAGACCAGCATCGATGAAAACAATTTCAGGAACGTAGCCCTGTTCCGATGAAATCCTGAGTTCCTTTTGCCACTCCTCACGGGAATGCCTGAGTGAGCGTAGCCGAGTTACTATTTCATCAGATTCCAGCGGGTGCTCGACGAGAATCTCGCCAGAGCCCTTTTGTGGGAAAGATGAGGAGTACATGCTCATAAGGAGGTCACGGGTGGTCGGAGGCTTCGTGAATTTGATCATGATGTTGCCTGGATGAAGATCAGAGTGCACGAAGTTGTCAAGTAGTAGCATTTTCTGCAGGACAATGGGTAAACGAAAATTACAGGAGATAGGTTACGGACCAAGAAAGCATCCAATCCGATGGTTGCCAATTGATCATCAAATGGCCCTCCTCCATTTTTCAAAAAGTACTCCATGCGAAGAGCATTTTCGTATTCCTCGACAAGTAAGTCGGCAGTCGAAAACGTTTTCAAAGGACGTGGAAATGATACGGGCACATTTCTCGAAGCAAAGTTATTTTCAAATGTCAGGAGGTTTTCTGCTTCAATTCTGAGGTCGAGTTGTCGACGCATCATTTCACCAAAGACGCTGACCTCCTCTGGGAGTGATAACCATTGCATACCAGGGAGAAGGGTAATGACCCGCGCAAAGAAAGACATTATAGATAGGTCGTGCGCAATGTCTTTGGCGACGCGAGGATGCAGAACTTTGATGGCGACAGATGCAGTAGGTACTGAAGGCGGAGGTTCTTGCAGAATAACGGGAGCCAGTGACCCTGCGGGTGATTTAGTCTGTCGTTTCGGCCCAAGGTAAGAGGGAGGTATAAGATCATGCTTGAGAGTTGCCCGGTAGACCTACGAGCAACGAGTCCGTTAATACACCACATAAGCCAGCAGCAAACCCACTTGTGCAATGGCGCCGACTCCTATCGGATTTCATCAAAAACTTCGAACACCTCATCGAATGGCCGTTCAAAAGCCCTTTCGATGACTTGCTTAGTGTGCATGAGTGAATGGGGCTTTCCGCGAGAGTGCAAGGATCCCATTTTCTCGCAAAGTAATGATGGGAAGAGATCAGCACGCGATGCCGCCCATTGCCCAAGCTGAATGATCAGAGAGTGAGATGGAAGGGCGTTATGAAATATATACCTTGATGAACGTTGGCCCGGCAGTCTCCATTCTCCTGACAAGAAATCCGTACCACCAGATGGCGCCCCACTTGTCACCCCTATATCGACGTTCAGGCTTCCCAACAAGCAGCATAGGCATGGTAATGATGACAGGTATGAAAAGATAGAAAAGGTGAATGAATCTTCGTGCCGTCAACAGAGGTTCCCACAAGTGTTCCTGCAACAGAGATAATATCCGCGATGGAATAGGCATATGGGGTTCCGCTGGTGATCCTATTATAGGGTCTCTTGCTTGTACGTTCAAGTCGTTTTCTGTACATGGAATAAGTGTCGGCGAGGAAAATATGGAAGGTAGGTGGAGCTGTTGGCTAGGATAGAGGTAAAGTGCGACACCGCCAGTCACAGGGATAAGCCATGCAATATTGCGCCATAGCCGTGTGGGTGGGTTTTTAGGACTTTTGAATGATTGTAAATGAAAGCGAGCAGTATGTTGTGGTCGCTGGAAGGTGCTATGGCGGACGCTCAATCCAGACCCACGGACGATACTCAAGCGGTGAGATAGCACTAGCAGTCGCATTTGCGAGGGAAGGGCATGTATCCGCTGAAACTGCATCTTCCGTAGCAGTGAGAAAATACTTGTGTATTTCTACACGTTCGTTAGGTGCTCTGCAAAGCAGATTAGTGACTCGGAGATAGTTTGAGAGTGAACGACTTACTGTCATGGACTAGAAGAACGAAACGCACAAACCAGATATTAGCGCTACGTACCCAGTACAATCGTGATGGTCCTGGATAATCTACTGACTCCCTGGTCAAGCGTTTTGCTTTGCCGGTTTCCGTATTTGGAAAACGCTCCGTGACACGTGATTGATTGACATGGTCAATGCGTTTGACTCATTGTCCATGCCAGTGAAAAACACGATGAAATAGTCATATAAGCTTGTAAATTTTCTAAATTGTTATTGTTGTCGACTTTCGATGTTCGATTGTTGAATTGCAACTCACGCGTATCATAATCAGATTATGCTTTGTGATATCGTTCACGTGACCGGAGATACTTGAAATCAGAGTCCTTGCTGCCGGGTCACCGCTACCTCCCCCATGCTATAAGATCACTACCATCACCGGTATTGTACTAATAAGTGTCCCGAATCATCTGTGGGAAGTTTGAACGTTATAAGTGGTTCATTTTCGCGAGATATTGGGAAGGAACCTGCCAGTGCACTTGTACTAGTACGTTGTTTCAACCAACCAAGTGACCTGATCACTTCTTATAGCCAGACATTCGCTCAAAACTGCTCACAGCTTCTGGTCTTCTAGCCGTCTATTTGCTTTGCTCGTTCGTATTTATCTGGCTGTGAGTCTACAAAGTTCTTTCCCGATGAATACCTGGATTACTAACTTCGTATCTCAAGTGACTACGTCGCCTGCTTCCTATTATATAGAGTATCAAGATTCCTCACTCTACGCGTTGCATTATTTAAATACACTGCAGGAGCGAGTAGGATCCAAGATGGCAAAATCAACGAAAACTTCCAAAGGTCAACCGACGCGCAAGCACAAGAAGCGGCGTTTCTCCCCCAAGGATCACTTCGCCCGTCTCATGAAGGAATCGGTAGAAATTTCCCCCGAAGAAGTTGCTTCCACTGAAACTTCGTCTGTCGCATCTACTTCAACCGCTCAAACTGCACCCGCCCCCAACTACTCTAATATTCTCCTCATTGAGAAATTCCAGGATGCTCTCGACACTCGGACGGCTGTATGCCGCCGCCTCGAAATCCTCGTGCGGAGCTCAACTTTGTACACGCCATCAGCGCAAGCTCGTTTGATCAAGTGCTTACGGGATGACTACATCCGGGGGGACAGAACAAGGAAGGCCATCGACAATCTGCGACATTCTGATTTCATCAGTGCTACAAGCATAACAAATCAGGATTCAGAGTTTATCACGAAAGAGGTCATGGAGAGCACGAGACTGTTTTTTGAAGGAAGTAAGGAGCTGCAGGAAATAGGAGATCAAATCGCAGCACAGTTTTCATAGCATTGGTAGGTTTCCTTCTCAAGCATTAATAATGGGTCTGGGCGCTAACGTTATCGGCAGGTCTGTCTCGATGTCACTTTCTTGTACTGAAGTATTCTAGCCTATATTCTACTTGCACTCGCACGTACCCTCTTTTTTGTATCCACAAGAGACCATAATCAAGCCGCAGTGCTATGAGCCTGTCGCTTTGCACGACAGCGTGGACCAGTCCAAATAGCAGACCGGATCATGGGAAAGCACGCCAGGCATATACCCACAAGTAGTACGGAGGTCCAACCAGTAACCCATCGCGTTGACAATGAAGTCCACTGACGGAATCACCAAGAACTGATGAGTACTGAAGTACTTGAGTTGTAGCGAGCTGCGCATGGCAGACGGAACCTTCCGTGCTGAGATGGCAAATCCAAGCTAGTTACGCAAGGTCACCCTGACAGACACGCAAGGACCCGAATCTCTTGGGAATTTTTCGCGTGAATAGTGCTACACCGTTAGAGGCCTTTGCATGGGTATTCTTTTACGATATCCTCCATTCTTCCGCATCACACATCTCCGGAAATCTTGCAGTCATGGTTTGTAAAGCCTAAAATGTAGGGAACGAAGTTTTTTGTTCAATTTCATTGACACAGGTTGCCAAGACAGAATAAAATTTCCACTAGATATATTGATGGTAGTAGGTATAGCACAGAGATTCGTGTATGCGAGACGATAGCATAGAAAGCAGAGGAAGGACTGATTGATGTATGTAGAGTAGATTCTTGTGGTTTAAGGACCGATCATATGGTACAACGATAGCGAAAGCAAGACACAGCTTGAACGAGAAACAACAGCACGAGCTGTGGGATCAGTAGATTGTGCAGTTATGACAAACTACTTGGTTTTCAAAGACAGCTTCTTCGCAATTAGTATTGCAAGGTCCTGCCGACGTAACGTGTGAGAGCGAGGAAGTGCTGTCAAGCGAGAATAAAAAGCGTACGCTAATTAGACTTGCGAAGTTTATACGTTTGACGTGAGGTTGGACGACAATCTCGGCAACTTCAATGGCTTCTGGCAGGTTCACGACACCGGGTTGCCGCTCTTCAGCTTCAGGGAGGTCGGGCTGCATTTGAGAATTGAATAAGACCACAAGATGACAAAAAGGAAAAGTGTACAAAGTTAAGTATGACTGGTTCAGCACTATCGTCGTCTTCAACAATGTCATATAGGCTGCAGGGACGATCATTCATAGCGTGCTTCGTGATAAGAAGTGTCAAAAATAACGTTGAAATGATGGTCGCGGCATCGCTCACCATCATCTCACGTTGGCTAAGTTTGACTCTGGGGTAAGGGTGGAAACGAAGCAAATGAGACGTCCTGTAGCTTGGCAACCTCATGCTGCTCATTGAATGCTGGCTTATGACAAGTGAAAATGAGGGAAAAGGAACGTCGTTTATTCTGCGTGAAGGCATTGGAGATTTAAATAGCAGCGGGGGTTCGATAGAAGGAAAATAATTTGGGGTAGCCAGTTTAAGTTGCTCTAGAACTCCGAATTCGCAATCCCGACAGGGCTGCCGATTGCCTGGTTGCCTGTTCCAGCGTGACACTTTGTGGATCTTCAAATTTGCAAATGTTGGTACGACATTTGCTTCCGCGGAACCGATTCTCCAAGTCCATCGACCTCAGCCCAGGACAAGCCATCGATATAACTAAACAAGAGGTATGAGACGGCGCAGGAGGGACAGGATCATTGCGATTGAGCACCAGGTTGCTCCACCAAAGCGATGGACCATTGCTGCAGAACCTCCACGATACACACCACGGACCTCGACATGTTCAACCGAGTCTTGTGCACTGCACTGTAGAGCATCATAGGAATGCTGCGCGAGCCAGACACGTCCCTGGCTGGAAAAGAAGAGTCAGTACAGTATTACAGGCGTAAGTGCATGGACTCTCTTATGGAGAGCTCTCTGTTGTACGGGATAAAATATATCTGTGATATGCTGATCAACCATCCTGAGCAATCATATAACCCCTTCAACATGCCAGAAAAAACACCCAATGGCGAGACGGCGTGTCAGCGAGGACAGCGTGACACAATGTGTGACACATCGCGTGACACAAAAAGGGGCATCAAAGCAACTTTGCGCACGAGCCAGGCAAGTTCCAACCACCATCATGAAACATGAACACGACTCAACAGCGTGCTCTCAAGCTCCCAAGATGTGTCAAGCATTAATATGAGTCAAGATAGTCACAATGGTTGCATCAAGATCGCCCCCCTCAAGTCTCAACTGACGCAAGCGCCTCCATCAGCATCAACAAGTGGCAGCCAATGCCAACATTTATATGCCCCAGAAACAAAGCATGGTTAGAGTGAACAAGACACTCACCAGTGACTATGAGTTGGCCCCAGTGCCCCCTACATGCATCGTAAGCTGTCTCAAATTCTCCACAAATTTCCACCCATCAAGGCGTGAATGTCGAACCGAATGATCCAACCTAAGAAGAAAATGCCATCAAGCTGCATAAACCATGAAGACCCCCCAGCTCCGTTGCTGACCAAAAAACTGGCATTTTTCACCGTTGCGATATGCAGTTCTTGCCTTTATCGACGCAGTTGGCAATGTCGAGCTGTGATCGATCTAACTTGAAGTGCGACCAAGCATCTTGCGTGTCTTCATGAGGGCACACAATACGTCGAAGGCGACTCTGATTTGCAAGAGGTCCATGGGTGCGTCAAGTGGTATCGAAGCCGCTCGTGTGGTTCTTCAAGATCAATAATTCAAGAAATTCGTTTGCCCTCTTGCGTTAGCTTGAGTGGTTGAAGCTGAGCCAAATTTTGCATTGCGGGACGACAGTGATGGTTTCGAGAATGGTTCCGAATTCGTGGGTGTTAGGTCCACAGGCTTGAAATCGAAGTGGCTTTGGACCCTGGGTGAACCGTGCACACAACTCCGCTCGCCAATTCTAGCCAAAGTTTTTGCAGCCTCCCTGGCCAATTAATCCGGTCTCAGAAACCTAAGTGTTGATTTATTTTATCGGAATTGTCGTCTGGGACTACACGACCTGCGCATGGATGAAAGTTCTGGCAAGAGGACGACTCTGTCTGAGAACCGTTCACCACAATGGAAAGTCAATGGCTCAGCGTTGCACCTGAAGTCTCTGCGACAAGTTGGACCTCTACGTACTTATTTTAACAGCCTACCTTCCAATAACTTCAACTTGCGTCAGGGCTTGATCATCAATGTCTTTATTTCGTTATGGAACAGCCGAAGTATCGTTGCTCTAACTCAACCGGATGTTGTGCTGTTGCCCTCCCACTGCCAATGGGCAAGTTGCCGCTCTCTCTGTACGGTGCTCGCTAAGTTTTGTTTCCAGGATGATTCCATACGACATTCGCCCTCAAGCTTTTGGTTTATTTCCTATCACATTGCGATTCCTACACGGTGAATTCATGCTACACAAATAATACCTACACGAGCGGTCATCGCAAGTCATTGCCGTGTCTCCTGCACGACGCCAGGAAATAGAGGCAAGCAATATTCATCGGCGTTGCATTTGAACTCCAGGACAGCCTACTTGCATTCTTGCCATCTTCCTCACTATCTGCAGTGTCTGGTTGTCTGACTCCAGACGTACTTGGGGAGTTTTAGCTCTATCTTGTGTGTTGCAAAGTTGTACAAGTCAGTGCTCCATTCGTTTTTCGTGCTCGACAACCTTTGCTGATGAATGGTAGGTCGTAGCAATCAATTGCAAATGATCCACACGATAGTGAATGCCAAATAGATGATGCAAAGACCTCCCTGCGCTATCACCCATACAATCTTGCCGAATCTTTGTCGTCTGGTTTGGTGTGACGACAGAGAGCACTTCTTTCCGTTGTTGTCCAACCCCCTTGGGTCACCTATTTCATTCTTGGAACTGGGATCCAAACCAACACCCGTCTCGTTAGCTATTGTTAGCCTTCCTTGGAGCTCAGACACGCTTTCGAAGGTCTATGTGACTTGCGGGAGCTTTTCCGCCTAAGCGCATGGGCCCTTGGTACACGAGAGCTTCTTCGCTTGACTTCTTTACCATCATTGAAGTCCCTCCTGAAGCCGTACCACAATAATAAGATCCGATCCGATCCCACTCCAAACAAAAAAATTCCTAATTCGATGAATTGCACATCGTGTACCATCACCTTCTACCCATAATCATTGTTTCACAAAAGATCGGGAACCTGACTTTGACGCGGTTGCTCCGTTGCTGTCGTTTGGTTGCTTGACGCACTTACGGCTCGATTGCATGCGCACTTCGGCCATCAATGATGCCTCGCTCAAGACAATGGCACAACCTGGTCTCGACTCGAGAATTTTACGATTGGAAGTGCGGATCGTTATCTAGTACTGCCATCTCTCACCTTGTGGGACTCCCATTTCCCCATTTGCACACTATTGACATGTCGTTTTGCGCACGATATTGAGAGCGTGTCGTTCTCTACGACTACTTTTAATGGGAGGATTACCAGACTTTTGGTGAACATGTCTCCGGTCATCAATCCCATCGCCGTGGCCGGTCAATTATTTCCAGGACTAATGACGGCCCCCCTTACCGCCGCCATTTGGGTATTTCAAGGCTAGATGGAGTAGGGTGAATAAGTGACTGAGGGGTTGGTGAACATCAGGGCAATGGAACTCAGGTCGTCCTTACAGTATAGTTTTTTTTTTTTTTTCAGATCCTTCGCTATCATCCGCGCGCTGGGACCTAGCCTTGTGGTAGATACTACCTGCAATATAAATATTATTACTTGACGGGCACAGAACTCGCGTCTGAGGATTTTTCACCCATACTGATTAGTGTTACATTTTTACTACATCCTGCTGGTCTAGACATTCTAGCTTCTCACGATATCTTCAGTTCCTTGTGGGTACTCTACCTTCTTGATCACCATCTAGTCCGCATCATGTACCTCTGCGAGTGCAGCAGCCATGGGTTTGTACAACCCATGTTCTGTGCCGAGTCCGTAAGTAAATGTCATACACTCAATGATGGAAGAGCCATCGTCAGGGTCTAGTTCGAGCTGCCAGGGCAATCGTCATAAAACTGTACCACAGTAGTAGTATGGACTAACCACGCACCAACGAAATTATATCATCCAGTAAGTGGGCTTGCCCCACCACCATGCCGTGCAGCCCGACATGTCCCGTGTGGACAATGTGCACGTGAAAGTGGTCTGTGCAATAGATTAAATTGATCCTTGATCATCGAATAACTGCTTACAATAACTCGGCTGATAATGAATGTACATCCTGACACCACCACGGCTGATACACCACTTATCTTGCACAACTCTCCAAGCATCTCTCCGGAGGTTCTTGAGCATTCCCAAGTGCGGTTTTTTACGGAGATCCCGCATGCAGTGTACGTCAGAGTGCTTATAAATTGCGAGGAGGTAGAGAGCAGAGACATTGGTTGCGTCCCACTTCATGTCGGGAAGAATGAGGAAGTCTGGAGAGGCATTTAGGATATTGGATGCTTCGGCGGTACCTACAAGAATGTCCTGGACCCTGGGGATGGAGTCAGCCTGTGGGCTGCGAGCGAGACAAGAAATACCATTGTGTGCGTGCGGGGTCGAAGGCGAGGATGTATGGTTTGACGATAGACTGGTAGAGGGCGGGGGTCTCGTGCACCATGAGCACGTCCTGCTTTGTATACTAGTGACATAGCCATCAACCTGAATGACAATGAATAAATGGAAAAGACGGACCTTGCGGATGTGGACGTCAGTGGCGGGGCAGATGACATAGACCTTCATGTCAGGGAGGTCATCGCGCTTGTGAAGCCATGCAAATAACCAAGTGTACTAAATGGCGATGGACAGATAAATCAGTGTTTTCTTGAGAGGAAAAGGATGGGACATGCAATGTCAGTGCTTCCGATCTTCTTGGTAGACTCAAGAACGCCGGATGAGAGCTGGGAAGCAACAGTAGACGACAAGGCTGTGCGCTCAAAGCGAAGGATAGCACGAAGAGGAGCGGATGGTGTCGATGAGGAGGGTAGTGTGCCCAGGACGGCTAACGTATGAGCAAGCGCATCTAAGTTGTGGTTATTGGCTCAAATTGTTGTTAGCGTAATGACGATATTACTATACGTACTTTCATCCAGAACGCGTTCAAACACGAATTCTTTCAAGTCAATGTTCGACATATTACTGTCAGTCATGATCAAGATTCAAAATTAATCGAGAATTACGAAAATGGACGATTCGAACAGGCTGTCACATCAGCCAGATGTAGTTACTATTCTACGTCCAACTGAAAGACTCACTCCAACAGACCGTCAGAAATATTCATCTCAGACTCAGACCGAGTCTCTCAGGCTGGTGCTCCTCACATTCCTGAGTTTATTGGTGACGCAGCGTCGACGAACATCATGATGAACGACTATCCAAATACATTTATGCGACATGTTTGACATCATTCAATGCATCACAAATATCTTGCAGAGGTCACAATGTCACTAGGAAGCGGAAGCCATCTGAAAGGTTGGTGATGCATTTTCCATCTGTTCTAACTAACATTTGAAGGAGATGAACTCGAGTATCGGCATCACCACTCTCATCCAACACTTCGATCAAGATATGGCCCGCCAGGTCCCCACATCATCGCCTGACTTGCCATTAACTCGGATCATCAGTGTTGGAGAAGGTCTGGTGTGGCTTTCAATTAACCATTCCTTGTAACAACACCAGCCGGCGCCTTCCGCATGTTCTCATCGCGATCAGCAAGATATCTCGTGTTATCCATTCAACCTGCTCGTTTCTGTACCGCCGCACCCGGGGCCAATGTTCTCGTACCAACCTTTCGTGCAACTCGATGATTCCCTCTGCACAGAACCACCTTGGAAGGCCAGAGGTCACAGGTTGTTAATCAAAAATCACGTTAGTTGATCAGATAACGTATACTAGTCTTGACGAGATAGTCAGGGGCAGGTATGATTTTCTGACTTGACCCGAGGTTGATGTCCCCATCTTGTACACCAATCCTGTCGATATCGTGCTGAACAATGCAGGATACTATATAGTATCAGGAGGCATGCCTCACAAGGCCGCACGAGGGATATTTGATGTGCTGTTCTGGGGTGCGGAGAATGTCATGCTTGAAGCCATTTAATGCTTCAGGGACATGAATCATCCCATGGGAGGGCGAATATTGATCGTTTCTTCCCAGAATGCCTTTATTTTACAGGTTGGCACTGTACATCATGCTTTGGTGTGATTTCATGCATTCTGCACAATTTTCCTCGCAGGCTAACATCCAAATCTGGTAGGCTCTCGACTTCATCTCAAAGATTCGATGGTCAATTGGATGTCGTCAGCGTTGGAATGTTCGACAGATGGGCATATCGCCGAACTTGATCCAGAGTGGCATATCGACGTAGGTCGCTTGTATCGCCAAGATTTGGAGCATAACGTCGACAAAAGATCACCCTCATCGAGCCTGGTCATTTTGGTACGTCGATGATTCAAAGCCGTACGACAGAACCATGCTTATTACTCCAACCCAAGCCTCCGAACCCGTAAATACCGAGCGCTCTATTACCTGACATCGAGGACGCGCATTTTGATGGCGACCACCGACATCAATTTTATCTACATTCAATATTGCAACCGACATGAAGAAACAGTATATTACCATTACAATGGGGATTGCAACCGATATGTGGCTTCAGGCCCGAGCCGAGCGAGCAAATTTCTGACACCTCAGATTTACGTCTGATTACAAGCAAGGTACGTCGACTCCCTCTAACTACTAGGATCTGGCTAAACTCTTGTTTCCGCAGTGATTTTGACAGGTCATTTTGTATCTTGTGCGCGTCTTTCCACCTGATGACATGTCGACGCCAGAGGCCCAGTTCACGTTCAAAATCTTCAAAGGCATATCTGCGACTCGGTACCAGAGCGACTTCGGAGCGAACAAGGGTCTCAACTAGTTGCTAATTATGTCGGGTCACTTGCACTACCGGAGCTTGTGACAGCGATGAGACGTAATTTTTCAGGTTCAGATAATGCCCAAACAATGTGGTCCGCGATATTTCGCGTTAGATGCAGAGGTCGTCGTAACATCACGCACTCCTCGTGATCCACCCGTCCTAGACTCAAGGGATCTTCGATAAGGCAGAAGTCTTGGCCTCAAAACGAAGTCAAGTCAGAAAATGTGTCAACAAGAGAGATGCGCTGTTGACTCCAAAAGGATCATCCCTGGCCAGATATTGATGTTACTTGACAGGGCGAAGAGACTAGACTGATGACCAGCCCGTCTAATGAGGCAAGCCGCGGGCTGGTCACCAGTCTACGAAGAGACGCGGTGGTTCGACTTGTCCGTCGTAGAATAACTTGAAGCATTGCTGGTCATGAGACTGTATTTGATCGACAATAGAGCATCATCCTTGTCTCAGAGTGGGAACGGCGATGACCGCTGACCGTGTTGCTCAGTCAATGAATATCGATGACTTAGTGGAAAGATACATAGTCAGGGTTGGATTCTCTATGTAGTTCGAGGACAATCATGACCGGCTGTAGCAATCGTCTTCAACCTCACAAGCAGCCTTTTTTTGTTGATGAGTCGAAACAGCTGTGAGCTGTTCCTCGGAATCCCTCAGACCGGAGACAGGAACTGCGGTGACAACCTCAGAATTCGGCCGCGATTGGGGTTACCATAAGTGCTCATGAGTGCGATTCTTGCTTATGTAGCCACGGAAGGAGCGGTCAAAGCTAAGCGCTCAGTAGTGAAGCTATGAAGAAAACGATCAAATAGTGTGGGTACAATAATTTAGCGTATCATTTACAAGACACGAAAGTACATACACCAACCAGGATGAATCTCAGTCCGCGTCGGCAACTAGTCCGCCTCTTCCCCGTCTGAGCCTGTCTTCTAGACCACCCACGCCGCCAAAGACCTTCTTCTGTTCTTGCCCCAAGAAGCCACCCATGCCCTTTGACTTTGCGCGGGCTCGCTCTTCCACTTCGAGGTCAGCCTTCTCTTTCTCAAGCATTGCCATGAGCCGCTGCTGTCGCTCTACCTCCATGCTTGCGGCACCCGACTGCATGGCGGCCAGCTTTGCGGCACGGTCATCAGCAGTATTGGATGGCTGCTTCTTGGCGGAAGGTCCGGGGCGGGAATCAGATCTTGGAGGACTGTAGCGTGAGCGCTTCGGGTATGAGTTACGATGCAGGGGGCTAGGACTGCGTCTCCGTTTTCTATCATCTTCCATTCGTTTGCCACTACGTTCGATGCTTCTGCGACGACCATAGCCATTGTCGTCTGATTCGTCCGAGCGGGGCCAAGTTCGGACGCCGTCGTCGAGAGAGTCACGACCTCTGCGGTAAGCAGGAGAGCGGCTTCTGCTTCGTCTCCGATAATGGCGGTCATCGTCGGCATCATACCGGCGATCGTTCCTATTGTATTCCCCTACAGGACTTCTTGACCTTGAACGGTCCAATCGTTCCCTGGCAAGCCGTTCTTTCTTTTCCTTCTTCTCTCGCTTCTTCTCTTTCTTGTCTTTCTTTGGCTTTATACCGTTCCGTTCCTGCATTTCACGAAGACGGAGGGGGTTAGACATGAGTGCCTGGTATGCAGCCTGTTCTTGCTGCTTGATAGCGAGCAACGGGTCTTCACGAATCTTTGCGGCAATATCTCGAACATTGTTAGCATTCTGAATAGCGATGAAGTTCTTGTGAGAGGCGCCAAGCTATAAAAGTCCCTTGTTAATCTGTAAATGAAAGCGGTAGATAAATCATAACATACCTGTGCGTTCTCATCGGCCGTCAAGATCTTGTCAACCCGCTTTTTACCCAGCAGGTAGTCCTCTAAATCGTTTGCGTTCTGATTGATCCCAGTCGCGGGTGTCGCATACATCCATTCTAGCTTCTCGGTCTTTCTCTTTCCCGTCTGCTCTTCTTGCAAACGTTGGAGCTCCTGTAGCTGCCTTTCCTCTTCCTTCTCTTTACGCAGCTGATCAAGTTTCTTCTTTTCCTCGAGCTATGGAACGGAATCAGCCAACGATGATCCCATAAGCACTAAATAGCACTCACAGCCTTCTTCTCCTCGAGCCAGACCCGCTCCTGATTCTTAAGCAGGAGCGGGTGCCAAGACTTCTTCATGTTTAAGTCTCCACCACCCATCTTGGCTAGCTTTAATATTCAACGTTAAGGGAAAGGTGTTGGACGGTGAGGAGCAAAGGACCAAATGGATCAGTTCGACGTTGATTCCAAGTCCTCGCTTACAACACCTTTATTTGCAGTTATTTGGTCACACTGCCTATTCTTGTCAGTTGCTGTTTGTGGCACGCAGCAACATGAGCCACATACCACAACTTACAAGGTCCACGACCATAAAAGCCTGCTTTGCCAACCATGCCCGACGTGTATGAGTCGGCGGAGTCGGATGCCTTAAATGACACATCGAACGGTGCAGCGCAACCTGTGTATGTATACTGAAGTTACACATATACTGGTCTACTCATGTATTGCTTGATATTGTAGCCCCACGCGATCCATTTATGCGTTAACCCGCAAAGAAATAACACGCGGAATTGCGAATCGCTTTGTCCACTCGCACACATACATATTTCTCTACTTGTCCATGGCGGCCCTGTCCGTGACAACCGTCGTGCTCAGTCTGGCGGACGGATGTCCAGGGTTGTCGTTCTATATCTTGGAGATAATAATTAACACAAGCATGATCCTGGAGGTCGGTGTGCGTTTCGTTGCGTTTGGTCGGGTGCGTATTTGTTCATCCCTGGATTTTGGTAGCCGAGGTGACTTGATACGAGCAGCAATTCTGGAGATCACCGTTTAATGTGTTGGATCTGATACTCACATTGTTCTGTGCGATCACTTTGTTGGTTATAACATTTGCGGGGTGTGGGGCAGGGAGTAAGGAAGAAGAGTTGTTGGACACTCTACTGCTTATTGCACGTAATGTCCTGCAATTCGGCCGTCTAGCAGCGGTCATGCGACAGTGTGTTTCACATGTCAGTTTGCGCATCGTATATTAACCTGAAAGACAGGTCTGGCCAGTCCATATTTTCGAGGCCAAAGCCAATCGATATTTCCGCAATCAGGAGAGCAGGCTATAGTAGCCTCGACTATGATTTGGAGGAAGACTATCAAGATGATGATCCAGAACTTGGTCGACCACTGGTACAAGATGCAGTATTGTTTGATGCACAAGACGACGAACCACCCGCTCACATGTCAGATATGCCGCGGGCTGCACAGGCTGTGCATGACCGTGATGACGAGGATGTCTGGGCGGAACTGGGTTGAGGCGAGGGGTGATCCACAACCTAAGTTATACGTTCCATTCCATTTACTGCGACACATTCTAAGTACTCGGATGACCTTGTCGTAGCTTGACGTTAATTCTATCCTCACCAGTCACAGGCGAAATTAACGGTCGGCACGGATTATTCCGGTCAGTGATCTCAGGTCTGACTCTCAGACAGACAACGTTGCCCACTTGACACGTTTATATATATATAGTACTCATGCCTAGGTCTCATCCTTGGGCGTTAGACTGGCTTTGTATCTGCACGCTCATTATAATCTAGACAATCGTCATCGGGACCGCGGTATTAAGTCGCTCGATAACATTTGGTGGGAGCCGTGACTTCATTTCACTTCCCAGGCTAATTATTTCATGACTTGGTTGCCATTTTCTCACAGGTCCAGGATACGTATATCCTCTCGAGTCAAATTTGAGGTTATGCCTTTGGTGGAAACCACGTCATCCGCCGAACCGATTTTAAGCTGAGACAAATTGACCCTGTAATCAGTTTTCTCAGGGTGCTTGCATGTGGTGGTCAATATCGAAGCTTTTTCTGTGTCACAGGCAACCGCCATGGCCCAGCAGTCCGGAATCGCTGCGCCGCGTGTTCCCTGAGAGTCTATGTACCATATCTGCAGTGTCCTAAGTAACTGATTTCATGAGACACATGATCGTGTGATATAATTTTATTACGTACTTGCTTCAAGTCAAAGCGTCCGCTTGTCCGATGAATATTACGCGGTAGCTACGGAAATCAAACGTTTTGATTGTTTGCTTGATTTGCTGCTGGCCCTTTCTTTCCTTCAGTCATCTGCTCCAGCAGGCACTTCAAAGCAACCGTGTATCATTGGGATTTAATGTCCTCCGTCCTCTGCAGTTCAAGTCCGCTTGTATTCTAACAATCAAGATTATTACCCCTCGGGACGGACCTGCTGTATAATTTATACGCTGCTAGGGTATAAGCCCTCACACTCTTTTACTCCTCGTCATGTCTTCCGCTCGACATTGGTTTTCAAAACGTATTACAACTCCCAAATCTCCCACTTCCAATGACTTTTGCCGTTCAGCAACTGAAAAACTCCCCGAAAATTCAATGCAATCCGATAGCTTCAAATTCAGCCCTTTTGCATCTGTCATCGGAAGAAAGTCCAAAAAGTCACGTCCAACTTTAGCTATTCCTGATTCTCCATTACCATCCCTCGTTTCTCCCCCTGCAGTCTATTCGAATCCTGACCGGTACACTAATAGACCTCCCGCAAAATCTATTTCATCTACTATCCGCTCCGGAGACGACTCCTTTGAACCTAGGACTCCTCCCGATGTTCAGGCAGATCGTGTTTCATTTCCTCGTTCGGTTTTGACACTGTCAGACCCTGATCCTTTCGCATCAGGCGGTATCTCTGTGCCCCGAAACATATTAGACCAGGGTAGCGTGTCTGTCTACTCCAACAACACTTCAGCACATGATGTAGTTTCAAATAAAGACCAAGTCGATTTTTTGCAGCATCCATCGCATCTCTCGATGTCATCACAGTCTCACAGTGACAGTCGCAATGCGACACCATCACTGGAATTTACTGGGCCTTATTTGTCTCCTATGGCAGACAGTCGGGGCACATCGCCTAGGTAAGGAAATTTTGCACTTGTAAAAAATTTCGTCCTCAACTCGCCCAGTAGAGAAATGTTCAAGAGAAACGAGATAATAGACGATCAAAAAAACTTAGAAAGCCCTGTGTATTGCAGCCCTTTGGATATACATTCTAAACCTTCGCTGTCAAAGCATGGATCTGCGGTAACCTTGACTGATCAGAGTCACAAGGGTCCCCAAGATTTCCCTGCTGTGGCTGTACGATCTACAATGTATCGAAGGGGCTATGCGGCGCCCAGCCCGTTCCAGGCTGCGAGTACCGTGTCTCAGCCTCGAAAAGGTTCCAGTTCACCCTCTGCCGAGGTATATGTTCGCTCTCGTACCCTCAGCCGCCAGCAATCCACCTCTCGTCCTGCTCCAGCTTGTGAGCTTCCCCCACCTCCTACAATGTCACACGTTACATCCGTCCCCGCCGCCGACGGTGCCGAAGATAAATTTCCGTTATCGGCGGATGGGAGTTCTTCTTCCGGCATATCATGTCCTTCACCTACCTGGCGGATCCAAGAGCTGGACATTAATGATCCACGACCGTATAAAGGTATCAACCTGGGCTTTGATCATGACTTCGGAACTCAGCACCAACCGGTAAAGGAGTCGAACCGCATTCATGTCAGGGACACCGCGGAATCGACTCCACCACCGCTAGCTTTCCACCAGCTAAAGAAGTCTATGTCGCACTCAACCCTGCAAAAGGCTAAATCAGGCTCCGGTGGTACGCAAGAGTCTTTCAAAGGAGATAAGGGATTGAAAAAACAACACTCCTTCCATCGTTCACGCGCTCACACACCCCCTACATCTACGCCAGCCTCCCCTTCCACACCATCCGATCACGACCCTTCATCAGCTGAAAATCGTATACCACCGCTTCCACATCCTCACGCTGTCGTGCGAAAACGTATGTTTTCAGGCTCTAGGAAATCGTCGACAGCAATGACAGATGAAGATTTACGCTCGGTATTCAGTCTTCCAACAGAAGCAGGACGTTCCCATTTGGCATCACCCAGAACTGTTGTGTCACTGCTTGACGAACCTTCAGATCCACTTGCATCGGATATAATATACCCGACTGCGGACTTTACCCCGCAATATATTATGTCCCCCGCGGAAATGTTGAAGATGGAGGCCATTGTGCAGGGTGAATTTGACGCCAAGTACGGAGAGGCTCTACGAAATCCCCAGCGTGCCACATTTGCATCGACGCCTATGTATGGTACCATGTACAGGAAAGAAGGCCTGAAGACGACTTTGTCGTCTTTTCCGCATTTGGCGCCTACTCGCAGCGCATCAAATGTTTCTAAAGGACTCAATCCTAGATCGTTCACACGTCCCTCGACTGCACATACAACTTCTTCCTCGACGTTACAATCATCATCCACCAAAGCTAGTCTATCACCCCCGCAACGTCCACGAGCTCGTCCACATACCGCCGAGACAATGTACCATGAAGACCTATTTAGCAGGCGATCAAGCAATGTCCCATTCATCCCTCTATCTCCACCGCCACGGCGCCCAAAGTGTGCAATTGCAATTCATACACCATCGCTCGTGGGCAACACAGCGGTACCGCAGCGATCCGTAATTAGGAAGCCCTCCTTCCTGGAGATTGCAGACGACACTGATTGTTGCGAAGGCAGCTTCCTGGATTTTGACAGCGGCAAAGAGTCTTTTGATTTCTCCCGGGACTTCGACTGACGAAGAAGGGATTTTATCACCATTCGATGCAGCTAGTCCTTTTCCCGATAGTCACGTTCTTTTAAATCGATCAGTTATTCAGTCCATTATTCTTACGCTACTTACGCTACTGCTCGAATATTAATATACTAACACTTCAACGCATTGTCTTAGTAGTTAGAACCGTACTACACTTCGCTCCCCTAACAACCAACCACTTATTTTAACGGTCTCTGTGTTACCATCATTTGCTAGGCACATGTTTTTCACTCTTAAGAGTGGGAAAAGTGTTCCACCAAGGACCCTTTCGGTGGTTGCATTTGGATAGCAGATCTTCCTGGCAATTCCACAAATCAAAAAATTAGAAGAATACTATCTAAGTGATACATCATATTCCGATCATCCATCAGTCCGTTTCATCAGTGTGATAACCAGCACGCCTCATTGCACCCAGACGATGTCTCGCTGCGCCTAGATCCTTTTCCAATTTTAAAATTTCGACCTGCTGTTCCATCTCGCGTCTCTTGAATTCCAGTACAGCCATGTTCTTGTAATCCATCTCCTCTTCAACTGCCTGCTTCGCAGAAACTGCCTTCACTTGTCTGACAAGCGCTTTGCAGGCTTCTGTCACCGCTTTTGCGGCAAGCTCGAGGCGCTCCTGAGTCTTAGACATCAGGTTGGCCTTGACACGGGAGGCCGCTACCAGTTGGGCGGTGGCTGCCGCTACCTCATTCGAGGCCACGATCAATTGTTCAAGGGAATGTGTGCCTGACAGCACACCATCCGCGCTCTCTATAAGAAGGTTGGTAGCAAATGCCACAGCTTTAGCAGCTGAGATAAGACCCTCCGTCCATCTGTTGTTCCGCTTGTAGAACTGCTGGACTGAGCTGGAGCCCTTGCCCTGTGCAACGATTTCTTGCTGAGACTCTGTGGCAGCTTTGATGAGTCTTGCGATGGCGCTTGTGATTGCCATAGCGGCGGACAGGATGGAATCATGGACTTGCAGATCAACTGCGCTGAACCGTGCAGAGTCTCGGGGCCGAGACATGAGCTCTTGCAGACGCTGAGTAGCAGCTTCGATGGCTGCCGCAGCGCTCTGCATTTCGTGCTCAACAATGTCACCGATATCACCACTGGCCCGTGCCAAAGCACCACCCTTGGTACCTTTGGGTATCAGCGTGTCAACGACCTCTGAGAGACGGGTGAGGGCGGTCCGCGCTTCACTGTTGTTGCGCATCGAAATTTCCTTCCGCTGTGCAGGTTGCAGAAGATCGAGCTTGTAGGACTGCAGGTTCAGGAAGAAGCGTAGGCCAACATCGCCGGCACTCTTAGCTACTGCAACGATCTTGTCCGAGGCGTCATCGTCGTTAGCGAGTCGTGTGACACCCTTACAGTTAATTAAAACATCTGAAAGGACCTGTGCGAACTCATTGGCGCCCTTAATGACGTCAACGTAATCCCCTCCGACATCGCCACTGAGGTGGAGATTGAAGACCATCGCGAAATCCGTGGCGTTATTGATAGCCTTCTCGATCATTGACAACGTGTACTCGGGCGTGGAATTGATATTACCAGCTTGAGTTGGTGATTCAAGCTCGTAAATAGCATCATCGACTTTCTGCACGCAAGCCTGTAGGATTGAATCTAGGACACAAGCAAGTGAGCTTGTTACGAGGTGCATAGAGCGCTCGAATGGTACGAACCGATGACCTGGTTAAGCTTCTTTCGGTTGTCAAGAATAAGGGTGTCGATTTGGGCATTCGTTGCTTCTTCGTTGAGACCTTGGTTCTGCAAGAAATATCATCAAGCCATCAGTAGATGTAATGGAGGGACGCAAACAGACCTGCTGTGCTTCAGAAAGCGATTGGATGGTGCTATCCATACCCTCTTGAAGAATCATAATTTCTTGATCCTTCTCATCTCTCAGACGCTCCATGTCACCACTAGCGTTGTCGAGTTTCACGAGCAGATCATCGATTTGCATTTGCTTCGACTGTAACAAAAATATTAGAAAAATCGAAAAATATGAGTATAACATACCCGTAATGAGTCCTCAAGCTCTGTGAGTTGACGGTTATACTTGCTCAACACACCCGATACCTCCGAACTCTTGGAGCGTGTTGCATCCTCAGCGCGCTCGTTTGCGAAACTAATCTCGCGGCGCAGGCGGTCAATTTCGTCTTTGTGTGAGGATTTCTGGCGGTCGATATCGAAGCGTGCCCGATCGCGTTCGCGAATCATATCAGCGAGTTCTATGTTTTTAGCCTTCAGGTCGCGTTCCATACGCTCCATGCGGTCCACGGCCTCCTGCGCTGAATTAGCTTTGAGTTGCAGTTGCTTGAACTTCGAAAGTATGTCCAGGTGTTCAGTCCGTAGCTGGCTGTAGAGTTTTGCCAGTGCTTCATATTTATTTCGCCAAAGGGTCACTTGGTCCTGGAGTTGCTTGATCAATTCGTCCTTCGACGCCATTTGTGCATGGATATTGGAAGTTACTCCGCCAAGCTCGCCCTCCAACGCTTTCACCCGCTACCAAATTAATGAGCATATGCGACATGAGTCACACATGTGACTTACTCTATCATATTGTTCCAGGAGTAGCTGGTCACGCTCGTACTGCCCTCTCATCGCCAGCAGCTCGCGTTCATAATCACTAACCTGCTGAGCAGCTTGGTTGTTATACTGCATCATCTGCTGCTGCATAAGTTGCTCCTGTGCAAGGCGCTCCCGCTCTGCCTGTTCTCTTTGCCGTTGTTCAAACTCACGCTGCTGCTGTGCCTCGAGGTCTAGCCTCTGACGTTCCTCGGCTTCACGCTGTGCGCGTAAAGCAGTCTGCTGGTCTTCATATTGTTTGAGCAAACGGGCTTGCTCATTAATAGCAGCTGCATCAGGTGCAGGTGAAGGCGCAGCTAGGGGAGGAGCTGGCGAAGCTGTAGTAGTCTTGGGTCTCGCAGGGAGGTCGGGAGCACTTCCGGTATCTAGCAGGTTCGGAGGTTCCTGCCCGGGATATCAATTTGGGACATGGTATACGAGCCATCATAGCGTACCTGACCCAATTTAGGAACATTGATCAGGCCAGTCAAATATTTGAGATTTGAACACTCGTAGTAGAATTTTCTCAAGTTATGGTGTTGCGAATTGAACCGCTGGCGGAGAGGTTCCAGTGCGTCATGGTCATTCGTTCCTGAAAGGTTGATGAGCTTTGACAACACATAGCCGTGATATGCTTACTTCGGTGCATGGCGCGAAGCATGCTTGTAATGAATCGATAAATACCCCAACTTTCCTTAACCAGGGGCACTAATGCAGAAATACGACATTCATTATTGGCAGAATGCCTAAAGTGAGAGAACACCATCCGCTGGAACGATTCGATCTGGTCCTGAAGGCCCATGAGGTCTGAGATGGTTTCATAACTATTGAAGTTGTCGATATTGATCAACATATAGTGATGGTGAACACTCACCCCTCATTGGGATCATCGATGCCTTTCAACGAGATGTATTCCTCGTATTCAAACAACCCATTAAATTCTGGTCTCAGGCGGTGGAAACGCAATTTCGCCAGAATAAATTGGACGTAGGTTTTGATTAATGGTCCATAACCTATGGACAGGGTCACATGACATACGTGACTCGAAAACAGAAGCCTCACCGCGTTGACCCTCTGTGGCAACAGTCCTGGCGCAAGTCTCCAACCATCCCGCTTGGCCATGAGCTTCTTTGATCGTCTGAGGAAGAACCGATGATTAGGTACCGGCAACCATCGGTGAGTAAGTCCCATACCACAGGGTGGCCTTCTTGTAATACTTTATGTACAGTAATGAGAGCCTTGAAAGTTTGGACCTCATCGGACAAGATAGGTTGCACCCGTAAACCACTCCAGAAGGATATCGAGCTATGGTAGTCCCAAGTGTAGACGATACATTCTTTGATGAGGTTAACGAGACGGCTGATCGAGAATAGAAGGTTGGACACGTACTTCGGACATGTTTCTGCTTTGGGGCTGACTCCTCTGGGCTTGTTGCTTTCTTAATGTTAATCACAAGCTCGTTCTCTGCCTTGTCCTTGTCGACCGGTCTGGTGGGGTAGTGAACCTCGTCACCATCAATATCGAAGTTTGGACGTCGCCTGGTAGACCTGCATGATCTAGCTTATGAGTCATTTTCAGACTGTGATTTGGTTGAGTTCAACGTACATGTATGCCCAATGCCAATAATTAGATTGAAGGAGAGGGAGTGAATGAACTTTGGCAAGAGAAAGCCCCGCAGCCGTGTCAGCAGCCGTGGGAATTATGATTGTAGCCCTACTTTACTTACCAGTAGTAGTTGTAACCTGCCTTTCTCGTCAACATGCTACAACGGTTGGCTCTGTCAAGGTCAAGATGGCGGGATACTATGATGAAAACGCGTCGATGGCTTCATAGCGAAGACTCACAAGCAGCGCAATCCTACACCGCACGCAAGAATTCTTGGTTAAGCCCAACGATCTTCGTGCTAGGATTTATCCCGATTTTCACCTTCGCCTTGGGAACTTGGCAAATGCAACGTTTACAATGGAAAGTGGCCTTGATAGATGAGCTTCAGGAGAAACTCCATCAAGAGCCGATATCTCTTCCCAAGCGAGTAAAGTGGGTACATCACAACATGATTACTGAGTCGAGGCTGAGTAGGTCATTGAGTAAGCCTTTCTGTTGTGCCAGAGTTCGTATATCGTAGGGTGTTTCTCCGTGGTAGATGGGATCACAAACACTCGATGCTTATAGGTCCTCGCGTCCGGGATGGCTCGCATGGATATCATGTTGTCACACCATTGATCAGGTCTGACGGATCAACCGTGCTTGTCGACCGCGGTTTCGTCGCAAAGGAGTTTGCCGATGCCGATACCTTCGAACGAGGGGAAGCAGGCGAGGTCGAAATATTGGGGATGTTAAGGACATCGCATACGCGAAACAGTTTCACTCCAGACAACAAACCAACTGAAGGAACGTGGTACTGGGCTGACGTCGATGCTATGGCAGACTTCGTTGGTGGCGAAGCAAAAAATGTACAGCCAGTATTTGTAGAACAGATCCATGGTACGCACTCGAGTGTCCACTTTGTGCTGGCTATCAATATTAGTTTTCAGAAGGCTCCTCTCAGGACGCCACTTTGCGCCTGAGTAAGGGTATACCACTTGGACGTGCAGCTTCTGTTGACGTTCGCAACGCCCATCTTTCATATGTTATTACTTGGTTAGTATCAGTTCGAAACTGCATATGCTATCGGTATACTAATGAACAATGATAGGTTTTCCCTCTCTGCCTTCACTACGGCCATGTTGGCGCGACTTGTATTGAAGCGAAGAGCTCAAAATCACCCCCGCCCACTACCGAGGTGATGGACATCACACAGATGAATATCACAGGTAGTTTCCGCAAGTCATAGTCTGTCGTTCACTCGCCATATCTCTCCACTAGCAACTCATTGCACACCTCATACAGTGAGAGAATAAAATTGGTTTTTATGCATTGAAGTGAACACTGTTGGAACCACGACGGATACCCACTGGACACTAATACTGGCCACTGCGGGTACCTCACAAGTGCGCTACAACATTAAGCACCTTCTCAGGTTTGTATTAATTCTAATTTCCATATCATTGTGCCACTGTTGCTTGTGTTTTCCACCGCCCAATAATGGATCACCACTTTTCAGAGTTGTGGATGGATGCCACTCGCGTATGCACTGACCTATTTAAGTTGCCTGTTTCTCTTTAGCCCGCTATCTCACCCCCCCAAGTCATTATCCCCAACCTGTCTCCTATATTTCTATTTCCTATAACCGCTGCGATGACTTTCAACACTGCTGCTTTGTATGGCTGCCCTCAGGCTATCCCTTCCCCGTACCAGGCTGACTACGAGCCACCTCCCCAGCGCCGGTCGCGCGCTTCCACGATGACACAGGATGCGAACACTCAATGGCATCGTGATGCGCAGCGAATGCCAGGCTTGCACGCAACTTCCAACTTCCAACCACCTATCCCGGACCGAGAGTCCTTCCCCATGTGGGATGATGTTGAAGTTCAGAATGACTGGGCTATCGCAGCCAGAGAGCAAGGTATGTCAATGTTTTTATTTCTTCGTTGGCCTAATCTGATGGCGCAACCCAGAGTCAGCGTGTCAGCTGCAAGTAGAGCATCCCTTTAATTATGATCAACACGCACGTAAGAACAAGAAACACAAGCGCGTCTCTGTTGACACTGAACGAGGGCGTCGCGCATCTATTGACAAGAAATGTACACGGCATGAATCTGTGGATCGCGAACAAAGGGGTCGCGTGTCTATTGACAGAAAGCGTGCACGGCATGAATCTGTCGACCGCCTGTTGACCGCCGGGGACAGCGCCGTGAATCCTTTGATCGTGAACGAGAGCATCATGCATCTATCGACCGGAGACACGATCGCGAGCGCAACATGTCGATTGGATATCACGGCCAAAATGGATCTGTTTCTAGGACCTTTCCTCGCCCACCAGTTTGTGCTATCTCCGTCAGGCCTCCTACCGCAGATCCCCAATCCCGTCCTCGCACATCTGAATCTGGATATGTAATGGTTCACCGTCCACCAGTGTGTGCTGTCTCCTTCAAGCATCCTACCACAGGTCCCCAATCCCGTCATCGCAAATTTGAATCTGTGACAGTTCCTCATCCACCCTTCAAGCCTCCTACCACGGTTCTCCAGTCTCGCCATTGCAATTCTGATTCTGTGGTGTTTTCCCGTCCACCACTCTGCGGCATCTCCTTCGAACCTCCTACCACGGGTCCCCAATCTCGTCATCCTCGTCGATCTTCATTCAACTACGCAACTGGTCACGATTACTCTGATGGGCGCCAACATTCCGTTTATATTTTGCCTCCAACTAGTGCGTTTCATAGTTTTGCGCATGGATTATTCTAATTCTTTCATTTGTGACGTCTAGCTCCAGCTCCACAGATAGATCTACCTCCACGACAGCGCAAGCGCACTGTCTCTGTGGAGGTGATTCGTCGCCTTCCTTTCCTCAGCCGCGAGGTTCCTCCGTTTCAAAAGTCCAACTCGTCTGGGCTAACCCGCACTCCCTTTAATAGGCTGTGCTCAGCGACAATATCTATTTCGCAGAAAATCTGCCGCAAAACTGCTGGCAAATGATCTTGTTTTGTGTCCCTGGTACATCCTTATATTCATTAATATACTTCTTCCTTAAACACGATATATCTATGCATCCTAAATGGAACATAGAAACATACTCTAGATATGAATGTACCGTGTACATGAGTACTGCTTTTGACTGGCTTTTGATTTCCCTCGCTATAATCACACGGAAATGTCTTGGCATGTATATATATCACTTATTTCCATACAAAGTAATTTTCCGTAATGGCACCCAACCGCCGCTTCTGTACTCCAGTCCTTTCATAGCGCTCAGCTTGTTTTGAACTCTTCGGAAGTGAATGGCAGAACCAGAGCCAGGTCCTGCTCTACCGACAAACTTCAGCCAAACAAGAACTCCTAAGCATGACATTTCGCCCCTTCCTCGTATCCGCTTTCCAGACCAGTTCCTTGCCGCATCACCTCATGGAGAGTCGTCACGTTCATCCATAGGGTCTCCTGGTCCTCCTATTTCACCAATGAAAGACCAGAAAGATCTAGGCGACGGCAACGGTCGTTTTCTCTCCAAGGACATCACTCCTGGGATCTTCCCTGAGATCTCTCCTTCGAGGAGATTTTCATCTCGCAGCGTCGAGTTATGGCGTAGGTCTAAGAGAACGAGTCAGAGCAGAGGCTTGTCTGCTCTTAAGGACCATTTGGTAGCTGATTTCGAACCATCATCTTTCTCGGACGAATACGATTTGTGTGAGTTCCATGCTTCTGCTGATATCTTAACACTGACGGTACTCATTCACTGTAATGTAGCTCATGAGGGCAAGTGGAATAATTGTTAGTTGTGTGACTACTCATGAACATATTCGTCCAGACCCCAAGATTATCCAGGATGTTCAACGAGCCCTAGAACTGCAATCTCGAAGGCGAGATCGCAAGTCATTCACCCCATCTCAGCCAAGTGTTACAGAAGGTCAAACCCCTATTGAGCTGAGGCACGAAACATCTTTCCAACACTCTCCTCCAGCTTCTCCGCCACCTTTCACTCATTCTTTACGTCCTCCTTTGGATATTGACTTCAGCCCGTCTATTCAGGCAGTTCCCCTTCACCCTGTCCCCCTTTCTTCGAATGCGGGTGCTACTTTGGATTGGGCTGGGTCCCAGTCTGAAGAAGAAAGGCTTGAAAAGCGTTGGACATTTGGAAAACGTAAAGGCAAAGACAGACCCTCGTCTTCAAACAAAGCCATATTGGAAAAGCAAGACACTCTTTTTGCGGGTGAGCTTTTAGAGACGGGTTGCCACATAAACACAAGCTTACTTTGCCGCACAGACAGGATTTCTAGGATCAGGTCGAAAGCAAGACAGCCCACATTTCAAAAGGCAGCTATTGTTAGCGATCAATTAGGCCGGAGGTATAACCTTGTGTATAACTCCATGTCGAATGAGGACCCCATCAACCTTGCGAAAGCCGCGCGGTGGTACGCTGATTCTGATCCGGGCGTACAAGCCTGGTTAGATAGCGCTGAGCCGCTCACTTGGCTCAAACACCTGTTGGGCAAAAATGGAGGCAAACGATCGAAATGGCATTTGTCAGCTTTGATTGCGGAAGAATATGTTAAATCCAATAGGATAAATTCTAGTTTGCCTATCATTCGTGACGATTCTACCTCTGCTCGTGGGGGATCACTCCCTTCAGATGTGTCGCTAATCCTTCCGTCATATCCCTTTCATCCTATCCGATCCTCCCCCTCGCTACATCATTTTTTCGGAGATTCACTCAGAAGAATACGCTCCTCAGATGGCCAAATTTCATTCGAGCCTAGAATTGATTCTGTGCGCAGCTCGATAGATGGCGATTACAAGAGCGCTGCTGAAAAGAGTCGAGCATTGCGTCATCTCATCCCGGCTCTCATCGATCCTGCCAATAGTATCGCATCTACCACATCTCCTTACCGTCGTCAGAGTTCTCCAGGCGGACTCTCGCCAGCTAGCAGTCGGCACCTTCCATTTGCTCAACGGATACAGCGTCGGCAGGTGGAGAGTGATGAAGGATCTTCCTCTATCATTCACTCGCAATCAGACGACTACAGTGCGTCATTGTCATTCGCTGGTGTTACTAGTCATCGTCGCAAGAGACGCGATCGGAGGCAGCCTAATGCGCCTTCATTATATTTACTATCACCCCGTGAATCAGGAACAGAGACCAATGCTCCCGGCCAGACGTTGGATGTACACGAGGCGACTTCTGCACCTGTGGAGGATCCGTTGCCCTTTGAGCTGGCTTCGGAACGTGGGATTGAACTGCCTCCCGACATGCCTGAATCTGAGGTTTTCGCCACTCCACCGCAAACAATTACACGTCAAAGACTCATTCACCGGATGTCCCTCCCTGTTCCCGACGCAACCAAAAGAGCAGCACGAAAGCAGCGCACAGAAGCCGAAGAGGAAGAACTTGAGCATGAGTATGAGAAGAAGTTGCAGTAAGCGTTTATTTACCTTCGAAGACGTCTATAGCTTAAAGGGCCGATAAGGACGCTAGATGAACTTAAGGCGCAGAACCATCGGATACGCCAGAAATTACAAAGGATCGCTGCAGATGTCCGGGAATATGACAACCTACAAACAAGGATGGCCAACACACATGGTATTCCGCACCAGGGCCTACCTGCAGAGCTTTTAGACGCTTTTAATCAGGATCCTTCATCGGTCACCGGCGGGACCCGGGAACGAAAAGGGTGGAGGGCTGTCGAAGACGTACACACTCGCATTCTTCGACAACAGTACATTTTCAGGATGTTCCTTTCTGTTTCCGAGAACAATGTGGTGCCAGATAGCTTGCTCGATGAGCCAATCTCGTCCCTCATGGATACATTGGGTGAACTGGGTCATAAGAGGGAGGCTCTGGCGCACAGGCAGTTGGAAGTGGCTAGCGCTCTCGCCAAAGTCAAGAGTCTGCATACTCAAGTCAAGAACGAGTACAACAATGCCCTCTCGCACACCTCAGTTGCTTACCCAGAAGTATAGTCACATTGTCAATAGTTTCCATATACCTACTGACCATCTTCTAGCTCTCTCAAATCATCGCACTAGAAGAAAGCTATAAGGATCAGTACCAACATATATGGGAGTTCGGAATGGATGCTTTGACGTTCATCCTCGACAATGTTGCACCAGTTTGGAGGAATTATGGGAGGACCATTGGCGAAGACATCATAGATTTCCTCATTATACCCTGGTATCGGAACGAGTTCACGGGCGAGCCGAAGTGGTACAGTATCTTGTCATTTCCTCGCCGCTCTATCCGGCATTGGTTCATACTCTTCCTCCTCTTTTTGTCCACATTCGCCATCACCTATCTGCAAATGCGCGCAGCCATTTTTTGTACATTCGTGTACAGGCATCCTTGGATCGACAATTCGGGCTTTCGATGGTTGATCATGCCGTGCATATGGATTGCTTTCTTGATTCATTGGTTTGCTGTTCTCTTTGAGATCGGAATCATTATTCTGGAGCTGAGAGTCGTTTTTTGGTGGCTGGGTTGGTCGGTGGGCCTTCTAACCTGAGCCTTTATTCTGCGCGTCATTTATCTAGGATCATCGACTCTGGTCATTCGCATCACTGTAATCACATATCACACACGCACGTATTCGATGTACACATAATTATCTTGCTAATGATATCTAGGTCAGCTTAGCATCGGGAATCGGTACACTACTCGTCTGCTGTGTCGCTGAGGCTCTAGGATACGGAACAAATACCGCGTGGGTATTTGAAACGGGAGTGGACTGATGTCGGGCATCAGGAGTGTGTGAGGTGCTGCCTTGCCTCGAGTGTTGTGTGGAGGATTGATAGGAGTACCGGCTACTGCCTACTTGCGGTATATCATCAATAGCGCAGCCGGCTTCAACACACGGTCGACAATATCCTAGGCATCACGATCAATATCAGAGAGTGATCCCATCCATTGTAAGAGTATAAAAACCTACTCCCGCCCATAATTAGAGGGACATCTGTTTGCCCACACGCAAAACAAGCTATCTTTGGCAACGAAGGCGTGGATTTTAGCTGCGTTTGACGCTTTTTCTTTGGTGGAGGTGGAGCTGGCTCTGCACTTTGTTGCACAGGGCCTGCGTTTTGAGGCGGAGGAGGCTGAGACTGGGGTCGAGGTTGAGGCTGTGCCTGGGGCTGGGGCTGGGGAGGTTTACGAGCTGCCGCCTTGCGTTTCGGTTTATTGCTACCCTCCGCGGCTGACCTAAGGAGCTTCGTAGAGAATGTAGGAACTGCAGCCTGTGGACCGTTAGCATCAAGTAAGAACTGCATAATTGCAGCACACTAACGTTTTGAATTTGGGCTAGTAGAGAACCCTCTGCTATTCTATGTGCCAAGTAAACTCGTCGAGGTTTAATCTTGGTGAATCATATATATGTAAAGGATTCTACTTCACAATGGCTTAATGCTCACAATGGATTCGAGAATCTTGCGGTTTTCCTCTAACTTCTCTTCAGAGCCGATCCAGCGTAATATCGAATCCCATACGGGAGCACCGGCCCCGGTGAAGATGAATGTGACCACTTCCTGAGGTTCTGGTGCCTTCGGCTGAACTTGTCCATCCGGTTGAGACTCCAAAACTACTTTAGTTCGTTGTTCAAACGGGACACGCGTAGACAGGGTTATTTCGCCACATGATCCCATTGACCCCGGCAGTGGGGTGAAATTGCCTACAGCAAGACCACGAGGGAAAATCCAACGGTCCGTGGGACACTCACGGAATTCGATTACGATATCAAAATCCTTCGTTTGATACACCGGCTGGATAGGCGAGGCTGCACCATTTGCTACAGCTGTTGCTGTATTCTGTGCCTGTGCAGATTGCATTGAAGAAGCACCCAAGTCCACCCCGGATGAAGATGCGAGTTGCTGTATCGTTACGCCAAGGTTTTTGAGTTGGTCCATGGATGCGTTTCCTGAGGCAGCCAGATGTAACAAGTGGGCCAATGTTGGATTGGAGAGGGCTGCTGCATTCACTTGGTTGATGAGCGTTGGTGGGATACTTGGAGAGTTTGGTAATGGCGAAAGGAGGGGAGTAGAAGACGATCCTTGTGGCGCAGAGACAAAACTGGTGGTACCTGGTTGCTGCGTATAGGTAGCTGCATGTGCTGTGTGCACAAGGACGGGGTGATAGTGTACTTCAAATATAGTCGTTTCTGTGAATATGTGCGGACCAATCTCCAAAGTGCACCTGCCGCGATTATACATCGTATGTGGTGGAGGAATAGCATCGGCGGGCTTTCCTCCCCTTGAACGGCTTGAAAACTTTGGAAATGTTGAGCGTAGCCATTTCTCTCTTGCTGTAGATATTCAGTCTTCTGTGGGTCGAACATAAATGTTATCATACATACATTGCTTGAGGGACTGTAGGATGACGAAACTGTGAGGATATTAGATGGCGATACATGGAAGAGCAAAGAAAAGTAACCTGTCTGCCGCACTTTTAATTTTTGAGGGATCTTGCTCCGTGTTGTTTATCTCCCAGTCAGGCTCCTGAGTTACGGGCAAATGGATGTTTTGGCTGCGATTCATGAGGCGTTATTTGCGTGTGTTTGCAAAACCTTGTGAATCAACCGGATCACCTTTTTTTAAATCTAATCATTATAGGATCTCAGTGACACTTATGAGTACGCGAGTTCGTAAGTGCTTTCTCAATGCTCAGACCAGAAAGTACATTGTGTTTTTTTAATAGAAAAGGGAAGTACGGTCTTTAGACCGGTCGCCAAAGCGCGACCTCGCGGTGTGGAAGCCAACGCACCGAAACAACTGGCTTCAATCCCTGAAGCTCGTCCTCCAATTCCGCCTCCGTCACAACAACATGCTCCAACTGTGATACCCGTGATGCCCCCTTCTCCTCCAGTTGCATCTCCTTCCATGCCGCCGCCGGTCGTGGTTCCTGTCAGACTCCCTATCTCTGCTGTGGATGCTTCTCAGAGACCTGCATTGCCTATCAACACTCCAATACCTCTTCCCACTACTCGAGATCATCAAGTGCAGATTACTCAGCCTCTGCCGGCACTCCCTGTCATTCAAGAACATACTGTTTCAATTATCCCCCCGCCCGCGAAACCGGACTCAGAAGCATCCAGCTCCCGAAAACGTAGGTCTCAATCTCGTGCGTCTTCTGAAGGTTCGAAAAAATATCGTAAAACCCGTGCTCCTTCTTTGCCCTACGATGCCAGTGTCGACCCTGGAGAAGATTTAGATCCGACTGTCGTGACTATGGCTACATTATGTGAAGATAGCGGCTGGGGACGTATCAGTAGTAAAGCGGCTCAAATCGTCGATAACCATTTGGCTTGGAAAAAAACCAACCGGGAAAAGAGAGCACGAATGAGAGTTTCTATGGAAGCGAGAAAGTATGGCCGAAATGAAGATGATACTACGCAACCCGACCACAGCCCCTCTGCTCCTGATCAAAGCGCCGTCACAGAGGAGGTTGCGATAAGTGCGGGACCCAGTTCTGTACCTATGAACGGTGACCAGCATGCGGTCAGAGATACAAGTGGTAGCGGATTTGACTATTCGCAAGATGTTGCTACCAGTCGATATAACGTTCAAATCCGCATCGGGCCCAATGGAGAAACCATTATCGACGAAGAGTCTTTGTTTGTTGACAGGAATGTTGGAGATGAGACTGAAGACTACACTCATGTCGAGGAGTCGGACGTCTCTAAATTTGTGAATTCTGGGACGTATGGGAGGCGCTTCCGAGGTTCTCGCTGGAGTGCTGAAGAGACGGAGTTGTTCTATGACGTAAGTATTAAAGTACATCCAGCGGATATGTGCTTATATACCCGTGCAGGCGCTATCGCAATTTGGCGAGAACTACGAATTAATATCTTATGTGCTACCTGGTCGTGACCGCAAGTCATGCAAGAACAAGTTCAAAGCTGAGGACAAGAAGAACTCTGCAAGAATTAATTACTGTTTGAATAACCGTCAGCCGTATGGTAAGCCTCAACCTACCCATTGCTTAGGAAATGACTTTACCTTATGGCCAGATATCCAAACTTTGTCCCGAATGACGGGAAAGGACTTCAGCGGCCCAACTCCAGAGATACGACCGCCGCCTGTGCTTACACTTGCTGAGCCTGAAGGGGATGAAAGAGCAATCTTAAAGAAACAGGCCCAGACCCCCGCTCTGGAAGATGACGGGGAGATTCTTGGCGATATATCCAGTTACTTATGATTTTGTAAAGCTGTAATAATAATTACATTGGGTTGACGTCGGCCTTCTATGGCTCAATGAACTGCTCGGCTCACAAGCCGGGATAGCTCAGCTGGGAGAGCAACAGACTGAAGTTCTGGAGGTCCCGTGTTCAATCCACGGTCCTGGCATTTTTTTTTTGTCAGAATTACAGATTATTTGTAAACAACACCAATCAACAAAGCTCACTAACGCGTCTTGCTCATCGACGTCGACGTCCAATTCATCGGTTTTCCCTTTCTTACTCGTTATTCTGGCTCTGTAATTTTAAAAACCGCAAAAGCCAATTTAGCATCAGTTACAATCACGAGGACTTGTGTCCTAAGTTCAACAGTTCTGATTGCATTCTCGTTTCTCTGTCCAAATAATGAGCCAAGGTAATCTTCACTTTTCCTTCACATCCTTGTCCTGACTGATATGCACTCCAAAGAAATTGAGCCCTCTCAGCCGTCGATTAATTATGACGACCCAAACTATGCCATGGAAGAAGATGAGGAGGAGTTTGAAGAGATAACGCAGGAAGATTGTTGGACCGTCATTTCCAGCTTTTTCGAGCAAAAAGGTCTCGTCAGACAGCAATTGGACTCCTTTGATGAGTTTGTACAAAATACTATGCAAGAGCTCGTTGACGAGAATGCGGATCTTATCCTCGACCAGGCTGATCAACACACTGGCCATGACACAGATATGACGCGACGCTACGAGATAAAGTTTGGCCAGATTTACCTGTCGCGACCAACTGTCACAGAAGCGGATGGATCTGTGGTTCCAGTGTTTCCTCAGGAGGCCCGTTTGCGGAACTTGACGTATTCGGCCCCATTGTATATTGAGATGAAGAAGAGAGTTCTTCTCGGGCGCGAAGATCCTGATGGGGCACCTGGGGAGATTCTGTGGGAGGCAGAGCGACATGAGGCACCTGAGGATACTACAAAGGTCTGGATTGGCAAGGTATGTATGTCACATGGCAATGAAGAGAGTGCTTTCTTAACTTAGCCCGATGTACAGGTCCCTATCATGCTTCGCTCGACATTCTGTATACTTCGGGACTTGCAAGATCAGGACTTGTATGACTTGAACGAATGTCCGTATGATTCGGGGGGTTACTTCATTATCAATGGCTCAGAGAAGGTCCTCATCGCCCAGGAGCGTATGGCGACCAACCACGTCTATGTTTTTGCCAAGGCACAGCCATCACCGATAAATTTCTTGGCCGAGATTCGCAGTGCTGTAGAGAAAGGTGGTAAGACTATTAGTCAATTCCAGGTCAAAATGTTCCACAGAAATCAGGAGCGATCGGTAAGCATAGCTCAATGCAATCTCAGGTTCCCCATTCATCTCATTGTCACAGCTGGGTAATGTCATGAAAGCAACCATACCTTACATCCGTGTCGACATCCCCATTTGGGTCGTTTTCCGCGCTCTCGGCGTCATATCTGATCGAGACATCCTGGAGCACATTTGCTATGACATGCAGGATGCCCAGATGCTTGAAATGCTCAAGCCATGTATCGATGACGGTTTTGTCATCCAAGACCGAGAGGTTGCTCTAGATTTCATCGGAAACCGCGGAACCACTACTGGTTTGTCACGGGAGCGGCGTATTCGCTACGCTCAGGAGATATTGCAGAAGGAGATGCTTCCTCACGTCTCCATGTCGGAGGGTTCAGAGTCAAAGAAGGCCTACTTCTTCGGATACATGATCCACAGACTACTTCTCGCCGCCCTTGAACGAAGAGAGCTGGATGACCGTGATCATTTTGGGAAGAAACGTCTAGATTTGGCTGGTCCTCTACTTGCTGGTTTATTCCGCATGCTGTTCAAGAAATTGACCAGGGATGTTTACCGTTATCTCCAGAAGGTGCGTACCATGTCTAGTTGCACATTTCCCTATGCTCATTATTTTATAGTGTGTGGAGACGCACAAGGAGTTCAATCTCTCGCTAGCCGTCAAGCATCAGACAATTACCAACGGTCTCAAATATTCACTCGCTACTGGCAATTGGGGCGACCAAAAGAAGGCCATGTCTTCGAAGGCCGGTGTGTCTCAGGTGTTGAACAGGTACACTTATGCATCTACTCTCTCCCACTTGCGTCGGACCAACACCCCTCTTGGTCGCGAGGGCAAGATTGCTAAACCCCGTCAATTACACAACACTCACTGGGGTATGGTTTGTCCTGCTGAAACGCCAGAAGGGCAGGCCTGTGGTCTTGTCAAGAACCTTGCCCTCATGTCTTGTATCTCCGTCGGTTCTTATTCTGCACCCGTCATCGAGTTCTTGGAGGAGTGGGGTCTTGAATCACTGGAGGAGAATGCGCACTCGTCGACGCCTTGTACAAAGGTCTTCGTTAATGGTGTCTGGATGGGTGTGCATCGCGATCCTGCAAATCTCGTGAAGACGATTAAGAAGCTTCGTAGGAAGGATGATATCAGTCCTGAAGTCTCCGTTGTTCGTGACATCCGTGAGCGAGAGCTGCGGTTATACACAGATGCTGGTCGTGTCTGCCGACCACTATTCATTGTAGAGAACCAACAGCTCGCCCTTCAAAAGAAGCATATCAAATGGCTGAACCAAGGTTATCGCGACGATGACGGAGAGGAATTCAAGTGGGAGCAGCTAGTCAAGAATGGAATCATCGAGTTGTTGGATGCAGAGGAAGAAGAAACTGTCATGATTTGTATGACTCCGGAGGACCTCGAGAATTCAAGATTACAGTCAGCAGGTATCGATCCTCACCAGAATGACGGCGATTATGACCCAGCTGCACGGCTGAAGGCAGGGATCAGCGCGCACACCTGGACTCACTGTGAGATTCACCCAAGCATGATTCTGGGTGTCTGCGCGAGTATCATTCCTTTCCCTGACCACAATCAAGTGAGTGGTATGCTTTTCTGTGTATGAAAGCTGACCGTTTGTAGTCTCCTCGTAATACCTATCAATCCGCCATGGGTAAACAAGCCATGGGCATCTACCTAACAAACTTCTTGGTCCGTATGGACACCATGGCTAATATATTGTATTACCCGCAGAAACCTCTCGCCACCACACGCTCCATGGAGTACCTGAAATTCAGAGAGCTTCCTGCTGGACAAAATGCCATCGTGGCCATTCTCTGTTACAGTGGCTACAACCAAGAAGATTCCGTCATCATGAATCAGAGTTCGATCGACCGAGGTCTCTTCCGGAGTATATACTACCGCAGTTACATGGATTTGGAGAAGAAGAGTGGTGTACAGCAATTGGAGGAGTTCGAGAAGCCTACTCGTGATACTACGTTGCGGATGAAGCACGGCACGTACGACAAAATTGAGGACGATGGTCTGATTGCTCCCGGTACCGGTGTCTCTGGGGAAGATATTATCATTGGGAAAACTGCACCCATCCCTCCTGACAGCGAGGAACTTGGACAACGCACTCGGACGCACACGAGACGAGATGTCTCGACTCCATTGAAGAGCACAGAAAATGGTATCGTTGATCAAGTGTTGATCACAACCAATTCGGAGGGCCAGAAGTTCGTCAAAGTTCGTGTTCGGTCGACACGTATTCCCCAAATTGGCGACAAGTTTGCGTCTCGTCACGGTCAGAAGGGAACTATTGGTATCACTTACCGACAGGAAGACATGCCCTTCACCGCCGAGGGAATTGTTCCTGACATTGTTATCAATCCTCATGCCATCCCTTCGCGTATGACCATCGGTCACTTGGTCGAGTGTCTGCTCTCCAAGGTAGCAACGTTGATCGGTAACGAGGGTGACGCAACTCCCTTCACCGATCTCACGGTCGAGTCCGTATCGACCTTCCTGCGCCAGAAAGGCTACCAGTCCCGAGGTCTCGAGGTCATGTACCATGGCCACACAGGCAGGAAGCTCCAAGCGCAGGTTTATCTCGGCCCCACATACTACCAGCGTCTCAAACACATGGTGGACGATAAGATCCATTCGCGTGCGAGAGGTCCCGTGCAGATCTTGACACGCCAGCCTGTGGAGGGTCGTAGTCGTGATGGTGGTCTCCGTTTCGGAGAGATGGAACGTGATTGTATGATTTCGCATGGTGTTGCTGGCTTCTTGAAGGAACGCTTGTTTGAGGCTAGTGATGCCTACCGTTTGCATGTTTGCGATATGTAAGTCGTTTGATTCATTTGATATCGTTTCGTGGACTTATTTCGAATGATTAGTTGCGGACTCACTGCAATCGCCAACCTCGTGAGTACATTTCATGACTGTTGACATCACCTGCTGATATTTGTGAACTAGAAAAAGCAAAGCTTCGAGTGCCGTGCATGCAAAAACAAGACGGCGTGTTCGCAGTTGTATATTCCTTATGCTGCGAAACTGTTATTCCAGGTTCGCATTCACTCTCGATTGATGTAGAGTCCTACTAACTTCACACGGTCGCTAGGAATTACAAAGCATGAACATCGCAGCCCGTCTGTATACTGTCTCCACTGGTCGTGTCAGGGATGGAACATAATTAGTTGTTGATCTCGTATCATGAGAGACCCTGTAGTCTTTACATTAATTTTTGTTGGACAAAGAAGAAGCAGTGTCAGTTTATGTTGTCACTTCTGAATAGAGAGTGTGTTGTGGGATTGGCTAGGCACTAATAACGGCAATGCTGAAGTGTCCACAAAGGTTGTTTCCACTGTAGCTGTGTCACCAACCGCTGTATACCACAACTTGAACACGAACCAAAGTGAAGGATCTTTGTTGCAAAAAATAACCAAATTCTTCAGATTTCAATTTGAATACGCATCGGTTTCGAATTATAGGCATGGCGGAGACACCTCTCACCTGGAATCGTGAGTAATATCCTTCGCGTTCCTCAGAAATATCTGAAGATATAGAGTGCAGAAGCAGTGAAGGGAATAACTGAATTCAGTGAGTTGGTTCAAACACGACGGGGCCCCACGACCATCTAAGCAATATTTAGTCGAAGTCGCCATCCATACTATCCTCTACGTCAGACAAATATACCCAGCAGATTTATTTGTGCGACGGAAGAAGTACGACACGCCCGTCTTCCAGTCTCGCCATCCCGCGTTGAATGAATATATTTCCGGCACTGTCAAGGCTGTTTCCGATGAACTTGTACTCGTAAGCTCTCAGCATCAGCTTCATATTCCCCCTGCAGTGAAGTCTCTGATAAAACAGGGTAACGTCGACAAGGTGGTAGTCGTCATCAAGGATAGGAACCAAGTCGCCCTTGAGCGCTTCATATTTTCAGTCCAAAACATGATCGAGGTCGAGTCCTACAACAAAGATACGAGGTGCGCTGCATCCTTCACTCGCGTAGGCAAGTCGCAATGACGTCTACCCAGCGTACAGGAGGCGATGTCATCCGCGCAACTCAGCCAGTATTTTCGTTCATTTCTCATCAAACTGAACATGATCGAGTCTCAACTGGGGTTTCTCGAACTTCCCACTGGTGGTAAGCTCATCTCTCTCTTACAGTAGACTTCTCGCTTGAACTGGGGTAGACGAGGCCTCGTTTGCAATAGTTCTTGAACTCAAGGAAAATACAGCGCCCTCGGCCTCCAAGGACAATGTAAGGATCCTAATTAGATGTTTATAACAGACAGTTTAGCTCTCGAAAGGAACCCCCACCATGGGTACCCGCAGATCATCAGCACACAACCTCTGGAGCGTCTGAAAAAGCCCAGTTGCACCTCCTTCGAGCAGTGGACACAGGTATCATCAATGTACGCACGTCACGTCGATGACATCTTGGGACTTATCATTCAAAGTATTACAGATCTCTCTTGCAGTTCAAGAATCCGAACAAAAGTTCCAATCCGCCAAAGACCTAGATGATATCGAAGGACAAGGAAACGCCGATGCTAGGTGACATCCTTGAATCATAACCTACTTTAAATTACTAGTAATACATTACGAAGTCCTTGCATGACGTGCGAGATAACAGTAAAACAGAATATGAAAACATTAGATCAAGTTAGTGGACACTAAACGTCAACCCGTATACGTTGAATGATAGGTATAATCCGCTCCCACTCTTCCATTGCCTGGACCAAATTATGAAACTCCGGAACTAGATAAATTGAAGAAGCGACATACCGACTGATAAAATTCAATTTCGCCTTCTGCAAGGTTCCCCAGCATTTCTTTCATCTCTGCTTCCTTCGTATATTGGAATATAGTCTGCTCTCGCAGAGTCTCATCGCTGAATGCGTCTGATGTCTCGTGTGCTGTTGTTACAGCATCTTGCAGCTAAACCCGAGGTTGAAAAATAGATAATTAAAAATCGCAGCAGGTGCACGCACTTCTTTGATCTTAATATCCAACTTTCTCATCTTCTCGACTCGGCTCCGATCATCATCAGCGCCCCTAAGAGAATCCACTTTGTCCTTTAGGTATGCACTCAGCCCCAGCCCGGTACTTCCTGCGTGCCCTGAAATAACGGCAGACAGTCGATCACGTTCTTGTGTTACTCCAGAGAGATAATCCGATAATTCCTCAAAATCAAGTTGCTTCTGGTCACGAAGTTTCAGAACTGCACGGTTTGCATGGGAGTAGGTTAGCAGTGAATGAAGATGGACGAGGAAAGGGTCAGTGGTTGTTTGAGTCTGAAAGAACGCGTGAGTATATAACTCAAATACTATCAAGACATCATGCCTTATGTCTGAGCAATGCAGAGAATTCGAGCAGGGTATTTGAGAAGTGGCTCAATGGGTCTGTAATCCCTGATTCCAGAAAACCAAGTCCCTGCACGGCGACGGCTAGATCGTGATAATCCGCTGTCAAATCTTCGCCGGGAGCAAGACCGCCACCTCGTTCAGTCTCAGATACTCCCTCACGCTGTTACAGGGTAGGCTCACCGTTTGTGCGACCACGGACGCGGTTCCAGAGGCGCTCGCAAACGACAAGCCCATCCTCAAATTTATCGACAGATTCGCGCATATCGAGAAAGCGTTCATCGGGCTTGCGAACGCGCGCAAACGCGTTGAGGAGGGTGTCTGAGATGTTATCGATGAGTCCTGGTGTGGGTTCTGGCCCAGGAGGGTGTGCGAGATGTTGATGCATATGAACGTGCTGAAAGGTGTTAGGGGTGTTTTGGACTACACTAGATTGACGTACCCATTCTGTTGACTCGAAGAACGCACGAACGAGAGTGCTACGTTGTAGAGTGGGGTGTCTGGATATGCGTTCGAGGAAACGGTGTAGACTGTCAAAGATGAGACGCTGAATAAGTCCGTATGCCACACATACGTACTCTAGTCTGCGGCGTTCCATAAACTCTGGGCTAAAGCGATCGCCCGTCAGGTACTCTATGCGTGGTTAGACAATATTGAGATTACGAGGGAGGTATATACCTAACCGGTGCTTGTCGGGAAGAGCAGGTACTACGCATGCTGGAAAATCCTTCACAAGGTGGTCTCGCAGAAATACAAAGTCCTGGAATCGTCGACGAGAGGATGGATTGGGAGTAGAGAAGATCGGAAGATTAGTCTGAAAATGTTTCAAAATTATGCACAAGAGCCTGAGTTATATTACAACACACCTTTGCCGAGACTAGGTAGGAGACGTATGCGTCTTTAGTTTCTGCGAGTTCTTTTACAGGATCTTTGACAGTAACGATGAGATATCCCTCCCACTTTGGATCGTGTGGACCCCGTTCATCCTCTGTCCCTGCCGTACTCTGCTTGAAGCCTGGGCCAGACGGTTGGACGGTGTGATCGGCGTGATAGGGTGCCGAAGGGGACTCCCAAGTGACACTATCAAAAACGTCCTCTTCGTCGCCCAGCATATTGGGATCAGTGGTAAACGACTATTAGTTTCTGGTTCGCAGGTGATGCTGTAGAGCGTGGCTTCCCGGTTAATTATTTGAAGCTGAGCGTAGTGACTGGCGTGGACAAAGTCACTTCGACTCCAACTTAAGACGAGAAGCATTTGAGAAACAGACCACAACAAACGCTTTCTGGATGCGCCAAAATTCGAAGCTCCAGGCAATCGCGCTCGGTGTTCTGTCTGCTTGCTCCCTTGCGACTGGATATGAGGTCCAGTTCTCAGACGCAGACTATTCTCGCCAAGTATGTTCGGGAATGTGGGCAAGCCAGTCGACTTTCATCAACGGTGCGCAGCACGTGTACTCATATGCTCGCCAGATACTTACACGACGTGTCATAGTCACATTTGATGAAAGCTCTTCACAGGGACAGGTATCAATGGTAATATATGAATGGAAAGATGTCAAGTATCTTGGTGTCACTACCTCTATGACAGATGACTCCCTACCCGTGAGTAACCCCTTACAACATGGTTTGTCGCCGAGCTCAGCAATTCTACCCCCAGCAGAAGACCTACATATGCACAACAGACGCAGTCAGAATTGGCTTCTGTTCATACAATGATGTTGGGAAATTCATTTTCTCGTCTGATGACGGGACCACGGCAAACCAAACTACTTTCTGGACTGCTAGTGTTGCCCTTAACCAGACCAGCGACGCATCCTCGGATTCATCACGGTTATGGGAAAGCCCAGAAGGTAATCCTACCCCGCCTGCTGATAATTACACATCGCCATGGGCATCACGTGAGCTTCACCGCAGTCCTCGACAGTCGAGTGACCCCCTAAACCCAAGCCCGTCCGGGACCGTGGCATATACACAACCTATACAGTATCAAGTCCGCAAGACAGGATACTATTGCGTAGGCAAGTCCAAGTTGTATTGTCTTGTCTCTCCTGACTTATTTCTGTCGCAGCTATCGTGCCCGTCACAGTGTTGAATCCCACTGCCCGTCAGGCACCTACAGATGTCCCGTCTCATCCTACGTACAACGGTGTTGTTCATTTCCGCAATACTTTTGATGGACAGCTTCCTGCTACCGACTATCCCAAAGTTAATGTGAGCCGAACGCGTAGTCCGTTGTCATATCTCTAATCACGACACTCAGTTCTACCTCGTCATGTTCCTTCTATATGCCATTGCAGGCTCCGCGTGGGCATGGCTCTGCTACAAGCATGTTACGGAACTATTACCCATTCAGGTTTGTCATGTTCTATACGCCTTGAGTGATCTAATATTTATCTTAGTACTATCTCTCGAGCTTGGTTGCCTTACTTGCCATCGAAATGGTCGCAAATTGGGGTAGGTCATATTGTCATGACCTCAACTCAGTACTGACCGTGTCTAGTATACTACCGGTACCTTAACGCACATGGGAAGACCACGGCGTCCGTCGTCTTCCTTTTTGTTGGTATGGACAATGAATGGAATTGTTGATCAGTCGCTTACGCTGCGCAGTTGCCATTCTGGACGCGGGACGCAACGCCCTTTCCTTTTTTATGCTCCTCGTTGTATCCCTCGGGCTCAGCGTCGTCCGCGAATCTCTTGGGCGCACGATGCTCAAGTGTCAGATTCTTGCAGGACTGCACTTTGTTTTCGGAGGTAAACACAGTTCTTCGTGATATCAGAGGTGTAATGACCGTTATCATCAGTACTGTATGCTGTGGGTATAGTTGAACTGGAACTCGAGTCGACATCAGCGTTGATACTGTTGATGTTCGTCATACCACTGGCATTTACGTTGAGTGGGTTCCTGATGTGGATCTTGTATTCGTTAAATGGTATGTCCGCCGACCCCTTTTTTACTCCACGTGCTTTCTCATGGATCTGTTCTAGGTACAATAACACAGCTCAGTGTGCGGAAGCAGAGGTACAAACTCAGGATGTTCAAACGCCTGTATTATATCCTCCTTGGTACAGTAGTTACTATCGCCGTTTTTTTCGTTATCTCTTCGATATCGTTCTCTGATAGACTAGCTGAAGGTATGTCATTATTCGTGAATCAATTTTTGATCTGTCTGAATATATATGATTTGTAGATTACGCAGCGAAATCGTGGAAAATCCGTTGGTGGCTTCTTGACGGTTACCTCGCGCTCCTCTACTTTTTGACGTTCTGGAGCATTGCGTACCTTTGGCGGCCATCAGAAAATAACCGCCGCCTCGCTATGTCCGATGAAATCGCACAAGAAGACGAAGATGCTGAGGATTATGACCTTGAGACAATTCAACAACGTACAGTTGCCCGAGAGGACGACGAGATCACACTGGTCAACTCACGACGAGAACCTGAAGAGCTTGCGGAGGATCACGTCGTGTTTGAGATCGGTGATGAGGATATAGGAAGCGACGATGAAGGTGAGACGGCCGTAAAGAAGCGGCGTGCTGGGGAGCGTAGATCATCTGGTGATAAACAGGACGGTGCAGATGAGGAGCGCCAGGGTCTTATACACAAGAACCGAGACGAATAAACTCTCTCACAGCTTATTTTTGTCAGTATTCAGTGTCGTTTTAGAATGCTCATCTCTTCGTTTTGTAAATGAGGTTGGGCTAAGAACCCGAGTCGCGAACCCTGTGCTCGATGGAGAGAGAGAGGAGATGACGTGTGTTAGTATTTATTTTTATAAATAATTTACCTTGTGAACTTTGTCAACATGTTTGGAGCAACCCTCAAGTACTCCTCCGATAAGCTCTATTGGTATCTTTATTTCTTTCACCTTGGTTTCCACTAAGTTATACGTCTGACGCGTCCTTGTGGCCCTCACGACACTTTTAAGGCATTTTTTGTTCTCGCCATGTCCATTCATTTTGCTTTCGTGACTCTCGTAACTTCAGATTCCTATCTCCCAGGTGCACTCGCCATTTCGGGTGCTTTGAAGGATGTGCACCAAACTGAACCCCATGAGGTCAAGTACGACACAGTGTGCATAGTCACACCAGAAACTCTTGATATCACTACAATCAAGCTGCTCAGAAAAACATATGATACTGTCATCGGTGTTGAGGTTATAGGCCAGCCCGATCCTACTGGACTAAATCTACTGGGTGAGTCGTTGCTGTGTTGACTGGGTTGCGTCTGAATGGCATCAGCTGAGGACACGAAAAACTTCTCTGTCGGAATATCCGTAACGGTTCCCAGGCCAGTTTCTGTATTGTGCACTTTGTGCCCCAGATGCGGGGTATGAATGCATCGTGTCCAAGCTTCTCCATCAGTCACCCAGCTTTTCCGCAGACAGTGGGAATAGCTAGGCTAATAACATGTTCATTTAATTGTAGGACGCCCGGACCTTGATACCGTCCTGACCAAGCTACACGTATTCCGCCTCACGCAGTACTCCAAGGTAATATTCCTTGATGCGGATGTTCTCCCATTGCGTCCCCTATCCCACCTATTCTCCCTTGACCACGAGTTCTCTGCGGTACCTGACGTAGGATGGCCCGATATATTCAACTCTGGTGTAATGGTACTCTCTCCTAGTGAAGATAAGTTCATGGAGCTTCAAGAGCTTCTGAAAACAAATGGAAGTTGGGACGGCGGAGATCAGGGTATTTTGAATGAGTGGAGGGGAGGCAACTGGAATAGGCTTAGCTTCACATACAACACGACTCCTACTGCTGCTTATACGTCAGTAATATCATATCTTCTTTTCCTCGCGTGGTTAATGACATATTTATTACGAATCAGGTATGCTCCTGCATATGAGCGGTTCGGTTCCCAGATATCGGTGGTGCATTTCATCGGACCTAATAAGCCCTGGCACTCCATTCCTTATCGCGCCCCAGGATCCTCCACTCACGTTCCATCATCTCAGATGGAACAACAGTCTACTGTGCTAGAGCCAGCAAAGCAACCTCAACAAGCCTACGACTATGGTTCGCTCGTCGATCGGTGGTACAGTGTTTATGACAAGCACTTTCGATCAAAACCCATCTCACCGGATCTCGGTATTCCTGTCAGCAAATACGTATCTGCATGGGATGATGAAGAGAATTCCCGTGCGGCGGTAGAGTCTGCTGGAGCACCAAGTGGAGGTCCACTTGGTCTCGACGTCTTACGTCGTTTGGCCCTTCAGGGCATGGGTGTCATGGGCTTCCGGTCTGGTGATCGATCGAAAGGAGAGGGGGAGTACAAGAGCATGCCCCTTGAGGGGCGCTTGGATCTTATGAGACCACACCCCGGAAAGCAGAAGAAACCTGAGGATCATGATCTTCACCAGACTGCCCCTGAGCCTCCTGATTCAAATCTCAGCGAGGCAGTCGCCGAACCTACAACACCTGTTCAACAGATAGGTTCACTATCATTGAACTCACCTGCAAGATGGACTACATTGCCAACTCCCAATGTCGATGAGGTGCCTCCTGCGCCACAATCACGCCTGTTATCTCTCCCTCCGACACCTCTCCACTTTGTCTCCTCGCCCTCCAAGTCAGCTATGCGTTTAAATCAACCAAAGTCGCCACTTTCGTTACAAGAACGAAGGATCGAGCGATCTCACCATATTTCTCCACCGCTTCTCTCATGGAATGCTGCGATCGAAGGGCCACCGAAAACCATATCTACTCCCTCCGCATTTCCAAAAGACACCTATTTCCCGAATATCTGGGACGAATCTCCCTGCAGAAACAAAGATCCTGGATCATCATCAAGGTCGTCCTCGAGTATGTCGTCTGAGACAGATGCAACGAGTACGGAAGTTAGCCCGGTCCAGGGAGACCCATCGCCCCAAACACTCTTCAGCCCACCACCTGTACCTGAGATTCCTCAGATGCTACTCCAGCTTGGACACTACCGCAATGTCACTGGGCCTACCACCGAGCGTGGCGCTGCGCCACCCACCCCTGACCGCACTAAGGTCAAGCGTGTCTTCCCTTGGGAGGAGCGCCCTCGTGTTACTCCTACACGTGTATTCCCAGAAGACGAATCCCGCCCACAAGGCTCTATGTTCTTTCAGTCCCCGCCT